TTCTCCTATCGTTGTTAAAGTAGGATTTATAAGGTTAAAACAAGTAAAATTTCTGTAATACAAAAGAAATATAAACAACCAGATAAAAGAAATATAACCAGGAAGGCATCGTAGTGGATCGCTCTATCGCGCATTATTGATTCTTGAAATAGCGACGGTGCTTCTCATAACTCGCATTACAAAATAGCGAGACGATAAAAAAAAGCCAGTCATGAACAGAACAATGGCGGAATAAAATCAAACGACCACAAAACAAATGAACAACGTAATTTCGATACAGGACTAAACTCGTTTTAATTTGAAGTTAATTATATTTGTAGTTCTAAAACAATTATCGTATATTTGAGTTCAAAAGGACCTAGCCGGCAAGCTGTTATACCACTGGTGGGTGACGGTCGTCTCGTGATCTTAAAAGTGAGCACGCTTGCACTTTAAAACCGTAAGAGGTTTTTACGTAGAAACTGCCGGTCTTTGTTACTTCAGATAGTGGTTAGTTTTGTTTTTATTATTAAATATAATTTATTTTACTTATTATAAGTAATTGCCTCGTTGTTCAAGTGGTTAGTAACCACGGCAACTAGACTGCATACCACGATATCTGTGTTCAAATTTTAATATATTTATTGTTCTCATTTCGTTCTTTGTCTGTTTAAAGTACAAAACGAAAATACCATGCTTCTGAACACGGCATTTGCGAAAATTTTATTATACATTTGTATTATAAAATTCCGCATGGTAACAATACTCAGAGCAAACTGCGTTGGCGATTTGTTTATTTTTAAAATGCAACGGACCTGTAACTCGATTGAATGGTGACTAGACAGGCTTAAAGGTTAAAACAGGTTGGAACTCGCTTGGATGTTGCCCTCCTGCTGTCATTGTAAAGTTACGGCTTCGATGGAAACAGGCCTGAACCTCTGGTGGTATATAATGATTGTATGGTTAATACAGGTAGTGAGTGGGATATATGAGTTCGCACGCCTAAGTAACGCCATCCTACCCATAGCCGCGAAGAGATTGTATATTCCACTTAGAAGGGTATTTATTACACTCATTATTATAATACGGCGGTAACCACTTACCATCTGGTAGGCCGTATGCTCGTCTGCCTACAAGGGCAATAAAAAAAATCACGTATCCCTTAATCATCACGTAATACCCTATCACCGAATGGGGTGAGAGTACAAACAAGTAATGACAACGGATGAATTGATCAAAAAAGATTGTTCATTTGCATCGTTAAAAATGTATCTTATTAGTGTCTTGGTCGTGTTTAATAAACCTTTAAGATTTGAATCTTGAATAATTCTACCGTGACAAATTCTCTACCGTCTAAATCTACTTATCGATTTTATTAGTCAATTGGTTTGTCCTTAGAAGCAAATCAGGTCAGATGTAGGTACAGGACGCGACGATCGCGTCTTACTTCTTACCTCTTGCGAGCCGGTCATTCACCAGTTTATTTTCCTTTTTCGTGCTTAAAATTAAATGTGACCTTTTTTTTTTCTTAGATAGGTGGGTGTCCACCCATCTATATAAGCAAAAAAAACCTTCCTACCTACATGAATAAGGGTATAGACAACCGTACCGTATATAATATATTTGTCCACGAGGAATTACTGGTGGCCCAGACAGAGGCCTTTCCAATTTCACCAAGATAGGTGGGCGAGCAAAGGCTCAGCCAGGGGGTAGGCTGTCGAGTGCCTCCAAACGAAATCTAAGAACTCAAGAGTAGCTGCTTCACGAAAAAATCTACTACCGGATCGGAATCGTGACCCGCTGAGAAGATCCGGCGAGAAATAGCGGACCGATGTTTAGGCTAGGTTGCACGTCGAACTCTTTGCCGAGTACGACGAGTACGGTTACCAGGGTCCCTTAGCCTGCTCCTATTATTAGAGCTAAAGGCGTCTAATGCAAAGGTTATTGGATCTGACGGATCCATAAGGACGTGTCTAGGGTGGCGACGGCTGGCTTCTGCGTGATCAGGATTCTGGGAGTAGTCATCGGCGGCAACGATAAGGCGATTATCATGACGCAGAGCTTTACCGAAGTACCGTTCCGACGCTGACTTGATTTGTTTCGTCCTGCATATATCTGCAGCATAACATTCATACTTATTTGAGAGCCAAAATTGAGACTTCAACCTCATCTACCTAGGTGGGTGGTGGCATTGACGTTGTTGTGTGCTGCGGTGACCGCACAACACCCGGTGGGCCGTGAACTCGTCTGTCCATTTACAGCGACCAGCAGTCAACCGGTTTTATATACTTTTGCATTAACTGAAGTTAATATTAAACAGGCTTTTACCCGGTCTCCCCGTTTTGTTGTCACATTAATCAGTTGATACATTGTATTTGTTGTGTATAATTTTTTAATAATTATTTATACCTATACCAATATATACCAATTTGTACCTATTTCTTTATTTATATGTATGTTTGTTTATAATTTATATATATGGTATCATTAATATTTTTCTAACTTATAATCTCCGGTATGGCACTATGACTAAAATGAGTAACCCTGTATGTCCTACACGAATGATCAGTTTTTGCGACAATAATAGAGATCTTAAAAGTAGGTATTTTATAAAGGTCGTTTCATTTGAATTTAAATGAAACATCAACAAACTTTATGCGGATTTTTTGTACGTCTATCGGATATTTTTATACGTAAATGCATTATCAGGATAATAGCCGTACGTATTCGTAAACTCGGCGTGCTAATCTCATTACTTAGTTTTTCAAAAATAAATGTTGCTCCCTACTTGGTCGTTGGTAGCCCAAGAGGCTATTGCACTGCGCGCGGTCGAGATATGACGTAGTGGTTGGTACACGCTGAGTTTCGAATCTTAGCATGACAATTAACTGCTATCTATTACACGGAGCTCACAAGAGGCGCCAATTGTTCACCCCTGCTGGTCGTTTACGAAGGCTCCAAATTCCAGTATTCAGTTCCATTCATCGTACTCTCGCCACCTGCAGCGTTTTAAATTTCTGAACACTTCCAACATTCACTTCAAAGAATGTACTGTTAAAGATTCCTTTGCACGAATCTATACCTTTCGGTAATTCTTTTACCGGTAAATTTTTTCGGCTCGTAACGCTCGATCGGGTAGTATTAGGCGCTCTCCATTTTTTTAAAATAAACCATTAAAACCCTTTACTCATTTCAAACTACTAATAGTTACTAATTGCTAAATAGTTTCTTGTCGTACACGGCTGTCCAGAAGAGATCGTAATAAGGCTTGCAATTTGTGATGTTTCAATGAAGACTTATTTTAGAATGATCAACGTTACAAGCACTCTTGATGTCGATAGGCCAAGAGCTCTCTATGTTTTTATCAAATTCAAATTTAATATACTGTATTCTGCCCGGTCAAGATGAAAATGTTCGTTGACCCAAGTTAGGAATTACTTGTACTGTTAAAAAAACGAATCGAAAATTTGTGACGGGTACAGTTACAGTAAATTGATTGAACACAGTAACTTGACTCAACTACTCTACCGTGTCTCAACATTGGGACGTCACTGCCATCCGATCGATCAATGGTGCGCGAGGGCTGTCACCGGACACATAAATTATGTAATATAGGAAAAATAATTGTTACTGTATTAAACTATAACAAAATAATTGTTACATTTAGACTTTACCACAGTAGTAATTCTTACATAACGGAAGAGGTATTTTCGGGCTATTACCAAAATTCAAAGTTATGAACAATAAAAACGTAATAATTTAAATACTTAAAAAAACCATCCCTTAAATATATTTTTATTGCCTTTGCAGGCAGACTAGCATGCGACCTGATGAGGAGTGGTTACTCTGCCTCATAGACGCCAATAATATCAGAGGCACAGCTAAATCACTGTCTACCGCTGAGTACTTTTCACAAGCATCCTTTGAAAAAGGAAATGACATATCGCTTCAAAAACACCGTAGAAGGGAGTTCATTTCAGAGTCGGATAGTACGTAGCAAAAAAGATATCTGGAAATGCACTGTCCATGAACGCAGCGGATACAAGTGGAATGACTGAACACTGCTCTGAAAAGAACATGGAGGGATCAAATCCCTCAGAGCACTCTCAATGGAATATACATGTACAAAATATAAACAGAACGAACTTAAGTCCCTCTGAATTTATACCTAAATAATATATATATATAGATTAAGGTTTAATTGAAAAGGTACATACTCCGAATATAATTTATGAAAAATAAATTGTAGGGTACGAGTTTGTGCTTTTAACGTTGCTAGCGCCCTCTGTTTTAGTTTATAAATGCCTTTTAAGCTATGTTTAATAGTTGAGTGCAGTGCTTAAAATGGCGGTGGGAAACGAATCGTGAGCGAAGTTAACCCAGAGAGGAGCTAGGCAGCTCAAAATAAAGTTTTAGAAATCACATAAATAATACTCGATATTTGTTTCGTTTTTAATTTATGACGCCGCCAGACATTCAAATAGGACGTATGATACGAATAGTTTATGCCCGTGATTTTCGATTTTTTCGATATAAGTTATTATTAGTTATTTTGCAATAGTCTTCGCAATAAAGTGGCAGTACTTTGTTTAATTCTACAAAATATATTTATTAATTTTATGTACCAACTTTACCATGAATTGAAACACTATTGTTTTATTCTTCCATTTTGACTTCAAATATTAGGAAAATCAATAAAGCAGATGTGGAAGTATTTTTATAAATTTCATGGCAACACTATTCGTGACAGCCAACCAGCTGTGTGGAATGGATTGAAAAATAACTCTGAAAGCTTATTGTCCTTGATGTGTCATCCATTACAATCATTATTATAATTATTCCAACTAAACGTGAATTTCACCAAGTTTAGGAAGCACGCCAGGTTAATTTTCTACGTAATCAATAATCAAAATCAGTTATTTATCGTAGTCACCTTTGTGATGGGCAATGCTAATAAATGTTGAAGTGTTTATATAACTCAGCATTGTTTGATGGTTGATTGTATACATCTTTTGTTCCAGATTACTCGACACTCAACAGTGCATAATATACGTGCGTTATAAGTGAACAAAGTGTGACGATTGGTGTGGGACAAAGAGCTAGGTGTGTGATGTATACTATATAAAAAGTGTAGTGGTGTTGTCCAGTGGATGCAGAGCCAGCGTTGCAGCGCCCGCCCTGGCATGCTGCCGGGCAGGTAGCGCGCGCGGGCGGCCTGCGCAGGCCCCACACAAGCAGTCGCGTGTGTTCTTCAGCGTCGTCTATGGCCGAGCAACACATCACACCGTCGTCGCACTCTGCACTCACGAGAGAGTCCAGCGGGTAAATATGCATTTCTATCTGCAAAGTTAACATATTGCTTCACATAATGAACTGCTTTAATAGTTGAAGTTTCAATTCATTCTCCTTCAAGATCACTAAAAATCTGTGAAATCATGTTATCTTAAGCTGAAATGAGTGGTGGTAAAATTAAAGACTGCTACTAAGGTGTCTTACAAGGTTGCAGCTATTGTGTAGAATTTGTGGGTAGTCAGATTGATTTCCACATCAGGCAAACTCTCTTACAAATAACAAGCTTGTTTGCCCTTTTCTGGATGTTTTATTCAGATCTTAATAAGCTCCTCAAATTTAAATGTACACGGGTATGTTTCTCACTCTATGGATATTGTAGTACAATGAATTTTGTTTCTGGGCAAGATGTTTGTGCCTGATTAGTCCTCAAAAATTTATTATTTTGCAGTTTTATTTTTTTAAAGTAGTTAAATAATAAAAGTTGGACCTGTAATAGCCAATGTTAGCAATAGTGTAATCAAACAGTCCTATGAAATAGTACACTCCGTTGTAGTAGGTTGACAACATAATTCAAGTGCAACTGGTGATTGAAAATATTGCAAGTTCTGTCCTTAATCAATAATAACTTTGAGTTTTGACAAGGGCTACACTGCTCAAATGCATTATGGATTTTTTAACTTCCTGTGAATGAAAATTTGATGCTTCATAGAAGGATAATAAAGTCGATTATTATATTCAAAATTACTTTTACAGTGTATTGCTCAGTGGTTACTTGTCAGTGATTAGGAAAATTTAAATGCGTTATCTTGGGAATGAAATAATGACTAAAAAAACAAAAATAAACCATAAAAGTGGTTTTAATTATGTCTATGAATATAAAACTATGTAAGTCTATGACTAAAAAACAGAAAAAAATATTTCTTATTAATAGAATACTGATTATTAACATAACACATTTAAAAGATTTCATTTCTATTGGCCAATGGATGTTTCTATTTTACATAATATTCCCTATTATAATAAATACTCCACTTAAATTTAAATTTAAAGTACATTAAAATTAAATAAATTAAACGACTATTGAGATAACTAATTTATAAACATATTAAAGATACATACACCTATTATTTAAGTGGTTATTAATTGTGGAATCAGGTACACAAGTCTGCATTCTCTAGTCAGTTTTACCTATTAAAGAATAAGTTTCGATGTAAATTAAATACCCTTATAAGAAAATAAAAGTGAAACAATAAACTGAGTTCATAGACAACTGAAACACCAGCTTTGTTTAAACATAAACACCACTGAAGAAATGTGAATCAGTGAAGTTTTAATAAATATCATTTTAATAATGGTAATGCTACTCTTCAAACAAAAATTTATGGGGGTTTCTTGATTGAAATATGCAAGATGGAGGTTGATACTCAATGTCAAATAGTGACAGCTTACAATCTGTAAGATTTTTAAAGTACAATTCTTTCAGGACTTAAAACTTACATTTATTCATGGTAGCGTGTTATAAAAAAAAAAAACCTTATTTTTTATAAATTTGAATATTCATAAAATAAAAAAAAAAAAAATAAATGTACAATAACAAATACTAATAAATGTAATAAAAAGTAATAAATGTACTAGTATTTCATTATTCACTAAATAAAATCTTCAACTACTCCAAATTTAGTATAACAATGATCTTCAATCAATATAGGATATTTTCATATTTGTAAATTTCAATCAAATGAAAAGAATTAACTTATCTTACAATTGGCTTATAAAACTTATCTAAACTTTATTGTTTATTGTATTATGTAATTTTTCTGCCAGTTTTCCTTTAGAAATGTTATGTACTTGAATTACCAGCTAAAACTGAAAACGGAGAAACAGAGCTCTTGTTCCTGTGTAGAGGTTGTGTGAGGGCTTATCATTTCTAGGGATCTTTGTGGATAATTTTATGGTCTCCCCAATTACCATAAGCATATTGTCTTTATGGAGGCGCTGGAATCTAGCTGGATTTGTGGAAGTTATCTTTAATATTCATTGTTTTAGTATTTCCGGGGTCTGGACGTGATCCTAATATTTGAATGGCTACTTAAACCCCTATGAGGACGACTACCCCTAGCTCACCCTAAAAAACTATACTTTGAAATTGGTTCTCCGTCTCTTCCTTCTCAGTGGTAGGAAGATGTATCCTTCATAGACAACATAAGGTAATGAGTTCCTAATAAGAATAACAATAAGAGGGATCAATGAGATTATTTTAACTGTTCCTCAGAGGTTTAAATTCAGTCAGCTGCAATGTTTCTTTGTATAACAATATTCCTTCAATTGCTCTTATAAGTCAATGATTTTACTGATAAGCTGTTATTCTGTTAAGCTGGTCTAAGCTGTTATTTTCATTATATTTAAAGAAAAATAAACAATATGGCATAATAGTATAAAAGCTGAACAGGAATGTGGACAATTTTTCTGTTTTAATATTTCACTAAACAGTTATTCAAATACATTCTAAAGAAGAAATCTATTCAGAGCAAAGTCAGAAACCTTTTATATCTGATGGAGTTTGTGATAGGTTTGACTCCTAACTACCATACCATAATATAACAAACAAAGGATGGAGATAATTGTTCATGATGTTAGTGATATATTATTAGTGTTGTGGTGTCCAAGAGAAATTTGATTGGTTAGGTTTTTAGTTGTTATACTAAGATTACTTATTGCGTTAGTACAAATTGTAAAGTTACAAAAAGAAAGGAAATTACATAATCACAATCGAATGGTCGCGCCGCACAATTCATTTTTTTTATTGCCTTGGTAGACAGACGAGCATACACCTGACGGTGAGGGGTTACCGTCGCCCATGGACTTCAGCAATGCCAGGGGCAGAGCCAAGCCGCTGCCTATGTTTATTAAGTGCTGAATGTTCATCTCCAGTGATTGTTGCGAGCCTGGTCTTTGTCGGGCCCCTCTCGACCAATCAATTAGATGTACTCACCACCCTTCATCAGATCCATCTTTAAAATGCTAATTTCTGCCATTATAGGTCTTATTTTCTAGCAGTTCATAGTTTTACAAAGAAATTTCTTAAATGGTATTTGCTGCTGTGTCTTAAATAATGTACACAGTAAACATAGGAAAACATCCCTAGTGTTGTTGTAAAATTAAGCACACCCTATAGCTATACACTAAATGTGGCGTTACGAAAAGATAAATACTATTCTAACTTCTCTAACAGCCATCAGTAATTGCATCAACTGCTGTTCTTTCCCTGCTGTCATTTTATGAGACGAAACATGGTAATCGCATTATTGTCCCTTGTGTTGATACTCTCTGTTATGGGCAGTGTGCGCTCAAATGAAGGTTTTCCTGCAATTGTAATGAGTTTAATAGTTTCTGAATCTTTTGGATTGACACCAAAAATTTACTGACCTGATCATCAGCTGTTTCAATACTTCTTGATCCACTTTAGTCCTCAATCCACTCTAGGCTAAAGTCGTATTCATTGAATACCTTCGTTTATACCTGAGTACATTTAGATGTCTTTGATTAAGATAAGTAGACGAGCTCACGACCACCTGTATTTAAACGCTTACCAGGGTACAGAGGCACCACAAAGTGATTGGGTAATCTTGAGAAATGACGTTGCTTTGGTATGACAGCTGTCATACATATTAGGCTTTGCGGCAGACTTTGTCTTGCGTACAAGCCTGCTTGTTACTCCACCACCATTACTTATGATAGGAATTAGGTAGTAAGTAAGATATTGCAACAGAGAAACAGTAGCAGTAGTAGAGAAGCTCAAGATCATTTTTAATGATAAATTGATCTAACTTAGCATATACTAATTTATTTGACGACGCTAATTTTTAATGCGTGTTTGCGACTGTTTACTTATCGGGATATATTCTGTTTTAACATCATCTTCACTTTAGGGATATCCGTAATGTAATGCAAAAAGTAATGCACCTACCACAGGACTCTCTACACCACCCTTGGTCGACTGGTAGAGAATGCCTCAGGCATTTAGTCCGCCATTGTACCTTTGTGCATGAAGTTGAATAAATAAATAAATAATGTATGGAAATTAATATTGTAGCTGCAACAGGTTTATAAATATCTATACTTGTTTATGTATGCATAGAATACCACGTATAGTGTATAGCCGTATACTGCCTTGGTTTCTGAATCATCTATGTATCTCTAGGAAGGAAGCCTAGCCCCGTAGTGTTTTTTCCAGTATGTGAATTATTAAATTATTCTCGTAAATGAATTGTTTCGGGATTCTTTCATCAATGGTAAATAATGGTGGTGGGGCATCTTGTGAGCCCGCACGAGTAGGCTCCACAATCCTGCATATTACTGCTGTGAAGCAGTAATCGGTTTGAAGGGTAGGGCAGCCGTTGTACTAAATAAAACTGAGACTTATAAATAAGTGTCAGGATGGGTGCCAGTATTTACGTTGTTAATGCCTATGGGCGCTGGTAACTACTTGACACAAGGCGACTAAGCAATTAAAGAAAACGATAGGAAGTTCTCTCCTTAACCAATCCGCCACTTTAGTGGAAGAGGTCCTATCGTTTCTGTTAATACCCAACAAGCTTATTGTTTATACGAAGAAAGTATATACTTAATAATATGTATATCAAGTAATTGGTGAAATATTGAGAATAGCTCTCAATAAACCGGTGCTCATTGCTTTTATGCGTCCATTTCATTTTATCACAAGCCAATTTTTAAGTTGTTGTACACGTTATTCGTTATCGTAATCAATTCTGTGTGTGGCCATCAATCTCGAGCCAACTGAGATCTAAATATGATCGCATGTAGTTATGGCATATTAATAAAATGCAAGTTTTGCTTAACAATTAATATGTATTGAAACTGCTGATTGTCTTCTGCAACAAGTACATACCCCAAATTATTATTTTTGTAGTAATAAAATACTTATCGTATTATAGATATTTAGTCGAGTGAAATCATCTTGCTCAATTTCTTGATGATTAACGAAAGGCCGTAACTAAACCTTTACACCAGTTCCTTAAGATACGCCAACGCAGCTTTTCTGAAATCCTTTGCGGCACTAAGATCAAAATTTTGTAATTAGATACTCAATAATCACATCCCGCTTTGTAAAAATAGCAAATACCGTTTTTTCGGTTTAAGTATGGGACTATTTGCTGCGCAATATTCAATAAACTTGCAACAAGCACTCCTTCCTGTGATCGAATAGCTTTAAGTAACCATGCTCCCAGAATGTCGCATCGCTCGCTGTTATTAAGTTAGTTACCGTCTAACTAAGTTTTAAAATTTATTCTCTCATAGGCTATATACATAATGGTGGCTTATTCCTGAATAGTTTGTCTGTATATCTGACTACAGTTTGCAGCACTAATTCTGTTGATTTGACAAAGAACAATGCCTGGACTATTTTTCATTTGTAGTTACTTTATACCGGTTATCAAATGAAGATTGATTCTCTTCAATAACCTGTACAGTACCCGACGATAACTGTTGTACATCGACGTTTGGAGAGAGACAATCTGTGAATTTTGACGTTATTTCTGCCGCACGAAACATTAACCGTTCGGTATCTATTAGGATCACACACTACTACACCTAAACTAACGTCACGTAGGTACTTACTGTACGACAGAGATAACACTTTACGAAGTCGAAATTAGCGGATTGTGTCTCCCCAAACGTCGATGTGCAATAGTTATTACCAGGTTATTGTAACAGGATACATTTGTAAGCTAGGCAAGCTTCATTTCATGGATGACCGTTTTTTTGACGTTATCACAATAAACATTATCTAGAAGTGTTAAACTTTGTTCGCTTGTTACGTAGTACGATCATCTTGTGCGTATTATTGTTCAATGTGTGTTTCGTTCAGTGCTTGTCTTTTCTAACACGTAGACTTAATTATTTTCGAATTAGGAAGCAGTATGTAAATGTTCAAATCTTAAAATTATTCATAATTGCTATTATAATTATTACTAGTTAACAAATTACTGTTTATTTACGTATTATATAATATATACACACTAATTACACCCCATTTATATCTATAGTCAATCGTGTCATCTAAAACGTTCGTCGTTTAGTTTGTTACAGGCAAACAAGGAAAATTTGATTTATTTAATATACGTAGATGTTACAAAAACATTTTCTTTTTGGGTATTTTTAAAACGATTTGTAAATAATTTTAAAAATGTAGTTTTAAATCAGTGATCAATTCAATTTCAATGCAATACAATTTAAGCAGTATTCAGCTGAAATATGAGAATATATACATGTTTGCATTGTATAGTAACGTTATATAATGTTATTACACAGGTCTTCTCCTAGCAGGGTGGTGGGCGGTCGGTGGTTGCGTCGAGTTCGTCGAGCAAGCCACGGCCGTCGAAACAGACGCTACCTGACGTCGCCTCTGCCACGCTCTTCAAGCCGACAGTCCTCTGGTCGCGGATCTGACGTAGATTCCCACGTTGAACTGCGAAGAAGCTCACGGCTCATCAACTCACTGCCTCGATCTGACTATTCAGTTACAGAGCGTTGGTCATACGGCACCGACGTATACGAAACACGTTGCGATACCTTACATCATAAGAGTGGAGATTCCAAGTCTTCGAGTGCACATACGAAACGTAAACATTCATCCTCGCATGACAGAAAAAAGAAAACCAAATCGAGTAACAGCACGGAAGAGTGCGTCGCGTATTGCACACGCTCACGGACTGCTCTTAAAACGACCGAGAGTGCTTGTGAGCAAATCCCGAACTGTTTATCGCCAATTCCGACTAATCAAAGCTCCACAGCGACTTCAGTACAACCAAACAGCTCTGAAGGTGGCTTGCTGCCACTAGACGAAAGAGATTTCGCGTATTCCCCATTCAGCTCGTCAACAGTCACCGATCTGCTCGATTCTGATTATTCAGTGTACAGCCCCACGACCAGTAATCGGAAAGGCAAGAAACGAAAACGATCGCATCACCGATCTCTGTCCGGCAGGAAGAGTAGTTACCTGATCGACGACTACAAGAAAAGAGTTAAAATAGAGCCATCAGATTCGAGCGATACTGTTAGCAGCAAAACTTTTAGGAACGAGCCAGAAAAATTTGACAACACTACACCGCAAACTTCTTGTACGTATTTATTGCGGAACAGACATCACCGTGACCTCGGGCCGCCTACCTCAACGGTCGTCAGTGACAACACAGGTAATTAATTAATTAATTATTTCCCTAAATATACACCGTTGTTTGTATTACAAAACACCACAGGTTAAATAATGAAATTACCTTTTAAAATCATAATTCCAAACATTTATTTTAAATTCAAATTGTTATTGGGAATCGTCGAGGTCTATAACATAAGATAGTGTTGATCATCATCATCATAATCGTCATCATCATCATTATCATCATTTTCTAAGGGAATATGAACTTAACATCACGAACAACTTCCACGATTAAAAAGTTCAGGTTTGATGGGGTGGACAATTTGTATTGAGACTTGGCGTCATGTATCGAAGTGGGTGGCGTAATTTATGCTATGGTGTCTATGGGTTCCTGAAACAGCTTAACACTAGGTGGACCGTGAGCTCGTTCACTTATCCAAGCAATTAAAAAAACTGACCTGATTAAAATGATACTGGAATTGGCACATGTGCCTTATCAGGTGTTCTTAACTTCTTATCATATGGATTGAATAGCATATTGTTCGCGCGCTGTTTGTACTAACTAATAAAGATGATGATATATTTTTAATTCAGTCTAATAAAATTTAACATAATCATCAATATCTAACACGAGATATATAAAGTTAATATAAATAAAAATTTACATTAAATTAAATACGGGTCGAAGAAACGAATAGTTAATGTTAATATATATAACTTGATAATTAAAATCGAATGATAATTATAAAATTGAGCAATATTGTAATTTAATAGTATAGCATTAAACTAGTTTTTTGATTTTATTATACCAATCATGATTTTTTTATTGCAGCAGTTTCATCGACCTGCGACACTGCTCATAATCAATCCGCCACTGCTCATAATCAATCCGCCACTGAACAAAACAGTACTGCCGAAGCTAGAGTCATCTCGCCTCCGCCCTACAAAGATCTCCAAGGTAACGTCACAGTAATTAACAACAAATAAATGGACCGTTTATTTTGAAAGTGATGTAAGTCAATTTTCTTTTGTTTCGAGAAAATTAAAGGTTACTATAATTGATGATTTAAAATACAGGCAAATCATATGAGGTCTGGCTATGCCACCTATCTCTGTCAATTGGACTTACACCACTTTCATAATCGATGATTATGCAATTTCATTTACCGACCGATTTTAAGTTGTACAAAACATGGGATTTTTTTGAGAAATTAAACACGGACTAGTTATATATAAAAAAATTACATTAAATTAAGCATGAATTAAGTGATAGCTCATTTTTCTCAAAAATGGACTTACACCACTTTCAAAATAAACGGTCCAAATATTGGTTAACGTTTTTATGACAACGGAACGTTACGTTTATTATCATCATAATTTTCTAATCGCAGAAGCGAGTTCATCGAAAGCACAGAACGCTGGGAGTAAACTGCTGATTGTACCACGTGACCTGCCATATCTACGTCAAACTAACGCTCGAAGGGTAAGATAACATTTTATAGAGTTTCTGACGCCAAGCCAATAACGCGTACCGAGTTTTGTGATATTATATAGCAGGAATAACGGCTTTTGTCCATCGAGTTTCTCGCCGGATCTTCTCGGTGGGTCGCTATTCCGATCCAGTGGTAGATTCTGCGAAGCACTGTTCTTGCTAGGGCTAGTGTTAGCAACGTCCCCAGGTTAAATAGAGCCCCGTGAGCTCAGCTACTCGCTCGGTTACCCTGGCACAGGCTCTCGAGGCTACCAACTTAGGTAGGAAAAAATAATGAAAAAATAACGGCTTTATTCCAATACAATTGAGTCTCCAGCATCATGTCACGTCATCTTCAATGATTTTCATATTGTCCATTGGCTCCGGTAACCACTCAATACTGAGAGATAAAACTTCGATTCTCGCTCTGATAAAAAAAAAACCTATATAAATAAATAAGCAACGTCAAAAACATTCAGTATCTCTTTCTCTTCAGTTCCATGTTATTTGTTAAGTAGTTATTATTATCTCATCAATTCAATTTACACACAGCTCATTCCATATGCACAAAAAAAACAGATAAATTGTAACATATAATTGAAATCTTTATTCGTCAGTGATTACGGTTGAATTTCGATCACTAATAGCAATTAGATTAGCCCAACGACACTCGAAATTTAGTCAAAACAATTCTAGCTTCAAACAATAACGCACAATTAACTTGTTATCCTTAAATACCTTTAAAACACAAAGTTATGATCGACGATGATTTGACATTTCGCTATCGGCACGAGCGATAGTCAGTCAGTGTTGTAAGCGTCGCGTCACCAAGAGCGCTGTACTTATTTAATGTGTATTTTATCCTGCGTAGATTGTTTAGTTCGGTGTTATTTTAATTGCACGCTGCTGTTACCGTTTGACTTAGTGTTGTGAATTGCGTGCGCAGAGTATCGCAGCTGCGACGGGGGCTACTCTGGGAGCTTGCTTGACGCGGGGAGCCTCAGGCAATCAGCGCCAGAGACAGGATACGACTTCTAAAAGACAGGTACCATAATAAAAATTACAAACAATTTAGCATATCGACGAAATAAAGCGGAATTGTCGTAACATGAAAAATTCAACATTACACCAGAGGCATATATGTATATAATATAATAAGGTAAAAAGTGATCTAGCCCAAAATGCAAGTTAAGACATTTCAGCTTTGTCCCGTCGATATGCGTATACAACGTCACAACGGGATTCAGCTTTAATAAAAAAAAAATTGCATTAAATTAATATCTCGTAATACAAAAAGTGAACTTTGTAAATCAAAAAACACCACGCTAATCAGTATTGTTGTTTTTTGTAATAAATGCTCAATTAGTTTTTTGTGGTATTAAAAAGAGATTAAAAATGGGGTGAATTAAATATAAAGCAATGATAAGTGATAGATAGTATAAAATAATATGTGCGTATTGTGTTGCTTTTGTTTTTTTGTAATTGAAATTTCTAAATTTCTCTTCTCTGTTCACTTTCTACTTAAGTATATGTAATTTTGATTGTGGAAACATATTTGGTTATTGTTTTAGCTAATTTTTTAAAATATCATATGTTTGTATTGTATTGTTTGTTTCCCAAATACATAAATAAATAAATAAATAGTAGGTAGCTAAATAATCTGATTAATGCTAAAAAATATATTTTATAAAATAACTTCGGTAATTATGGGTACAGCCATGTGTGTAATATGGGTTTTTAAAACAAGTGTTTCATGTACATTAAAAAACAAAAACTATGTATTTGGTATAAAATAAATTATACACATATTATGTAGCTGAAGGCTTCTGTCAAACTCCTTCTGAAATATGCATACATCCTTCATGAAACCAAAACCCTGCCTATTTTTGTTGTAAAGCATTAATACGTTTCGGTTTGAAGGCCGGGACAGCCGTTGTGCTATTAAACTGAGACTCATGTCTGAGGTCTCACGGTTGGTGGCAGCATCTGCGTTGTTGATGGCTATGGGCTCCAGTATTAATTAGCACCAGTTGGGCTGTTACACTTACACAAAGTTAAAAAAAAAAATGTGTTCAGCCACGGTAGAATTCGTAATTTTATCAATGGCTTGAATGTGTACCCTGGCCCAAACGTATCATTGTCACCGTTCTCCCATAGACACAGCTCACTGCGATTCTCGCCGGATCTTTTCAGTGGGTCGCGTTTCCGATCCGGTGGTAGATTCTGCGAAGCACTGCTCTTGTTAGGGCCAGTGTTAGCAACGGCTCTTGGTTTGAGCCCTGAGAGTTCACCTACACGTTAGGACTACGCTGACATAGCCTCTCAAGACTATCTATCAGCTTAGGTAGGAAAAAAACCTTCCATCAGCACTGTTTAACCATTCCGTTTCGCGCGCAGGTAGCGAGCAGCGAGGGCGCGGGCGGCAGCAGCGCGGCGGGGCGGCGGGCGCGGGCTCGCGATATGCCGCAGCCGCAGCCGGCCTCTACTCGAAAAGAAAAACGAGGTATGCGCCGTACCATAACATTAAATCTATTGTCAACAATATTTAGACGTTCGATCTACTAGTCATCATCCTCTCGGTGGAAGAATTTCCCTTTGTCGTTACTCTCAAGTGTTCATTCAAATAATTTTACTGGTGGTATGACCTATTGTAAATCCGCGCGTGTAGGTACCACTGCCCTGCCTATTTCTGCCGTGAAGCAGTAATGCGTTTCGGTTTGAAGAGTGGGGCAGCCATTGTAACTATACTGAGACCTTGGAAAGAGGGTGGCGGCATTTACGTTGTAGATGTCTATGGGCTCTGGAAACCACTTCACACAAGGTGGGCCGTGAGCTCGTCCACCCATCTATGCAATAACTAAACAAAAACGATTTGCAAAGATTTTTAAATATTATTATGTTATTTTTTGTTACAGGCAAAACCAGTCTGGGTTCCTGTGCCAGTACTGGTGCTGCCACTAGCCGCTCCCACGCCCAGCCTCTAACCACGGTAAATTATACCTTAAGAACCTTAAGAAGATTAAGAACTTCAGCACTGTTTTTTTTTCTATGTTATTTTATTTGTTTATCAAGGAAAACTTCAGTATACATAGAAACTGAGCATGCTGAAATTTGTCATAATAATATGTTTTTTAGATAAATACTTGCTATTAAGGAAAAGTTTCATTGATGACTTCACATTGGTTGTTTTAGGGTGCCATAGCATCCACGTCCACCACACCACCTGCTCAAGCTGCAGCTGTCTCGATGCCTGACAATGCTGCAAGTGACGTCAAGCCTAAAGGTATTTATTATCCTTGTTTTTTTGTACCGTTCTAAAGTACTGTAAATTAAATATACATAAATGTCTCATGTACTGCGTTTAATTGATTGATAGATAATGCTTGGCTGAAACAAATGCAATGATGCTATTTCGGAAACATTCTAGTTTTTAAACTACATAAGATAAATATGTGTGGTTCGTTGGGAACCTTTGAAACCATGGTTCTCTTTGTATTATGTACTGTGCATTTAATGAGGACAGTGCTGAGAAATTTATTGATATCGTCTTTCTTTTTCTGACGCTTTAATTATTAATTATATAAAGGAATCTATACTAATATATAAATCTATAGTGGTTTTTACTGATGTTCCGTTATAACTACTGAACCATGTATCCGATTGATTTGAAACTTGGTATCCATGTAGAAAATATATGTACTTAATGAATAGGCTAATATTTATATTATTATGAGTGTTGCGACTGCCTAATAATAATGACAATAAATAATAATGTTAATTTCAAATGCCCAGTGAAGCGGGCGAGTACGCTTAGTATTTTTATATAATTCTCACCAACTTGAAGATGGCTATATAATTTTATTATTTTCACCTAAAATCCTTCAATACATTCTTATTTAATAATTTTAAAATTTGTATAAAGTGGGTGGCATGACGTCAGCGGAGGAGTGTGGGGGCGCGGGCGGGGCGGGGCTGGGCGGCGCGGCGACGCTGGCCGAGGAGTCGTCGTCCGAGGAGGGCGAGGTGGGCCGGCTGCAGGCGCTGCTGGAGGCGCGCGGCCTCCCCCCGCACCTGCTCGGCGCGCTCGGGCCTCGCATGCAGCACCTCCTGCACCGGACGGTCACCGCTAACTCGGGTAACTCTCTACCATGCCTTACTATCTAATATTATCTATTTCATCGATTTCTTCCCAGTTATAATACATAGTGGTGATCCCGCAGTAGTCGAAATTCGACTATAAAGAATTGAAATTATAAGTTTTTTTTTATTGCTTAGATGGGTGGACGAACTCACTGCCCACCTGGTGTTAAGTGGTTACTGGAGCCCATAGACATCTACCACGTAAATGTGCCACTCACCTTGAGATATAAGTTTTCAGTATAGTTAGAACGGCTGCTCCACCCTTCAAAGCGAAACGCATTACTGCTTCACGGCAGAAATAGGCAGGGTGGTGGTACCTACCCGCGCGGACTCACAAGAGGTCCTACCACCAGTAGTTTGAACATTATTATGGTTCTATTGTAAAAGACAATTTATTATACTTCTATAACTGCATATTTTGCCGAGACTACACTATAAACAGATAATCAAATAAACAATATTAACCTATTCTCAATTTTACCACAGACTTTAAGCAATAACAAAAGTTTGACAGTAAATAAAGAGTATAAATATGTGTGTGTGTCAAATACATGGTAGTGTGTGTAATGTTTTTTTTATTTTTTTATTTTTTTATGCCCTATTTAAAAAAAAAAAAGCATTCGGCGCTCCTTCCCTATATTCTTTATAAGTGTGGGAAATACTCCATCCGCGCAATTTTCGTAAAAAGGGGTACAAAGATTTTGCTTCACATTAATATATAAATTATTATGTTCTTAATGTGTCTTGTATAGATCTATCGCTAAGTCGTAAATATTGGAATATTTTTTAGTTTCGCTCACGACGAGGTTCTTATGGAATGTCAAAAATCAAACAGGTCATGCTCCAAGATGGTGGCTAACCGATCTTCAGTGTTCATCCTTTTCTTTAATTACAGCGGCTTCTAAAGCAGCTCAACTGCTCGCCGGCCTCCAGGCAACCGGCGACGAAGGCCAACAGCTTCAAGCCGTCATAGAAATGTGCCAACTTCTCGTTATGGGCAACGAGGACACGCTCGCCGGCTTCCCGGTCCGACAAGTCGTTCCCGCTCTCGTTAACCTGCTCGCTGCCGAACATAACTTTGACATGGTGAGTAAACAAAACAGAAAAAATATTTAAAGTTAACAATTGTGTATAAAAATATCATTTATATGAACTTTTAATTGTATTAGTGTCATCACACATTTGATATTTTTTTTATTGCATAGGTGGGTGGACGAGTTCACAGCCCATCTGGTGTTAAGTGGTTACTTAACACCAGATTGCAATCACTAGTGGTACTGGAGCCCATAGACATTTACAACGTAAATGCGCCACCCACCTTGAGATATAAGTTCTAAGGTCTCATGCATAGTTACAACGGCTGCCACCCCCTTTAAACCGAAACGCATTACTGCTTCCCAGCAGAAATAGGCAGGGCGGCGGTACCTACCCGTGCGGACTCACAATAGGTCCTACCATTAGTAAACCTGATACCTTTGCATTTTCTCATATATTTTCGGTCTTATTGTATAGGCAGACATTCAGTCTCATAACAAAGACGAATGTAACGACATCTCAACTTAAGAAGAAGCATTTTAGACTACATGATTATGAATCATTCAATAAGATCTATTATTATCCTCGTTTTGAGGTCGCCTGATAAATAAGGAACGGTAACTTTGACGCAGATGAACCACGCGTGCCGCGCGCTGACGTACATGCTGGAGGCGCTGCCGCGCAGCAGCGGCGCGGTGGCGCTGGCCGTGCCCGCCTTCCTCGACAAGCTGCAGGCCATCACGTGCATGGACGTCGCCGAGCAGAGCCTCACCGCGCTCGACATGCTCTCCCGCAGACACGCCAAGGCCATCCTGCAAGCGGTCACTATACATCCCCTACTTAATATTAGTCGACATTAGTTTTTTTTTAGATGGATGGACGAGCTCACAGCCCACCTGGTGTTTTTTTTATTTATTTTGATTGCCTTTGTAAGCAGAAGAGCATACGGCCCACCTGATGGTGAGTGGTTACCGTCGCCCATTGACTTCAGCAATGCCAGGAATAGACAGTTAAGTGGTTACTGGTGCCCATAAACATCTACAACGTAAATGCGCCACCCACCTTGAGTTATAAGTTCTAAGGTCTCAAGTATAGTTACTAGTATAGTATAGTTATAGATTTCCAAGATTTTTTAAAATTTGAATCTGCATGTAAATTTTACTGACTAGAAAAATATGTAAAAAATAAACTATTTTACTCTAATGTCAATAATAACAGTAGCCCTGAAATTATTCCATCAAAAGATCTGCAAAAAATTCTTAAAGCTATCCACAATAATTTACTGATATATCACCCTGACTGCGGGATAATTTTTTAGGGACTTTTAGGCAAAGCGTATGAGGTATTTTTGAGGCAAGATTGGACTTCTTTATAGTGTGCCTGAGACATTATAGGCCTCACAAAAGTTCGTTTATGAATACACCCATAGCATAGCATAGTATAGGAGGTCGCTCATGAGGCTTTTTATGCCGCATAACGCAGTAAACGTGATACGTAGTTATAATCACTATAGCTGTGTCTTGAAACTCACACACACACACCACTTCCTCTAATGTCTCGAAGTACGCGACGTCACTCACGTTCTAACACTAGATACCGGGGCCCTAAGCTCTCTCATTCACGTAAGGAATAGAAAGAGACCCTTTTAATCTACTATGTGGTGATGTATTTTTTTTTATTGCTTAGATAGGTGGACGAGCTCACAGCCCACCTGGTGTTAAGTGGTTACTGGAGCCCATAGACATCTACGACGTAAATGTGCCACCCACCTCGAAATATAAGTTCTAAGGTCTCAAGTATAGTTACAACGGCTGCCCCACCTTTCAAACCGAAACGCATTATTGCTTCACGGCAGAAATAGGCAGGGTGGTGGTATCTATCTACCCGTGCGGACTCACAAGAGGTCCTACCACCAGTAATAATATTTAGACTTTTTTTTTAAATCTAGTAATCTACATAAAGTTTAGCCAATCCAAACTCTAAATGGGCCTGGCAAAATGATGTGTTAACTTATTCACGCCTGTACTCATAGAAATTTGAATGCCGAGGCAGTTACCTAGTTGCTTAGGAAGTGCACTCACCCCAAACTTAGAACACTAACAAAGACTAAGTCCACTACGGCTCAACCCTCGCGGCTATTGAGATGTTAAACGTTCCAACAGCGAGGTGTATCGGCTTGCCTGACCTACCTGGACTTCTTCTCCATAAACGCGCAGCGTGCCGCGCTCTCCATCACCGCTAATTGTTGCCAAAACCTCACTGCAGATGAATTTCACCTTGTCCGAGAATCTCTACAATTGCTTGCTAATAGGTAAGTCTAATATGGTTACTGTAAAATCTAGTTTAATTGTAAAAATAGTATTCTCTATTTATTATAGGCCATTTGGTGTTTAGCAGTTGAAAGAGGTCATTATTTCAGCAGACCTGATGGCGTTATCTCAGTATCTAAAAAAATATTATTTTATCATACATACAAAAAGAATACTCCAGTTTATGATACTCCATACAGTGGAACTATAGCTAAGACAGTAGTATCAATGCGCTCATGACTGTGGCAAAGGACTCACAATATGACCATGGTTATGTACAAATACGTAGAATTTTGTAAGAATTTTTAATATCTACTACCGAAAATTAATATAAACAAGACTGTGGCTCCTAAAAATGGTTTAAAATATTACAAGGCTTTACATGTGCCCCCGCCCGTACCTTTGCAGACTAACTCAACAAGACAAAAAGTCAGTGGAGTGCGTTTGTCTCGCATTCTCGCGGCTCGTGGACAGCTTCCAGCACGACCCGGCACGCTTGCAGGAAATCGCCACTCCGGAATTACTTACTAATCTACAACAACTTGTAAGTTTGTTTACATACAATAACCACCATACACCACTTTTATGTTTTTCATAATGTTGTTTGGAGTTGGAAAGATGTGATTAAATGGTTACTAGAGCCCATCAACGTGATTGTCTCGATGATATTGTTGTATAAAGGATGTCTGTGGACCAGCTGATTTTTCGCAGCAAAAACGGTCGGCATGGTAGTACTCACCCATGCGGGCTCTCATTACGTTCCAACACCAGTTAAACAATATCCGGTTACCGAAAAATCCTTTAAAATTCATCTGGTACTATTTGACCCGGTAGACTTCGTAGTGCCTCAATCGACCTAAATTTAAAAAAGACCTAAATTTTTGTATAAAATAAACTTAAAACAAACAAAGGAAACCGTCCGACGGGGGGGACACATCAAAGGGAAAACAAAATTGTTATTTTTATTTAATTCCGAGCATTTTCATATTTATCTACCTTTTAAACCTTCTCTGGACTTCACAAATAATTCAAGATCAATATTAGCCAAATCGGTCCAGCCATTCTCGAGTTTTAGCGAGACTAACGAACAGCAATTCATTTTTATATATGAGTCGACTATTATCAAAGCCGGCAATCTGACTTTTGGATAATTATTGGTAAATCAGAAAAACGAATTATTGACTTTGTATTCCATTGGCAGTCACAAAACTCTTCAGAACGACATCTTAGATAAATAACAGGTTAACTATTAACCTTTATTTAATGCAGGTTTTGAACCGTATTCTTTGAAGGAGACGATTATATTCAAATNCTTTGTATTCCATTGGCAGTCACAAAACTCTTCAGAACGACATCTTAGATAAATAACAGGTTAACTATTAACCTTTATTTAATGCAGGTTTTGAACCGTATTCTTTGAAGGAGACGATTATATTCAAATCAATCTGTATTGACATATCAATAACATTTTTTTGTCCAAATGCACAGATTGCCACCTTTGATAATAGACGACTCATATAGAAGAAGATTTGTTGTTGTGGAGGAATATCAGGGTTCTAATGAATGTTGTGTACTTATTACAGTTGGTGGTGCAGCCGCCACTGATATCGGGCGGGACGTTCATCATGGTGCTGCGGCTGCTGTGGCTCATGTGCGGCGCCTGCCCGCAGCTCGCGCTCGCGCTGCACCAGCGGTCCATCGCCGACACGCTGCTCTGTCTGCTCACCGGCTCCACGCTACATCAGGAGGTGCAAATGCATTATTAATTATCATATCCATGTTATAATCTTAATTGCTTTGCAGTCAACTTTAATAAAAAAAATGGTGCGCGTACAACTCGGTGCACGAGAAAGAAGCGAAACTTCTTTTTCGATGTGTAGTATTGTGGTTTTCTTCATTTTTCATCCACAAATCAGATTCCTCTTGTAATAGGGAATGCTGTATACAAAAGATGCGACATCATCAACATTTATATTATATATTTTTTAAATTATAGATAGATAAATAAATATACATATTTTTAAATACTTCATTAAAATATTGGATGCTACTCGTTGCTAAAGCTCGCGCTGTCCTGTAACGGGTATACTACGCACATGCGTACGAGTGGCACGCATTCACTCTCGCTCTGTCTCTTTCTATTCCCCCTCCCCAGGAGCGTTAAACGCTTAATGCAACCCTGTCGGAAGTCGCATTAGAAGTTTCACTTCAAAAGATATTGAAGCAAAGTCACATGATTAATTATGAGTTTTTATACATTAAAATAATTGAACGCAGCAAGTGGAGCTGATACCGCGCCTGCCGCAAGAGCTGTATGAGATCACATGCCTCATCGGAGAGTTGATGCCGCGGCTACCCACCGACGGGATCTTCGCGGTGGACGCACATCTCGACCGGCCCTGGTCCACCAGCACCGAGCGAACTGCGCATTGGCAGTGGCGAGACGATAGAGGTCAGTAGACTATTCAAATTGATACAATTCAAAACATTCTGTTTAATCATGCCTTGTGTGCGCTTAATACGTTTTTGATTATATCAACTGGTACAAATGGAGTCTTAAGGTTAGTGAAGAAACCACGTATTCGTCATCTCGACGCAGGAGATAGTTGCGCAGATACTCGACACCTGCATCGAGGCGAAGGATCATCACCGTCGTAGCTAATAGTAGATGATGTAATATGGACATTCGTAGGTGTATGGCGTTCGTACTCATGGGCAGAAAGCCGTGCTCTGGAAGCAGGTGCGGCGGCGGGCGAGGAGGAGGTGTGCCTGAGCACGCTGGGCCGCTCCTACACGGTGGACCTCACCGCCATGCAGCAGCTCAACGAACACACCGGCACCGCGCGGCCCGTGCAGCGCCTCGCCCCCCCGCACGCACCCCACGCCGCCGCCGCAGCCGCCGCGCCCGGTATGTCGCACGCAATCTACTACTGTAGTCTTCTTCAACCCGTGCCCACCAACCTTTACTGGTGGTAGGACCTCTTGTGAGTCCGCACGAGTAGGTACCACCACCCTGCCTATTTCTGCCGTGAAGCAGTAATGCGTTTCGGTTTGAAGGGTGGGGCAGCCGTTGTAACTATATTGAGACCTTAGAACTTATATCTCAAGGTGGGTAGCGCATTTACGTTATTGATATCTATGGGCACCCGTAACCACTTAACACCAGGTGGGCTGTGAGCTCGTCAACCCATCTAAGCAATAAAAAAATGCTGAGTAGGTCTCTTCAAATGCACTCCTAAAAGTCTGTGCATGAAGGCCTTAAAACGCCACACTGTCGGCTGCGAGTTGGCGAGTCCACTTATTTCTAGGGTATATTTGGAGTTGTGGTAGCCCTATCTGCATTATTTGCAGAGGTCGGGATATTTCACCGCTGCCCGATGCCCGCCGTTAACTTTTACGGTTGGTAAGGTCACGTCCAACCTACCCTCTTCCTTTCTCATCCGGGCTTTGACACCGGCAACGGCGGAATTTAGAACTGAAGCACTCTCATATGCCTCTATCTACCGGTTAATAATCGGACAGAACATCATATGTTATGTTAATGTATTGTTACCAGATCCGCGCATTAGCATGGTGCGGTCGAACCCGTCTCTAATCCGCGCTCTGCTGGCTGTCCTCCACGAAGTGTACTGGAGCTCGGCGGGACCGGCCGTGCGCTCGCAGGCTCTGAAGGCCATACTGCGCTGCGTCTATTACGCCGATGCGGCGCTACTGCGACAAGTTCTAAAGATGCAGGTTAGTAGCACCGAAAAGGACTACCATTATCGACCTACAAATTAAAACCTACAGTAACCATGTCTCCTCCATTATTCTTTAGCAGTATAAGTGCCCATACATATCCTAATTTAACTTTTAATATTAATCCCGAACGTGGTTTGCTAATCTAAAGCTTACAATGGCCAAGGAGAGGCAGCTGCACAGATACATGATCTGATATATCAACCTAGCAGAGATCTGGCATGGAAATAAGAAATGTTCAAATTGCTTATCGAATTTGGCACTGACTACAACATTCCGTATTGTCATTCTTGCATTGAAGCATATCAAATTGAATAAAAAAATCAGATGTGTAATTCTAATAATTGTTCACAGGTGATATCGTCTCACATCGCCGGTATGATGGCTTCTAGCGACCTGCGCATTGTTGTGGGATCGTTGCAGCTGGCGGAGATACTGATGCAGCGCTTACCCGAAGAGATGGGTGCTCAGTTCAGACGCGAGGGCGTGCTGCATCAGGTCGCGCAGCTCGCCGCACCGCATTCCACCACACAGAACTTGCAAAAGGTTCGGTACAAACTTGAAAATTGATCGTTGTTTATGTATGAGATAACATCATATTTCTGATGCACGCAGTTATAATTTAGATTTAAGTATTTTTAATACGCTTTTATTAGCTTCAGACGTATATATGTTTGTAACGGAATCTTTGAACCTGATTTTGACCTCCTTCAAAACGTCGGATTAACTCGAAATTTGTTAAACTTATTAAGGACCGATGACGATACAATATTTAAAAAAGTTGAAAAATTTAAATGCAACTAAATAATAAATAATAGTTTAAAAAAACTAACAAAATACGCTTTTATAGAAAATCCAACTAAAAAATAGAAAATAAATTTTAATAAATTTGAATTAAGAATAGTGTAAGAAAAAAATGATTCTCTTGTAAAAAAGATGTAAAAAGCGATTTTATTGTATAAAGCATATTATGTTAGTTTTTTTTTAAACTATTATTTCTTAATAATAATTTCGCGTTTAAAATAAGACGTTTTAATTTATTTGTTACAGTCACCGAATGGCCCCAATGCACGCACCAGCGGTGGGGCATCCCCTCCAACATCATCAACGGCTTCGCTCGAGCACAACAATCTTTCCATGGCATTTTCTGCTTCAGGTTCATTTGTGGCCACTTCGCTACGTATGTATAGTTTTAAAACCAGTGTCAAGCTTTCCACCCAGCTGACAATAATGAGAGTGAAACGAAAATATAATTTAATCTATGCTTTAAGAAAATTTAATGTTATAGATTAAATAATATAATTAAACAAAGGGATTTAGTTAAAATTTTATCTAACGCTAATTTCAATTTATAATCATATTATCTTGGAACACGACTAGATTACAACAAAATATCATTTCTATTTTTTGTTCTGAATATTTTTAATTATTTAATAAAATATAATATGGTCTAGATATTCGAATTAAACATTTAAATAAATGATAAATATATATCATTTGTAGCGAGCGGTAGCGACGTGAGTGGATCGGAACCGGGTCCTGCATCTGCTTCTACACATCCCCAGTTACCAACTTCAGTGCACAGGTAAATAAAGAATAAAAATACGAAGGTTTTACCTTTTGATTTTATTCATTTAATTAATAATAAATTGTGCTGGCAGGTCGGGCAGTCCCCTGCAGCTGGCTGAGATGTTGAAACGTAAGCGGGCTATAAAGCGGAACGGCGCGGGCGGCGGTCGACACGCGCGGCGCCGCGACGACCCCGTGCACGCGCCCGCGCCGCACCACGCGTCGCATCACGCGCCCTCGCCGCACGGTAACCTTACTGCTCCTCAGAAACATAGATACCAGAAACGTCTGATATAATTAACATCTACTGCGATCTTTGTTTTTGGATCCGTATTATCCGTCCTATCTATTTCTGCGGTAAGGCAGCAAAGGCACGACTTGAGATAATTAGTTCTTAAAGTAGGTTGTGAAATTCGCTTCGTGGTGCATTCATATTTGGCGATGCGCTAGTGTTGGACCAATTTTTTTTATGAAATACGTACTTAACAAATGACGGTTGACTTCCACGGTAAAGGAATAACATCTTGTAATAAAAACTAAACCCGCAAAATTATAATTTGCGTAATTACTGGTGCTAGGACTTCTTGTGAGTCCGCACGCTCACAAAGCAATAAAAAAAAAAGTGTGTGTGTCCGCTCCGACGCACGACTGGAGTTTACTGGATATAAAAAATTAAACGAAACAATACGAGAAATAGTTCTATATTACGACAACACGATACACTACAGATTATTAACAAATTAACGAGACACAAAACAAACGACTAACAAATATATGAAAATACAATAATGAGAGAAACGCGCGATCAGTACGAGGCTTTGTGGCGGACTGCCGGCGCAGCAGCCCGGCGTCACCTGCGATAACGCGGCCGCGCGTTGGCTCCTGATTGGCGCGCGCACGCATCACGCAATCAGGAGCCAATCAGGCGCATAACGCATTTCGTGTGACATGCTAGTACGATTTTGGTCCCCATAATTTTCATACCCCGGGCCTATATATGTAAATCGATTCTAAAGGAGTAAACTCCAAAAATCTTTCAGGTAGACTGATGAACTTTGCCTATTTATGCTAAAAGTTACCATGATAAAATAAGATTAGAAAAATTAAAATTTAATATTCTAGTGATAAATAATGAGATACGTTTTCAGTAATGACAGAAGTTTTACTATATATTTTTCTATTTATATGATTATCGTTGAACATACCAGTATTCGTTAGAGAAATATAAAAAGTGATTATCTGGTTGCAGGAGCGAGCAGTTCGGGCGGAGGGCGCGGCGCCGGGCGGCCCAGCGGCGCGTCCAAGACCGCGTCGTTCCTGTCGTCGCTGAACCCGTCGCGCTGGGGCCGCGCGCCGCACCAGCACAAGGATACGGCGCTGCTCGCCTCGCCGCACGCCAGCGCCAACCTCACCGTGCAGAACAAGTTCGTCTCATATTCTAATCGTATACACAGATTTTGTTCTCACGAATTATAAATTTAGTTTTAATATGTAAGGATTTTTTTAAAGTGTGAACTTGACGAATTATAAAAACGTCTGTTGCAATATCGTATTATACCAGCTGGGGTTAGAGATAAATAAATAAACAAATATAACCATAGACAGATTTCAGAATCAAAGTCGAAGTATTACGACACAAAATACGTTCCTCACACATGAACTGTTCCGCTAAAATAAACGTCGGATCATTTTTCACTTCTTATCGCTGTGTTGCTTACTTAATCTCCAGTGAAAGGTCTGCTGCGGCGTCAATAGCTGCTGTATGTCGTCATTGCAATTTTTACTATTTGCTACGTGATGGCTCTCACTGTCACTAGGTGCTGCTCTAACATATAATTTGCACGTCGATATAAAGTGTGTATGTGGCGTCTGCCCAGAGAGAAAGTCCGCGAGTGGATATCGTGGTCGGCGCGTCGGCTGCGCTGTGAGTGGGGCGCGCTGGGCGGCGGCGCCGGGGCGCTGGAGCAGCTGGGAGCGCTGGCGGCCGCGCTGCCGCACGCTGCGCACTCGCGCGCCGCCCTGGCACATCTCCGCGACACGCTGCTGCATCACGACGTCTCGCCCTTCGAGGTACCAATCAAACGACCCACCACACCCATGTCTAATAAATTAACTTGACTGTCAACAACAATACACGAAACTGGAGAGGATTATGTTGTTGTCAACTATAGCCATAAGATTGTACGATTTATGCAGGTTCACTTTAAGCAGGCACTTTATAGTTTAGGCAGGTTTACTGGTGGTAGGATCTCTTGTGAGTCCGCACGGGTAGGTACCACCCTGCCTATTTCTGCCGTGAAGCAGTAATGCATTTCGGTTTGAAAGGTGGGACACTATACTGAGACCTCAGAACTCATATTTCAAGGTGGGTGACGGCATTTACATTGTAGATGTCTATGAGCTCCGGTAACCACTTAACATCAGGTGGTCCGTGCGCTCGTACGCCCACCTAAGCAATTAAAAAAAAACCTCAACATCGTAATAAACCGCTGTTCATCCAGACATTGAGGGCAAAATTAACTGTTAAAAATCGTCCAGGTGAACCATTCCGGAGTATTGGGCGCCTTGCACCAATACCTAACGGGCTTCGACATGGAAGTGGATGGTTTGGAAAAGCGCGACGGCGATGGCGAAGGACAGGAGTCCGCTGACTTGGTGCAAGCGTGCGAAGAGCGACTGCGTTTATTCCTACATGTGTTTGCTGAGATGCCCATTGAACCTGAGTGAGTTATATTTATAACATAACTAGTCATACCCGCCGGCTTCCAAAATGAACATTATTATTTATTGTCATTATTAGTAGGGAGTCCAACACTCATATAAATATTAGCATATCCATTAAGTACATGTATTTTTTACATGGATACCAAGTTTCAAGTCAATGGGGGGCATGGTTCAGTAGTGTAACGGAACATCCGTAAAAACCACTGTAGATTTATATATTAGTATAGATTAAAATTCCCGTTGTCATACATTTCATTTATATGACAATTTGTGCATACAATCTCTTTGCTGTACCTCTATCTAAAAATCTAATATAATTATTGAAAGAATTATTTATTATCTGTATGTACACAATCATAACTCGAAAGTTTTTGAAAAGTCGTATCTTATTTGTCGTGCTTGTTAAGAAAAATCGAAACGCTTCGTCTTGATATACTATGTTGTGCGTTTACCCGTTCAGAGTAAACGATTGGAAAGAGTCGTTGGGCAGCAGCACGGCCTTGTGTGCGCTGGTGGCGAAGGTGAACGCGTGCGTGTCGCATCTCGAGCAGTTTCCGGTGCGAGTCCACGACCTGCCGGCCCGTCCCGCCACGTCCGCTCTTAAATTCTTCAACACGCACCAGCTCATGGTAACTATCTCACCCCTTACTTTTTTTTTCTTTTTCTATGTAAGTCTTGAGCCTAGGGGTAGGTCCCAAACGATAGTCGGAACAAATAGCGGAGGCACTGAAGGTACCTGTCAGCGACGCACTCCACCAAGCTACAAAACGGAATCGATGGAGACAGCTGATTGACAGAATCGGACGGAGTCACGATCCTCAGCAGTGAGGGACCGATCGAAGAGAGAGACCTAAGTCTTGAGAGAAACTATCTCACACTACCCTTTTTTTTCTTTCTTTTTCTACCAAGTCTTGAGAGATCATATGCAGCGCCACCGGGCGAGTAGGTGAGCTCACGGAGCTCAAACCTGACGTCTACACCAATTTACACCATTCTAATACAATAGTTACGTACCATATCGAACAGGGCTATTTGGTTTAGACGACATTCTTGCAAATCTACAGGAGATCCATTTAAAGTATTAAATTTAAAAAAAAAATTGAAGGTAATATAGAGGAAAGGTTGCGTACTAAACGAGATTTCGCTTAAGCCAAATAGCCTTTCACCACTCGATATGTCAAGACTCAGGGTTTGAACACATCCATATGGTCTGAAATCTCATTTAAATATTAAACTTATATACCTACCTAATATATTATATATTATTATTCTTTGTCATTCATATAAATATTTACTATTGCAGTGTGATCTCAAACGTCATCCTTCGTGCAACACTTTGAAGCAATGGAAGGGTGGTGTAGTACGAATAGACCCATTAGCTTTAGTTCAAGCCATCGAGAGGTATGTTATTTAGATTTAAATAATATTAATCATACTAAATCAAAAAAGTATAAGCGTAATTTACCTAAACAAATTATTTATGAGCGCTACATCCCAATTTAGTAAATCATCCTATAAAAAATGTATTGTAAAAAAATATATTTATAGCAAAATGTATCCAACTATACTTGAGACATTAGAACTTATATCTCAAGGTGGGTGGCGCGTTTACGTTGTAGATGTCTATGGGCTCCATTAACCACTTAACACTAGGTGGGCTAAACATCTAAACAATAAAAAAAAAAGTTTTAACAAAAATTGCGTGACGTTATAGCACCGTATGTGCAATATACATGTAAGTGTGTATACCACAGTCTCGTTCCCAAAGTACAGGCGATCGTGTGTGATTTGTTTTTATTTATTTGAGGATTGTATTTCAGATACCTGGCGCAGCGCGGGTACGCCCAGGGCCGCACGCGCTCGGACTCTGCGGGCGCGCACTCGGACGACGAGCCCGCCTCCGATGACGACGTCGACGACGCCCTGCCCGCGCCGCCTCAGCCCACCAACGAGTCAGTCACGTTTCTCGTTTCTATGCCTTACTGAGCTCAACGCTATCCTATATTCATTTGCCACATCTATATAATATTAATACGTGAAGCAAAAACTTTGTACATCTTTTTACGAAAATTGCGCGGACGGAGGAGTAGGAGATTTCCCACACTTATAGAGAATATAGAAAGGAGTGCACAATACAATTTTTTTTTTAAATTATGCATTAAAGATACATTAAACCAATAAAGAAAACATTACACACTCTAACATGTATTTGACACACACACGCATGCATATTATTTGTTTATTATCAAACTTTTCTTATTGCATAAAGTCTATGGTCAAATTGAGAATAGATTAAATATTGTTTGTCTTTGTTAATATAATTTGCCAATTGAATTTCGACTACTGCGGGACCACTAGTAAATATTAACGTTTCAGTTCTGAACACAAACTCGAGTTCCTGATCGGCGATACAGTGCTGCCGTACAACATGACCGTGTACCAGGCGGTGCGACAGTTCGGGGAACAAACGGACGCCGACACGGACACCGAAACTCCATTGGGTGCGTTTTAAGAACTTTTACCTTCATTCATCGCTTTAATATTCCCGTGACAAAACAAATACTAGTATATATAGATTTTTTTATTGCTTAGCTGGGTAAACGAGCTCACAGCTCACCTTAAGTGTTAAGTGGTTACTGGAGCCCATAGATATCTACAACGTAAATGCGCCACCCACCTTAAGATATAAGTTCTAAGGTCTCAGGTATAGTTACAACAGCTGCCCTGCCCTTCAAACCGAAACGCATTACTGCTTCACGGCAGAAATAGGAAGGGCGGTGGTACCTACCAGCGCGGACTCACAAGAGGTCCTGCCACCGGTAAATGGTAAATATATGTATATATATATTTATAGCGAACGCGGGGATATGGGTCCAGACACACACGATATATTATCGCGCCGTGGAGCCGAACGAGCAACCGCGTTCCGAAAGCACTCCATCAAAGAAAGGCAAAGGACAACCCACAAAGATCTCATCCCGACGAAAACCTGATTTACTCTGGAACGGTAAGATCCTTTAGAATTTTCCTAGTATTTTTTATTTATTTACAAAGTTTGCAACTAATAATAAGTAAATTGCTTCATTACTTTTTGGTAACTACTAAAAAAATATGTTTAAAACTACTTTATGGTTCAATCTCGCTTTCTTATGTCTGACATACATAAAAGATATGCCTTAATCGAACCTGAATGTACAAATAACACATTAACCGTCTGTGACCACGATAACTGTAAAATAATAGTTTTAAATTATATCCACGACCCATGAAACCCAAAGAAAATAGCACAAATATGTACAGTGTGTAAGTAATTGGAGCAAAGCAATATAAACTATAATAAACATCCTCACTGTCCACATAAAACAACTTTAAACGTCTATATCTCGATACTGTTTCTTAATTACACATACTAGTATTTAAGCGCATTGGTGATATGACACAAACCGCACATTGATATGAGGTTATTTCGATGTTTAGAAGGCGCTGTGCCGGCGCGTGCGTCATCGCTGGTGGTGATGGTGCGCGCGGCGCTGCTCACGGAGGGCGACGTGCGGGACGCCTCGCTGCCCGCGCTGGGCGTGCTGCGCGCCCTGCACGCACTGTCGCGCCACTGGCACGCGCTCTACCGCGCCGCCTGTCTGCCGGACCACCGCCCTCTCGTGCCGCACGCAGACTTCATCAATGCTAAGGTGAACCTCTCCCTAATTTTGGAACTATTAGTTAATATATAAAAATTAATTGCTGTTCGTTAGTCTCGCTAAAACTCGAGAACGGCTAGACCGATTTGGTTAAATTTGGTCTTGAATTATTTGTGCAAGTCCAGAGAAGGTTTAAAATGTAGATAAATATGAAAATGCTCGGAATTAAATAAATATAACAAATTTGTTTTTCTTCTGATGTGTCCCCCGTCGGACGGATTCCTTTTGTTTGTTTTAAGTTTATTTTATACAAAAGTTTAGGTCTTTTATTTATCGATTGAGGCATTACGAAGTCTGCCGGGTCAGCTAGTAAGTTAATAAATTGTAAGGCTCTTTCAACTTCAAACATACTCTGAAATTTATAATTTTGTTTCTTTCAGCTCGCCGCCAAAGCCAATAGACAGTTGCAAGATCCATTAGTAATAATGACAGGCAATCTACCGCCGTGGCTAAAAAAGATCGCCTACGCATGGTAAGTCACACGATAGTCTGATAACTTTGCAAGAACGACGACCAATAATGATTACTTGGGAAATACTATTGTTCACAGTCCGTTCGTGTTGCCGTTCGAGTGTCGGCACTTGTTATTCTACGTGGTGTCTTTCGACCGCGACCGCGCCCTGCAGCGGCTGCTGGAGGCGGGCGGGGAGCGCGGCGGAACGGCGGGCGGCGAGACGGAGCGCGTGGCGCCTCGCCTCGACCGACGCAAGCGCACCGTGCAGCGACACAACGTGCTACGCCAGGCCGAACACGTCATGCACGAGTTCGCGCACACCAAGGCGCTCCTCGAGATTCAGTACGAGAACGAAGTCGGCACCGGTCTCGGGCCCACCTTGGAGTTCTACGCGCTGGTCTCGCAAGAACTGCAACGCGCGGATCTCGATCTTTGGCACGGCAGCGAAAACTTCAAACAGAAGCCTAGCTCTTTCGGGGGTGAAATTGTGAAATCGGGCGAAGCGGCGGCCCGCCTCGCTACTTCGGTACGCGACGGTTTGAACTTGGACGAAGAACGTACGCGCGCCACTTCACCGACGGACCGTGATAAAGATGCTCCCGAGCCGGCTGCCTTCGTTTCGTGGCCGTGCGGACTCTTTCCGCAGGCGCTAGGTCGCAACGCCCGCGCATCTCATCTCTCTCGAGTCAAAGCCAAATTCCGCTTCCTTGGAAAGTTCATGGCTAAAGCGGTTATGGATTCACGAATGGTAAATTTTAAGATGTCTAGCTTGCTCGCTCGCTTCATCAGTGATAATATACAATTTAGATCCGTTTATCTAAATTTTAGGTGGATATTCCTCTGTCGGTAACAATGTACCGATGGGTGGTGAACGAAGAACGTTGGCTAAGCTTGAGCGACGTGCGACACGTGGCGCCCGAACTGTGGCGTTCTCTGTGTCGTTTACGGCGCGTCGCCGATCGCGCACAACACATCGCAGCCGACACCCGACATACACAGGACCAGAAGAATCAACTTGTAAGTACACACTATGCATAATATCTATTATATTTTTCTTTAAATCCTAAGTTTTTGAATTGAAATGATTTTTTTTAATTTCTAGATAAGTAACCTTGAGCTAGATGGATGTCCGATTGAAGAGCTCGGGCTCGACTTCATATTGCCCGGAGACGGATGCACGGAACTGCGTCGGGGTGGCAGAGACATGCCCGTCACTGCGCACAATTTGCAAAATTATATTGATCTCGTAACTCATTGGCTACTTTTTGAAGGTTAGGAAAATGTTTTAAATTAATTTTCTTGTCATAACAACAAATATAAAAATATGTTGCCCTAACAACAAATTTTATTACAGGTGTATCAAAACAGATGGAAGCTTTCAAAGAAGGATTTGAGTCGGTATTTCCTTTGAGTAACTTAAAAATATTTTATCCTGAAGAGTTGGAACAAGTGTTTTGCGGAAGTCCTTCAGGTATGTTACGGAGTTCAATTTTTATTTTTATTTATGTTATGAGCCCGTGAGTAATTGTGTTATTGGCCAGGTGGTCGTGACCAACGATGGGATCCACGTATGCTGGCGGAATGTATTCGTCCGGATCATGGATACAATGCAGAATCGCGGGCTATACGCATGCTTATTGATATTTTGGCTTCGTACAACCGTGAAGAACAACGACACTTCTTACAGTTTGTTACTGGAAGTCCAAGGCTGCCAACTGGTGGTAAGCGATTGATTTTGTAGTCATATCTAGGTATATTAACTTAAAAGGTATTTGTTCAGTACTCTTTGCCAATCATATAACACATAATGATATATATACATTATTTGTAAATTTACGAAATATTTTAAGTTTTTTTAAATATACGATATGTTTGTAATACAGTATTGTTGAAATACTTTTCATATAAAATGTTTCATTGTTACAGGATTCAAGGCATTGAATCCACCGCTGACTGTGGTGCGTAAATCGCTGGAGTCTTCATTGGATCCGGATGAATATTTGCCATCAGTGATGACATGTGTCAACTACTTGAAGCTGCCAGACTACAGTAGCGCAGAGGTGATGCGCGCTAAGCTACGGCTCGCTGCTTCTGAGGGACAACATTCGTTCCACCTTTCATAATTGGCTCCCAAGTTTCCTCTTTTACTGTGATTACATATATCGCCCCCTTTGTATACACGTGTGAATGCGGTTAGTGATATCTTATTGTAATTTTGTTATAGTCAGCAGTGTATAAGCTCTGGACAAATGTTTATGTGCAATCAGAACCTATATTTTATAATGTGATGGACACTGAAAGTGCGGCGTTCTTAGTTTTGTTCATATTTTCGATTCTTTTAGATTACATAGATATGTTTATATCATATTTTGCGTTAATTTAATGTGATAGCTTTGTATATTTCTTTTTGAATACACCAGAGTGACGCTCTTTAGATTAGATGTGGCGTGGATGTAGACTGTGGCAAATATAATATATCTAGATGGCTATTTTATCTGTTTACAGAAAACATTTCAAATAACTATTGTAACTCACAATTTTCCCAAGAAGTCGATTTAAATAATAATTATATATGGTAAAGCTGTAAAAGCTTCAGTAATGTATGTTAGAAATGTACTGTCACTTGATGGGGTCACTGATGGCCTCTAACTTTATATTGTCCTCCTTGGAGTGTCCTCTGAATTATATGGCATTTATTACCAAACGGTGTATGTTTTTGATTCAATAAGTATCATAAATGAGTAAATGAAAAGTGCAAAGTTAATGTGTAACAATTCCAATAAACCATATAATAATATCAAAATTTGTCTTTATTACCACTGTCTTACAAAGGTATACACACCATGAACAACAGTATTGAAGCATCCAACCAATATTCACATCCAACCTGTTGGAAATGAGTAATTTACAATAATTAAAAATAATGCACCCTTATTTAGTGTTTCTGTGACCCCAGTAATGAAAAACAAGCGAACCATCACATATTAATATATATTTTTGTTTTATTAAAAACTGAATATTATTAAAATATTCTTTCCTTCTATTCTGCATTACAATGCATTGAAAATAGAGAACAAATGAATATGCAGGTATTAATCTTAACTACATTATAATTCAAGCAATAAAAATATAATCAAAGTCTGATATGAATCAAATTAAAACTTAAAATATCACAATATATTTCATACTACATTTTTTATATGAACCTATCCACCATAACTAATTTCTACTTTAAAAGAATAAATAGCTTCTGATTTAAGACTATTTTCTTAATTATCTAGCAGAAAAATAATTCAAAACACCATTGCAATCCATCCTAAGATTAAGCAGGTCCCACCGAGAGGTGTCACTTGACGCAATTTTCTATCACCAGTGAAAGCATGGTAGTAACAAGTTCCACAGAACATTCCCATACCAGCAATAAAAAATGCACCAGCCTGTAATAAAAATGAAATGGTAATTAATTAATTAATAATTATGCAGGACATAATAAGTTTAATCATTTAATAGTTTAATTTGATATTCGTTAAACTACATGCAAGAAAGAATGTGAGTTTACTCTTTCCACTCGAGATGTCACTTTCGTTCATCACATGATTTAATGCCTCAACTCGAGAGATGAGCTAGTTTCCTTCACCACTTTTTTGTGCATGCAGTGATTAATATTTGTTTATACTCTGGTTCTAATCATTGCATATATAATCTTACAAAAAAATGTCCCCTTCACATTATGTAGGATTTTCTCATCTGATTAGTACCATTACGCAGACTGCATTTTCAGCATAAGTTTGAACTTGGCAGCCTGGGCAGAATGAAAAGATATATTGAATTGAAATTTCACTTCCTCATTACCATGGAGGATAAGCTCGAGTTTGATTTGGAGTTGCTGAACGAGGAGCACAGGGAGCTTGACAGTAGAGACAACATTAGCAGTAGCGATGATAGTGATGAAGTGAGAGGTGTAAAAAGACAAAAGATCAGAATAATAGACAATGAATGTAAGAGTGATGATGATGACTGATAATAATGAGATGAATGTAAGTAATATTGCAGAAGATCTATAATCCGACAGTTTTAAGTGGATTGATTAGTTGTACATAATCCAAAAAAATACCCTCAAGAATACTGCGTAACACTACAGGACCACATGTACACAACTTCAACTGCACACATTTGTGACACTTGTCCCGTCTAGCCGGGCATGCATCTCAGCAATTCTTACACCAAATTTCATACAAAGCAAAATAACAAAGACTAATGTTTTTGAAATTATCTTTGCAAAGATGTAGAGATACTATACATTCACTATTAACCCTATGACTGCCATGTCGGTCACCAGTGCCCTAAATGCTGCACTGAAGTAATTATGTGGATTTCTGTTATGCTGTTAGAGCCACATAAAATGCTATTTAATATCCTCCATGGTATTTTTTTTCATTGACACAAGAAAAAGCATAGCAATATTAGTTATTGCTATGCTATGAATTAGAGTACTGCCTAGCAACACCACAAAGCTGATAAAGGAGAGAGAAATTGGTAACCTCCTTTATTGTGCGTAAACAAAATTGATAGAAAAATGATCTTTCAAAAGTGCTATGTACAAACTCAACAATGAATGTTAAACCTGAGAACACTATAATAGTAAACAAATTATTACCAAATAATGAGACTGAACTATTTCACCTGATAAGCATATCAGAATAAGACATCTGAAAGTTATAAGTAAAGAATACTATGCCCATAGCAGACTTACTCACAGAAAATATTGTTTCAATATAATGATATAATTAATATGTAGAAGGAAATGTATGTTTATGTGTATGTATGTATATTTGCTATAGACTACTAGTTTTTGGCCAGCATACATGATAATTACCACAGGATAAGTTAAAAATCTTGCTTTCCTTTAATATTTCACTTATGTGCATTTATTAATTCAGATGACAAGTTGGAAGAGTTTATAATTTAAAGTTATTAATATTATTACCATAAGGAATTGTTAAGTTATAAAGTTATTAAAGAGGTAATAATGTATTTTGAAAATAATTTAGTATTCATGAATATTTTATGGGAATTTAGATATAACTTACTATATACGGTCTTCTACACAGAGGAACGGTTACTAAAGCGAGGGTATGTAGAAAATGGAATCTATTGGCAGTTTCAAATATTTTCTTCAAGTCGTCTTTAGCCTCAGTCTCAGGGAAAGTTCGATGTGCTCCCATAGCACCAAGGATTACAGCAGCAGCACCACTTAGTCCTGCCAGCCTAACAAAAGGACCGGCCTCTTGGGCAAGTTGCCACAATGGAGCTCTTATCATTATGGTTGTTGGTGGTTTGTCCACTGAGCTAGATTTAAAGATTCCCTGAGAAAAAAAAAACATAAAATAAGTACACAAATAATTGAACATGTAACACACTATGATTTTTATATGTTAGTCTGCCTTTTTCATAAATATTATAATACTGTTGAGGTGCACTACGAAACGGCTACTGATAATAACTAAATAGAGTTCCAGAATAAAATCGAAACTTACTATGGTTCGTAATAAACTCATAGTTCCCTCCGTCACCGTATTAATCATCAAAGCATCCATCCAATTAACCATACCTTTAAATTAATTTATAATTTCAATATGAGAACAGAAATCCGTGTTTATTTTAGTTTTTGATTAATTCATTCATTAATCGTTATCATCATAGAAAATTATGTGTATTATCTATGCCACAGTATACCAGGTCATAAAATCTCTTAAAAATATACCGGTAAAACGGGGTGATTAAGGACAATTTGCATCTTGATGAACAATTTTAAGGTAGTTGTTGATGTTTAAAATGCTATATCAGGATCAAAATGATCGAGCCTTGGGGGTATCTTTGTTATCCAATTTATAGCTATGCAATTAGCATTCCATTTTAAGCAAAAAACACAAAAATAGGTGTTAACCCTATTTACCCAGAAATTGCGGTTAATGGGGACGAAATTAGTGTTAATAGAGAAATTTGCTAGGGCTGGCACTACTTGGTTTCAATTTATTTATTTATATAGTTGCACTAACAAAGTGATCTTCAATAAAAAACATTGAAAAAGTGACAAAAGTACACAAGAAGATGATACGAATTATAGGTGCAATCGACAGTTCATTGACAACAAAAAAAATATATTACTAAAACTTGATTACATTTAATTACTTAGGTATGATTAATTTATATTTACTTGGGAAATTATCCGCGATAGATATTTCCTGTAAGTAGTGAGACAATTAGAAAAAACATCTATTTTATCACTTAAAATTAGTTCAGCGCAATCGGACAACTCCAAATAAACATTGACGGAGACCGCGCTACCGTGGACATTGTTGTAATCCCAAAGGATTCTGTCTATGGGAGAGTAAGCACCTAAATTCGAACGAGCGGGCTTTCTTATAAACGGTTTAAATTTCGTCGTTCTTGGTAAGTACTTTGGGGCTGATATTTTTATCTGGGTTAAGAGATTAGGTGTGTCGGTTATTCCATGGATTAATCAAGTGTATACCCCCATTCTGAAGAAATATTAATATATTTTATTATGTATTACTTAGACATTTTTGTCCGCCTTGAGATTTCATGGTTCTTGTTACATGTCTGTGCTAAACCGACTTACTTATGTTAAATTGCTTAGCTATTTCAACTAAAGACTTATTCCCAATTTCATAGGCTTCTATTGCTGTTTTTAATATTAAGGGATCATATTTCTTAAAAGGCTTTGCACTCTTTGATACGTACACGCGAGGCATATCTAAAAATAGAAAACAATACGTAACTGATAATATAAATATTTGCCAAACAATAAAATAACACTGCATTGATAATTTTGAATAAAAGTTCTAGACATAAAAGTGAATAAAAGTTCTAAACACATTTAAAAAAGATTGTTATAACTACATAGACAGCCCTACAAACTTGTACCTATTTATACTTTGGTCGTTCCTATTGAACTTAGTTTCATCCCAATTGACCCCTTTTTCTTTGTTATTTGTACCTGAGACGTCCCCATTATGTCCAAAAACAACAGATTTTTACATGTATTTTTATATTATAAAAAAACATGAAACCCAATAACAACTGAGACTTGCCTTTAATATATATGATTGTTCAAACACTAAATAAAGTTTATAAATCACAGTCGTCTTCTATTATTATCAAATAAATAAAAGAGCAAAGTTTTTAGCACTAAAATAATTGCCCCCACTAAAAGTTAATAAGTTAGCAGCATGCATATTCAGAGCGTATCATGCATCAACAACTCTGAATATCTGCATATCCTGCATATTCAGAGTTGTTTTGTGAACTTTCAATATTCTACTATTACACTACAAAAAATGGAAGATTTTGCAACGAATAACGATTAAAAAACTAATACCTATTGAGCGTCGAAAGATTTTCCTGGTTTTTTCCCCATTCACCTCTCAATCCCTAATCACCCTATTTTACGGTACACACGATATATAAGTGTATTATATAAGCACAATATCCATTTTTTTAATGGATTTTATGACATTGTAACTAAGACCTTCATTTAGGCCATGTCTTATTTTAATTTTGACTGGTGGACCTCTTGTGAGTCTCCGCGGGTAGGTACCACCACCCCGCCTATTTCTGCCGTGAAGCAGTAATGCGTTTCGGTTTGAAGGGTGGGGCAATATATTAAGTGTATAATCTATGGGTGGGGCAGCCGTTGTAACTATACATGAGACCTTAGAACTTATATCTTAACGTGGGTGTTGCATTTACGTCGTAGATATATATGGGCTCCAGTAACCACTTAACACCAGATGGGCCGTGAGCTCGTCCACCCACTTAAGCAATAAAAAAGAAAAAAATGAAATTCGTATTTTTATGAAAATGATAATAAGGAGGCACAATACCTATATGTACCTACATAGTATTGAAGTCCACAGATTAGAGTTATCCAAAAATATTTCAATTGCTAAGTCAGGGAGTGAAATACGATTAGATTCGAATTATAATCGATTAGATTATATGAGTCGACTATTATCAAAGCCGGCAATCTGACTTTTGGACAATGATTGGTAAATCAGAAAAACGAATTATTGACTTTGTATTCCATTGGCAGTCACAAAACTCTTCGGAACGACATCTTAGATAAATAACAGGTTAACTATTAACCTTTATTTAATGCAGGTTTTGAACCGTATTCTTTGAAGGAGACGATTATATTCAAATCAATCTGTATTGACATATCAATAAAAAAATTTAGTCCAAATGCACAGATTGCTACCTTTGATAATAGACGACTCATATACGGTATTAACGTAGCCTTCTAGCTCAGTTGCCATCATAGATGTACCTAATACACTATTTCAGTCTCCATTCAACATCGAGCAGCACTGGTAGTTCCAAGCTTGTAAAAAATAATAGTAACCACAAACTTAATTTAATATACTTATTACAATAATAGCTATCTGCAGTGACGTTACAGATCCGAAGAACTGCCAAACATGCTTTCGGCTTCGGTTTTCGGTTTTATATTATACTACGCGAGTACGACACCGCGGTCCTGCCTCGACGATTCATGGGGCAGTTCCCTCATAATCCCAACAAGGAAACTAACAGCTGACAAAAACTCAGTCCTCTGCGGGAAGTGATGTAGCGGTAGCTATCATAGATCAGAAGAAATCAGTCCAAGCCCTGATACGTAGTGACGGTATATACACGTTAAGCTTCCGAAGCTTAAGAGGAGCATCTCCGGACGGTCACGTCATCGGGATACTTGGGGTCGACATTTGGAGCGATGTCCGATTTCGGAGTCATTTGGAGGCCAATGCCAAGTTGGCGTCCAAAATGCTGGGAGTCTTCAACAGAGCGAAGCGGTACTTCACAACCGGACTTTGGTTTATAAAACACGAGTCCGGCCTCGCGTGGAGTACTGCTCCCACCTCTGGGCCGGGGCTCCCAAATACCAGCTTCTTCCATTTGACTTCATACAGAAGAGGGCCGTTCGGATTGTCGGTAATACCATTCGCACGGATTGCTTGGAACCTTTAGGTCTGCGGAGAGACTTCGCTTCTTTCTGTATTTTGTATCGTATGTTCCACGGGGAGTGCTCTGATTGTTTGAGACGATTCCATCATCTCGTTTTTACCATCGCACCGCCCGCCACGGAAGTAGAGTTCAGGTGGTATGGTACCTGGAGCCATCCACAGGTCATCCACAGTGCATTTCCAGAGACCTTTTTTGCCACGTACCATCTGGCTTTAGAATGAGCTCCCCTCCATGTCATTCTTCAAATGAGGCTTGTGGAGAGAACTTAATGGTAGGCAGCTCGCTTGGGTAGGTACCACCGATGACTACTTAACATCAGGTGGGCCGTGAGCTCATCAATCAATTTCAGCAATAACAAATGTTCTTCAACAACGATTTTTCGTACTTATTCAAGGCCAAAGTGCACAACACATGCCACGCAGCAGACGCAGCTTGCATACTTTGAAGCCTATTGATATGCCGCCATAAAGTTCTCATATAATCGTACAATGAAAGAAAAAAATATCTTTTAGTATTTTTATTATCCCTAATCTATTTCCATTTAATACATTTATTTTACAACATTATTTTTTCTTTACATAAAATAATGTCACAGACTGCTATAGAATAAGTATTTATAGACACAATGTTTCCAGATGACCAAGAGATTCAAATTAAAGTGGAAAAAAATGTTTTGATATTTGCTTTATTTCTTAAATGAATTTTGAAATTACCTTCTAGCATTTTTTATTTTTATCATTTCATACAATACTTAATTATGTAATGTAAACGTATTAACAATTAATAATAATTAAATATAAATTCTGGGCTTCGAAACTACGTTATTGTGATGAATTAAGAAAAGAGTACAATTACAAAGTTACATTATTTGAAGTCTAACATGCCCGTGAACGGTGATTAATTGAAAATTTAAGTGACAACAGACGCGGTAACAAACAGAATAGGGGATATAATAATACAAATTTACTACACTGCAATGCTGTCTTGGGGACAGCAAACTCCAGCGAACCTATAAAATAAAATACATTATTAACACAGAATAAGCGAGCTCATCCATCTATCTCGTACGTAAATAGCTAGTATAAGCCGCGTCAATAAAGAAACGATTCTAAAATGGCGGCGGCGATCATGCGCTCTCACTCTAAATTATTGGTGTCTTTAGTCGCACACGGCGCGTACTGCATGCAAAAAAAATATCAGTTCTGACTTTGTTCTCACATTGTCTCAACGCGCTCTGTTTTCTCTCAAATTCTGTTGTTATTTGTTGCATTTGCTCGTTATTACGTCTTTGTTTTGTTGTTATTGTTAAATTTGTTTTTTTTTAAATTAAAGTACATTCTCATTTGTTTTTTTATATTTTTTTACAATAAACAACTTTTTCTTTCTATCTTTCTTTTTATTTGTTGACCCTACCATCTGTCAGTGCAGGTACATAGACGACATTTTCGATTCCTTTTTTTATTCGCGCGGCTTATACGACTAGGTACTTAAGGACAAACTTAAGTTTATTAAGCTCGGAACTTACCCAGCGACGTCACAGTAGTGAGATTTGTAGGTGTCGATGGTGATGTTCCGAGCGGCTTGACAGCGTGTGAGATACACGCACCGGCCCGCGTCGCCGCTCACTGGCTTAGAGCATTCACTTTCTGATTTAGGAGGCTACAAAACACAAAAAAAATATCTGATGTTACTACATAGGGAACTTCAGAGTTGAGTTCCAAAATTGCTTCGCGTAGAAACTCATTGTTATCGGTGGTGGAAATTGGAATGCCGATGGTGCCAAGATGATGTTTGATCACACAAGACGGTGTTGAGAGTATGGATATACAATAGGACTTAAAGTTAAATTGATGCTACTTGTATAATATATCAAGGCACTTTACAAAGCAAAGACAACAGTTTTATTTTGTTTTCGAAAATACATTTGCCGACGTCAATAAGCGACGGTAACCACTCACCATCAGATGAGCCGCATGCTCGTCTGCCTATAAGGGCAATAAAAAATCAATTCAAATTTGGTAGATCGGATTATTAGGTACAAAAAAGGAAGATTGTATGTTTGAGCGAAATAACCTCACGAACTGCCCGACTATGATATACTGGTAGAGTGATTGATATACATTGAAGGCCCGTACCTGTACGAAAGCCTACACTGAATTCAGTCTGTCGGGCTATTCATCAAAGGACACCAGTGTGCAGCCATTAACTCGATTAACATCTCCTTTCCAAAGGACATGTTAGCGGTGGGAACAATGATCCTACTTATCTCTGCCGTTAAGCATTAACATTATCCGTTATACTTCCAATCTATATCCCTAGATGATAGGATACATTTTGAGAAATATCTATGGGGTCCGGTAATCAGAGCACACTGTGAACTTTTTTGTACGTAAACAGCAATTAAAAATGACTCCGGAAAGCCGATGACATTACTAAAACTTTATTTATTTTTTAGTCGAAGCTAAATGTATAAGGAAATCAGCACAAACCTCAGATGAGCTAACTAGTTTTAATGTGATAGTGTTATTGGCGGCTACAAAAACTAAGCTATCACTGGAGACATCAACGTAGGGCTCTGCCCAGGGATACTCTTGTAAATGGTAGTTGCTGCCGTTGCTGGTGGTTGATTGTTCGATCACCGGCGTTGTAGACCATGCTGGTGGTGCATAGGCAACAGGAGTCGATGGAGGATCCACACCTAAAAGAGCATTTTTAATTAGTTTCAACACCGAGAAAATAGTATATAAGAGATATCAAAGCGATCTTCTTGAATTAAGTCATCATTATGGAAGATACTATTATGGTATATTATAATAGCAATACCGCTAATTACTGGCTAGTACTTTACTAGCTTGTACAGCTACACTGGCAGTTACTACAGAAGCAGTGTGCGCGCTTTTTAAAAGACCGACACCCAAGCCATTAACCAGCCCATGCGAACTTATACTCCACCGCCACTAATGACATATTTTTAGGGTTTGATTTATATTAAATGAGATCGCGGTGTGTTTGTCGTCATGTTCCGAATGACTCGCGATCTTTGTTATCCGATGATAGTGGATCATCGGAATGATCATATATTATCCTTCCTCTGGTGTTCAGGTTAATCCCCCAAGCTAATCCCAAGGTACCTTCGTTTTAAATTTCTTAATATGTTCGCTTTTTTTTTTGATAATTTCAAGTGCAGTCGTATTAAGTACCGTTTAAAATTTAATACATAGTTTCATCTTCTGAAATTGCCTTTTTTTATTATTGCTAGATGAGTGGACGAGCTCACAGCCCACCTGGTGTTAAGTGGTTACTGGAGCCCATCTACGACGTAAATACGCCACCCACCTTGAGATATAAGTTCTAAGGTCTCAAGTATAGTTACAACGGCTGCCCCATCCTTCAAACCGAAACGCATTTACGGCAGAAATAGGCAGGGCGGTGGTACCTACCCGCGCAGACTCACAAGAGGTCCTACCACCAGTAATTACGGTTACGATTGATTACGATTAAAATTACATCGACCAGGACTACCAGGATAAAAAAAAACATGTTAGCTTGTTTCTTTTACTAGTTAAGCTATATGTATTGTAGTGTATGAAAAATGTACTCCTGAGGAAATGTGAAAAGCTCTTTTGTCTTGTCACACCACTCTAAATTTTTCCTGAGCCGATTTGGAATAATGCTCTCATACTACGGGTACTTTGATATATCGTAGATATTTACTATCGTATTTTATTGTATTATAGTATAGTATACGTATATCCATATGTATACATAAGTTTAGGTACTTAAGGTAGGTATTTAAGTGTGTAGTAGGTATATAATTTAATTTTATGCCGATATTTGTTTAGTGGAAAATATCGAAATTTTTAGCTTGAGCGTCGACCGATGATTCTTACGTTCCTCACCGAACAAAATTGTCGGGAAGGGATCACTACAGAACAGCCAATTTTATAACTGTAATTTTAAGATTTACCCTTCAAGCCGAAATGTGTATTACTTGTTTGCGGCGGAATAGGCAAGGTGCTGATGATACCTTACCGTACGGACACACAAGCACAAATTATAATTTTTCCGGGTTTGATTTTTATTACTCAATGTTATATTTCTTCACCGTGGAAGTAATTCGTGAACATTTGTTAAGTACGTATTTCCGGCGCACCGACTTCATTTTGATTTATCTAATCATAGACTATTTTATTTATTTATTATGTTTCTTCAGCGATTAAGACCTCTCAAAGTACAAAATTCGTAGAGTACAATTTCATTAGTTGGGTACGTGAACAATTTTCTTCGATAAGCAAGCAGAGCATGCGAGCATAAGCATAATAGCTAATTATGTATGTACACGAGATAGAACATAAGCACTTATAGATAATATGGCTTCGTTGGCTTTGGGCTACGGTAATAATCACTTAACATTAGGTGAGCCCTCTGCTCGTTCACCCATCTGAGCAACGAAAAGAAAGGGAACTCGATATCATTAAATAGAAGTTGGTTTCTGAAGCCGAAAAACACATTATGTAAACACGTAATATACAAACATTGTACATTACATATTTATTTAGGCGTAGCTCAGAGAATTAGCTAAGCGTCGTTAGTACTCTTTACGATTTAAGCGAGTGCTAGACATAATACACGCTAGTATATTTACATAGTATACATGAGTCGACTATTATCAAAGCCGGCAATGTGACTTTTGGACAATTATTGGTAAATCAGAAAAACGAATTATTGACTTTGTATTCCATTGGCAGTCACAAAACTCTTCTGAACGACATCTTAGATAAATACTAGGTTATGTATTAACCTTTATTTAATGCAGGTTTTGCACCGTATTCTTTGAAGGAGACGATTATATTCAAATCAATCTGTATTGACATATCAATAAAATTTTTTTGTCCAAATGCACAGATTGCCACCTTTGATAATAGACGACTCACATATCAGGCAGTATATTTATACCTATCTGTATTACATCTTTACCACCACTTCCATCACCCTTAAATACACTTTATATATTGTCTATTTATACGCTCATTAACTTTACATATACCCTGACGACTTACTCATTACCTTCACACTTCCTTTACGTCCTGTGTATTTGCACTATCTTTATGGTTATCGCCCGACCCATTATTAACGGGGCTTTTAGGTACCACAAGCACCGGTTACCGTGCTCGTCGAACCCGTCGCTTGCAACGAAGGGCTCGACGAGCGAATTAACCCATAGACAGAGCCCACTGAGTTTCTCGGCGGATCTTCAGTGGGTCGCGTTTCCGATCGGGTGGTAGATTCTGCGAAGCACTGCTCTTACTAGGACCAGTCTTAGCAACACTTCCGGTTTGAGCCCCGTGAGCTCACCTACATGTTAGGGTGAAGCTGAAATAGCCTCTCAAGGTTATCAGCATAGGTAGGAAAAAAAATGCTTATCGCCTTTTTACGGCGGGAATACATTTAGTGATATCCGGCCGAGGCGAACGCTCATACATCCCGCCTTGGTTTTCCAAAATATAAATTACAATACATATTTAACTATATAGCACCCGCCTTGTTATGATTTTATACAAATTTATGAACCATATTTAGACCTAAATAACATGCACGTAGCTATTTTGATAACTTACCAAATCTTTGCTCATAATCGTAATCGTCAACGGCCTCCGACTCCACTCTCATTGAATCTTGTGAAAATAATGCTTGAACAGGCCTTTTATTAAATGCAGTATAACCTCTATTTGGGAAGGCCGAAAAGGCTACAAATACGAAAAATTACATTATTGCAATTCACAAATTGCACAAAGATAAAACAGCCGTTATAACAATGTGAATTGACTTGATGGACGTTTATACATTATAACAATATCCATTTCGAGAAAGCGGCACGAAACGAGAACCAAGCAGGAAAAGAAAAAAAGGAAAAAAAGATAAAAATATTTGGCGCTACCCAACAAATTGGTTCAAGGCAAAACGGATGTACCGATATTTTTCTTAAATTTAAACCTCAACCAATTCCAACATTCTCATCGAAGCCGGAATGGGATCTTTCGGGGAAACCAGGAGTTTGTGTTTTAATTTTTAAAAGTGCAAAATGTTTTGACATCAGTCGAAATGTTTTGTCTCCTTGTTTTGGTTTTGCGTGAATCATTTTCGCTGATAAGTCGAAAGTAAAAAGTATCCCCTAATTTATACTTCTTATTTGTCTTTGACTTCTTCATCTTCAAACAACAGAATTTATGAAAAATAAAAGTAAACACAACACATCTACAACACATAATAAACTATTTGAAAAAATAATATAGTGCCATTATCTAGAGAAAGAACAGAGGAATACGGCTACATGGACACAATGAAAATTGCGTTTTCTCGTTGTTGACTACCAAGTTAATTTAAATTATTTTACTTGGATGTGGTCATCCCGACAAGCATTTAAGGTAAGTACTTCCTTAGAAAAAATAGTAAATGTCCGCGGGATTTGAAACATCGCATCGCTTGTTAAGTACTAATTTGTCGAGAGTCAATTCGATTCTTATCCAATTAAGCTATATAAACTTAGAATTTAATAACATAAACAAGGTCGAATTTATTATAATATATTCAATCCGAAATCACCAAATCCGTTTTTATTAAAGGAATCTGGACAATAATTAAATAGAAAATTTAAAATAATACAAATATTTACGTACGTTTAATAAAGAAATATATTAAATCGAATGATAGAAGTTTGAGATAAAAGCGTAGAGCTTAATAATAATAATTAAAAACAATCAACAAGGGTTCCGTCTTAGTCTTAATATCAAAATTCGCTAATGCTTGGGCATGGATTTTAATTCCCTTTCCATTGTTCAGATCTATTTAAAGCGTTTTATGTACACAGATAAAAGAATGGCTCATGTTTCTTGAGAAAATCGCGTCCGATGTCAACAAAATATAATACCTACTGTTTTATAGTTTTATAGGGCGTGTTTCAAGCGCGAACGACACAAGGTAGTTTTTGGGTTATTCTAGGATGTTTTCAGTTAGGTTAACGCATTGTTTATATGACAAGAAATATTAAACGGATACAAAATTATACTTTTCATCCTATCTACAGCTCATAGTGCTCTGAAGAATTATTCAAGACGATATTTCCATCTCATTTTTACCGTGGTTCCGCCCATCACTGGAATAGAGTTCATCCATCCTACTTGGTGTTAAGTGGTTACTTAAGCCCATAGACTACAACGTAAATGTGCCACCCACCTTGAGATATAAGTTCTAAGGTCTCAATATAGTTAGGTACAACGGCTGCCCCACCCTTTAAATCGAAACGCATTACTGCTTCACGGCAGAAATAGGCGGGGTGGTGGTACCTACCCGTACAGACTCACAAGAGGTCCTCCTACCAGTCCTACCAGTAATTACGCAAATTATAATTTTGCGGGTTTGATTTTTACTACACGATGTTATTCCTTCACCGTGGAAGTCAATCGTGAACATCCCCGGCGTTTCCAGAGCGCTATGACATGTGCTTCTTCAAACGAGGCTTGCGGAGAGTACCTACCCAGCGCTAAGAAGCGACTTGGCTGTTCCCCTGGCATTGCTGACATCCATGAGCGACGGTATCCACTAACTAGCAGATAGGGCGAATGCCCCTCTGCCTACGAAGCTCAAATAAAGAGTACTGCAGAGAACGGTACTTACCAAGAGGTGACATTGCATTTAGTGACGGCCGATACATGGCTGGGCTACTGATGGGTTGGCGATGCGAATCTGAAGTTAATTATATGATTAAAGTCAGCTGTCACTCAGGGACGTCTTAAATTTGGCTGGGGCCCTTGGGCACAAAAGAATTTGAGGCCCTTTTGGAAAGTAAAAAAAGCGAATTATAATAACAATTTTTTATTATAGGTAATCAAATACGGTATGATATAATATGTCATTAATGATATTGGAATGCTGCTGGTTTTTTGGTTACGATCACGATAACGGAAAGCGAATAAATGTGTGAGAGAGATTGTCGGTCCTTAGGTGCCCCCTGAGAATGGGGGCCCTGGGCACGGGCCCCGTGTGCCCTTATGGTAAAGACGGTATTTATTGGCTGTCACTTTATTTTAATCTCAGCTGCACCTACAGTCGTAATTCTAAATGAATCTTAATGTTCATTAGCCTTAATCGATTTGCTATAATAGTCGTCGACTTGCATTAAAATACAGGACAGTGTATTGTTTAAATTTTATACTTCGAATAAATGTGATTTAACTGTTTTCACTTGTAAACTTTCCTAATTTATTAATAGTAGTTGTAATAGTAGATTAGGCAGCGGCTTGGCTCTGCAGACCCCTGGCATTGCTGACGTCCCTGAGCGACGGTGACCACTTACCATCAGGTGGGCCGTATGCTCGTCTGCCTACAAAGGCAATAAAAAAAAAAAAAAAAAAACACGAGTGATAAATTATTATGAAAATATTGCCTAAGCAAACATTATTACTGAGTAAGTATCTTACCTGTCAAGGATAACAGTCCATATTTTTGACCTGAAATCGAAACAAAAACGGTTTAAAAAAAAAACAATCGATACCTATACTAATTTACTTTAATTAATTACTAAGAGGAAAGAATTAATTATTTTTCCTTATAAAAGCTCACAACGTGCTAGTATGTTTTAAGTGAGGTCAAAGGATATCATTATATCATTATGAATTTGTAAGCCCGACCTTCTCGCTCCAGTATTATCAATGTTTTTTCGTTTCTACTTAAATTAGCTCACAACAATAATGACGCAATACCCTAGTAGCCTATTGTCGGAACAACGTGTTGGTAAAATATCATCGACATTAATAATGCCTATGATTACATGCAGTAAAATCTTACAAAAATCTGAAAGCAAACTTTAAAATCACGGCTCACGGCCCACCTGGTGTTAAGTGGTTACCGGAGCTCATAGATGCCTACGACGTAAATGCCGCCACCTACCTCGAGACATAAGTTCCAAGTCTAAGTTATAACAGTATAACAGCTGCCCTACCCTTCAAACCGAAACGCATTACTGCTGTAGAAATAGGCAAGGTGATGGTACCTACCCGTGTTCGTATTCATAATGTAAGTATACATGTGTAAGTACTGTGTGCCATGCTCATGCAGTACGCGTAATAGGTATAGCACGACCGCGTACTGTAATGCCGGCCACTCACATGCGCGCAAATATTCGTACATTCTACGAATACTTGTGTGCATGTGAAGGGCCGTCAGACATTCATTCGCAAACTTAGCGGCTGTGCAAATGGGTTCGGTATTCAATTTGCGAACCCGTTTGCGCTTCCTCCTACATTTGTTTACGAATTTCTCTTCTTTTTTAATTTCTCAATAGAACATTGAAAAGAAAAAAAGAGTTTTCAATTATTTTCTAGGCGTCATTAACGGCCATTCTGTTTTTATGGGATTTCTTTTGAGGGTCCCATATGGTCGATTCATTTTGCAGGAGTTCAATTTACACCATCACCTTGGTGTTGTTCCGATACATGATGAAGGTACGCTACACAGTAGACGTCACGAACTTTGAAAATGGCGAAACGTCCGTTACCTTCGCAAACGTGGGCACAACTGGTCACACGCATGTGTGGGAGACTACACGAAGGATCGCGGTTCGCGCGCTTTGATGTCCGTTAAAAAACCGACACAGCTTGGAAAACCACGAATGCAGCGAAAACTTTGCATAATCATTTGCAAATGTCGTCCTACACTTGCGGGTTTGCGTATTCGTACGAATGTGAGTGACGGTATAACAGTACCTATTTACTATTATTGATCGAAGACCTATTACCCGGAAAAATTTAGCATGTCACATAACATTAAACATGACGTTCATAAGCAAAGAACATATCGCAATTATGTACCATTTATAAGTTGAAACTAAAAATGTGAACATTAATTAATATTATTTATACATTTAAAAAAATCTAAAGTAAACTTGTATAGAGTTTACTTGGTAATAATAAAAGGTCCATAATTTATGACGTAATTGTTAACTATACAAATTAAACATTCCAGGCATATTTCTGACAGGTCATGCTTAGAGTACTGAGTAAATGCCATATTACGCGGTACGAAATGTCATACATACTATATAGCATTACTTCATAGAGTCCTGTTTTGCCCCACCCCTCCTGGCTGAGCCTTTGCTCGCCCACCTGTCCTGGTGAAACTGGAAAGGCCTTCGGGCCACCAGTAATCTCTCAATCATAAAAAAAAAAAAAAAAACTGTTTTGCGCAAGTCTAAATGTAAGTGTTGTTCCTAATGTTCGTTTTATTCTATTAATCTTTTAAATCTCACCGCTTTCCCGATCGCCGACCGGCTCAGCGTTCACTGCGTCCGTCTCGTTAGGCTTCACTACCACCAGAGAAGTTAGCGGCGTCACAAACTCGTACTGCAAAGAAACAACTTCGACTTGATTCACATACAAGTTGTATTTTTAAAGTAGTACGATGATGCTAATTCCAATTTTGCACTGAAAATATATATTTACTAGCTGTACCCGTCCGCTTCGCTGAGCATTAAAATTAACATTATTATTTTCTCACCCCCAAAAGATTCTCATCATTAACGCCCCCGCAACTGGTGTAGGGAGTCCAACACTCATATAAATATTAGCCTATCCATTAAGTACATGTATTTTCTACATGGATACCAAGTTTCAAATCAATCGGATGCAGGGTTCAGTAGTTATAGCGGAACATCCGTAAAAACCACTGTAGATTTGTATATGAGTATAAATGAGTCGTCTATTATCAAAGGTGGCAATCTGTGCATTTGGACAAAAAAATGTTATTGATATGTCAATACAGATTGATTTGAATATAATCGTCTCCTTCAAAGAATACGGTTCAAAACCTGCATTAAATAAAGGTTAATAGTTAACCTGTTATTTATCTAAGATGTCGTTCCGAAGAGTTTTGTGACTGCCAATGGAATACAAAGTCAATAATTCGTTTTTCTGATTTACCAATATTGTTCAAAAGTCAGATTGCCGGCTTTGATAATAGTCGACTCAAATATGAGTTTGTTTATTATTTATGTACCTACTATGAAAATACATATCTTGGACGCATTAAAATGACTTTAAAGGCACGGATCGTGTACTGGCTTTATATTTCCTTTTGGGACTCCACTAAATACATACCGAATCACTAAAGCAATAACAATAATAATTATAAGAAATTATAATTTGCCGTATGATTAGGTTCGACTGTTATTTTCGTTTAGTGAGCAAAGCCGCCGGTGACAGCTAGTGATATTTCAAGCATCCTGTACATCACATCAAGTTTGTAATTTCAACGTGTATTTTATTTTTATAAATACTATGTAATTATGATAAATATATATTTAGATTAGATGTGGGGCCGTCCCGTACAAAGCGATCGTAATAGTACCGTTAGCCACTGGGGAAACGACTTGACGAAACCAGCGCGTCATTTGGCGGGTTTTCTAATGATACATACATACAATATGTAAGCAGTACGTTCCGGAAACCGAAACAACCGTTAAACGTTCTGTCAAGAATACATCGCGGTGTTTGTTTAAAGATCGGAATGTTAACTTAAATTTTAATGAGTATTTAATTATTACGAGTAGTCTTTCCAACTAGACTTCTTTGTTTAATTGTTTGCGAAAATGACAACTCCCGTTACCTAGCTAATAGGAATATTCTTACAGTTAAAAATGATTATTTATTAACTAGCTAGCTAAGACATAGCTGCTTTTTTATTGTTTATTATTTTGTTATTTCCGCGTTCTCCCTAGGCTTTTTTTTTTTCCTACCTAAGCTGATAGCCTTGAGAGGCTATTTCAGCGTAACCGTGGCTAGTAGGTGAGCTCGCGGGGCTCAAACCTGACGACGATGCTATCACGAACCCTAGCAAGAGCCATGCTTCGCAGAATCTACCACCGGATCGGAAACGCGACCCACTGAGAAGATCCGGCGGGAAACTCAGTGGGCTGTGTCTGAGAGTTAGGTGGTGGTCCCTAGGCTGTGATTGTGTTGACGCGCATTCAACTAATTTTCACAACATTATTAAGATAAACATTTTAATGTTTTTGTTTGTTGTCTAAGCTTCGTTTTCTTTTACATTAATACAACTTAGTATACAGAAATTAGCCGAATATTTTTATTTTATGTTTTTGAATCGAATGATCTCGCTCTATAAATAAAATATGCGAAGGCGTGTTTTGGAATTATTTATATCTAATCACACGAATAATTTGAAATGGGTCCAAGCCATTGATACTCTAGCTAGAGTTCACTTGCCTATTAAATTTAGCCTTTTATTTTGTTTTGACATATTGAAAGTAAACGCACAATTTCCTAAAAAAAATATACCACTAAATCGTTAATGGGTACTAAACAAAAACAATAGGAATTTTTCCAAAAAAAATTTTTTATCACTGCCTATTTATGTATAGATTTAACACAAAAATAAATATTCCATCATATTTAATTTTGTAATTAGTAAATGCCTTGAATCGATCAAAAAAACTAGAATCAATAAAAAAAATATTCTACATTTCTTTCCTATAAATGGCACTATTCATTCATTGTTTAAATTTTCGAAATAAAAATACATTAATCAATTTAAAATGAAATAAATTCTGAAAAAAAGAACGATTGAATTTATGAGTTTATTACCTTCAAAGCTATTTTAAGGGCCTGCTGCTCAGGACTTGTCTCTTTCTTCTTCTCTTCTTCAGTAGCGTCGGAGGCATCGCTTGCGTCGAGCAATTGCTTGATAGTGAGATAGGCCCATAGACGTTCAAGGGGTAAATCACTTTTCTCGACGGGTACCGGAACTTTGATTTTCTTTGTGATTTTTTTCTGTTTACCGTAATTGCACTAATTAATACATTATTTCATTTGTTTAAATATTAGACACCGCCCGCTATCTGGTGTGCGAGAAGCTTGCATTAACAGTTAACGACTAGATATATTATATTAGATAAGCAGCGGTAGGCGGTAGGCAGCGGCTTGGCTCTGCCCCTGGCGTTGCTGAAGTCCATGGGCGACGGTAACCACTCACCGTCAGGTGGGCCGTATGATCGTCTGCATACAAGGGCAATAAATAAAAAAGATAGACGGGTTGCCTTTGCGTCAGGCGGTAAGTGGTCATCAAAGATCGAAGAGGCCATACCCTGCCGTCATGAAACATAAACTCAGAGACTCCATTAAAAATATCGTATTATCGCAGTTTAATTTGGCCAGTTTTAATTATTGCAGGAACCCGCTCGCTCCGTTCATCGTGAAAGTTTTTCGTGAATGCATTGTGAATACTAAATATACGTATTAAGGTATCTGTCAGTCTAATAGAGGCTTAGTCGCATCACTTGTTGTCAACAATTACCAAATGCCACATCTAGTCATTTCGTAGAACGATGTTTCTGTACTAAATAAATAAGTATGTACCCTCAGGAAGTGGTCGTTCTCATCGCCGCAGAAGGCCTCGACGGTGGACTCGAGGTCCCGCGTCGCGGTATCGACCTGCCCGGCGACCACCACCTCGGACCCCGCGTAGTACGTACGGAACTTGGTCTTGGTCACACTGCTTTCGATCACCTAAAAATCAATGAGCCTGCCATTCAAATTCATAACACTTCGAACCAGAAGTCCTCACGAAAGCCAAACACGAATTATTTTATACAATAACCAAGTAGGTACAAGAAAGAAGTGAATCTTCTTTTGCGGTGTGTAGAATTGGGGTTTTCTTCATTTTTCATTCTTAAATCAAATGTCTCTTGTAATAGGAAATGCATATAAATGTGTATAAGAGAAACGACCTCTTCGCCAATTATATATTTTTTTAATTATACTAGTGGTCCCGCAGTAGTCGAAATTCGACTATAATTAATTGAAATTATAAGTTTGAACGTTATTAAGATTCTATTGCCAAAGACTATTATAATTCTATATTCACAGATTTCGCCCAGACTACACTATAGAAAAATAATAATAAAGATAAACAATATTAACCTATTCTTAATTTGACCACAGACTTTAAGCAATAACAAAAGTTTGACAGTAAATAAAGAGTATAAATATGTGTGTGTGTCAAATTAATGGTCGTGTGTGTAATGTTTTTTTATTGATTTAATGTAGGTAATATTAATGCATAAATGAAAAAAAAATATTAGCATTCTGCACACCTCTATATTCTCTATAAGTGTGAGAAATTTCATACTCCTCCGTCCGCACAAATTTTCGTAAAAAGTGCTACAAAGTTTCTGCTTCACATATTAATTATTATTTAAAGACGTTTATCGCAAAAATATGGCTGCCGACATTACTCGCTGGGGTCAAACTTAATAAGATTATCTGTACACCGTCACCACCAATCAGAGCAGATGATAAACTTTAATCATTGACCTAGAACTCTTTTTTTCAGTTAAATATATGCGGTGACAATAACAAGGTAAAAGTTCTCCCACAGTCTAGCGATAAAGAGGGAGAAGGAAGAAGTAGAGTTGTTATCAATTTTTATAATAAAAATTCAAAGTACCTACTTCTACAGTTCGATTTTGCGCTTTTTATTGTTACTACACGTGTCGCAGTCACCGATGACGTCAGAAAGAATATAACGACAATAAAAAACGCGAGTTTAAGCCGTAACATTCGTTTTAATTATTAGTGCAACTCGCGAAAACGGAACAAAGATCTTTGTAATCATTCATTGTGCCCGAGCGTTTAGTTCCGTTGTAAACAAGCGACATTTTCCCTTTACCTGATCCGGTGCGTAGACAAATTTGACATGTGACAGCAGAGGCGAGGAGACCTGTCTGTAGAAGTCGCGCAGCTGCAGCGCCGCGTCTGAGGCCTCGTAGATGTGTCGCGCAAAACCGTTGTTGCGGAGCGACAACTTGCGCAGGAGCTTGGGATCCGCATCCTCACCTGCGCAATGAAACTTATCGCTTAAGAATTACCGCAGTTCATACGTGTCACCAGTGGTGGATTTACACTAGGGGCAGTCGGGACAAGTGCCCAGGGCGGAAAATTTTAGAAAGTTAGAAAAAGAAACGAATATTTGTTTATGTTTTTGGAATATATATAACATCTTTTAGGGACCACAAAAGTCCCCATGGCAACTATTAATATGTATGTGTGAGCGATAATTATATTGCAGTGACGATACGTCAGTCTCGGGATTGTCGGGCTGTCGATTGCACGTTAGGTTGTAATCCCAATATATTTTATTTTATTATTTTATTTATTTATTTATGTACACACAGAAAACAAGACACAGTACAGAGTAATAGGAAAATTATGTACAAAGGCACTGCTTATTTCTTTGAGAAATCTCTAGTCTAAATCTCTCTAAATACTTTAGTCACTTAACTGAACACTTGTCCTATTAATCCTTGCCCGATATAGAGACTCAATAATCTAATAAAGTTTCTGCAATAAATTAAATATTTTAATTTTGAAAAATAAAATATATAAACTTTAAGTAAAATTCCAGTGATGGTGCGGATTATTTTCCGGTGCCCAGGACCGGCATTAAGTTTAAATCCGGCCCTGTATGTCACCCACCCCAGACACGAGGACGAGCGTAAGATCTTACAAACTGAAATCACTGATAGATATTGCTTTTTATTAAGCTCATCGTTCTCATCGAACCTGTCGCTTGCAACGAAGGTCTCGGCGAGTAAATTAGCACGCAGACATAGCCCACTGAGTTTTTCGCCTGATCTTCTCAGTGGGTCGCGTTTGCGATCCGGTGGTAGATTCAGCGAAGCACGGCTCTTGCTAGAGTTCGTGTTAGCAACGTCGTCAGGGTTGAGCCCTGTGAGCTCACCTACTAGCTCGGCGAATCTAGAATAACCCCTCGAGGTTACTAAAATAGGTAGGAAAAAAGTCATCGTGCGGTACGCATCACGCTCGACCTGTAGTTTCCTTGTCGCCATATCCTAGGATATATTTATTTATTTATTTAGCATTATGCACAAAGCTTACTTAATGCCTGAGGCATTCTTTACCAGTCAACCAAGGGTGGTGTAGAGACTCCTGTGGTAGGTGCATTCCTTTTTGCGAATGTTGGTGTTATATATTTGTGATTTGTAAAACAGAAAACGCCGAAATCAGTTTTTCTACGAACGGTATTCAGGTTATAAGGAAACCGATTCTCATAATAAAGATATGTCGTAATAATGATATTTACTGACACGATATTCAATAATAAAATCATGATTAATGATTGTCCGTGATGTAGCAATAAAAATTAACGTGTTTTCACAGTCCATCAGACGAGTACTAGATTAACCTAGACTATTATGTTCACAAAATACAATTTACTATACTGCAACTATTTGTTAAAACTTTTTTTAAGACTTCCGTGAAGGTTTTTTCAATATATTTGATATACTGCGACCGCAAGAAAAGCCTATGGGATTCCATACAGGAAACTTTTTCCTTGTCTAATCGACGGGATATTCCACCTATGCATGATTATTTAGGAGAGCTCACGGGGTCTTAACCTGAGAAGACTTGCTTATATTAGATCTAGAAGGAGCAGTTGCTTCACTGAATCTACCATCGCTTCGACATAGCAACTAACTAAGAAGAACCGACGAGAAACACAGTCGATTGTGTCTAGGGGCGTAAAGGACAAAAACAAAAACAAATAAAAATTATCGAATTTAATTAAACTCACCGAAAGCAAGTGAAAATATCGTGGCTTCATCACTTCCGTAATTCTTTTCAGCGACATTTTTAATTATTGTTTTCGGGTTCATTTCACCGACAGTCGGATCGCCATCCGTCAGGAATATGATGATGGGCTCCAAAGACAGGATTTCTGAGGAAAAAAAAAATTAGACAAAAATGGTAAAGGTTAAAACTGTATTCTGACATACTGACACACATTAGAGTGTAGATTATTTCGGACGACGGAAAATCTAAATAAAACATATTTGTTGGAAAATGTTATGATTCATGTTTCTACTAACCATCTTTGTTGGAAGATGTTGAATTGGCAAAAAGCTCTGATCTGTTCCTGATTAGATCTATGGCAGTACCGAGCGCAGCATCAATGTTGGTACCTGCAGTTGAACATAATTGTTATTTTTTCTTTTATTATTAGTTTAGCGTACATGGTACCCGCCAGAAGAAATTATAAAAAAAAACGTTTTCACCTAAATTTGAAATACGTAATTATAATGTAATGTAGACCCACTCTCCAGCACAACTTTTTTTTTCCTACCTTTTCTAGTAACCTCAAGGGGTTATTCTAGATTCACCGAGCTAATAGGTGAGCTCACAGGGTTCAAACCAGGAGTGTTGCTAACACTGGCTCCAGCAAGAGCAGTGCTTCGCAGAATTGACCACCGGATCGGAAACGCGACCCACTGAGAAGATCCGGTGAGAAACTCAGTGGACTGTGTCTGTGGGTTCATTTACTCGTCGAGCCCTTCGTCGGAAGCGACGGGTTCGGCGAAGACGGTTACCGGGCAGCATAACGAAGAAGTCTATGTACGTAATGAATTTTAATGTTACGATATTTATTCGTATATATACAAACCACCCTTACATTATATTGCTTAGTATATAGGGGAGACCGGGGCAAGATGAAGTTCGGGGCAGGACGGGAAATAAGCTTTTGTCCATGAATGGTAATCGTGTTCGGACCGGTAACGGCGCCATTTGCACGAAATTCAGACTGCGCAAGTGCGTCCGAGCAGAGTGAACGTGTTGGATCTCGTTTTTGCGTTGTATAGGAAAAAAACTGATTTTGCAAGTGTTTTTATCCGGTTTTTGGTTAAGAAACTGATGTGCAGACTTGTAAGTACTTGAATTAATATAATGTTTTAATCCTCAGCGTGTTGTAGTACTATAACACTTTAAATTCAGATTAGATTTTTGCGCCGGTAAGATATAAGATTAGAATTGCTTCAACTTATTTGAATACATGTGGGTCGGGGCACAATGATCGGGGCATAACGGAATACTATTGCGTTTTGCCCCTTCCTTGTGGTTTAAATAATTTCTTCTGTGTACCCACTTACCTATCGATAGTATTGCAACCTGGTTAAGCAAGCGTCCATAGGCTACGGTAACCGCTTTCCATCAGGCGAACTGTAAGCTTCTTTGCTGACTTAGTGGTATAAAAAAAAGTATAAGTACATATTGTTGTAATTTCTACATAAGCAAGATATATCGTTGCTTTTCTCATAAAGTTTTTTTCTCAGATACAATGGTTCGGAACTATAAACGAAAAACAGATCGTGGCAAATGGGACCCTGAAATTCTGGGTCTTACGGGTTCTTAATAACAGGATGGGGCTTCCTCGAGCCTCTGCTACATATGATGTTCCGCCGCCGTGTAAGAAAAGCTCGTGATACTGTGGATGACAACACTGATTCCGGTAACTACTAAGTATGCAGGAAGCACGGTTAACCGGAAAATAAATTCGTGTAATAGCTTATCAGTTGGGTCAGCGAAATCATATAGATAGCCCACTTAATGAAGAAACCGACATGGCAGGAGAAGATTGGCGTAAAAAACGAATACACAAAGTTGGAAATAAGAAGATAAAAAGAACTGAAAACAAGCATCAAGCTAAAAGACTCGCCAAAAAAATCGAATCGGAATATAGTTCATCTTAATTGGAGGACGGTGACTGGGCCTGCATCTATTGTGGTTACTTATACTAAGAGTCAACCGAGGGTTGGGCTATCTGCAGTATTTGCCATGGTTGGGCACACGATTCCTGTGCCGAAGTAGATGAGAAGACGACGAGGCACACATTTGTGAACGCTGTCTGCCCGATTAAAATACGTACTCCTTTTGCCCCGTAGCATTTCCCATCTTACCCCGTCCATGGGGCAAGACGGGAAATTCGCCACATTATCGTTAATCATTATTTGTCAAAAAAGTTCTGTGATTTTGCTTGATAAAATTATTAATTTTAAGAAACAAATGTATAAGTGTTACTTATTTTCTTAAAGAATTTAATTAAAGAGTATAATTGTGGTTGTACAGCGAGTTTTGTCTTAGCTATCTCATCTTGCCCCGGTCTCCCCTAATTAGGGGATCGCGCCTTCCAGTTTGTATGGTATTTTAAAGGCCGAACTACAGAAATATACGGAACGGTGATATATGCCTGTGCATGCTCATAATAAATAAATAAATATTTACTAACAATCACGCCACGTTAGCTGGTCCCGTGATAAGTTCGTAAAGAACTTGTGTTAAGGTACCAGATAACGGAAATAAATGTAAGATTTTTATTATACACATACATACATTTTAATATACATCCATAACCCTGGAAAAGACATTTATATTTATCATACAAATCTCTTCCCTTGGCGGGATTCGAACCCGCGACCCCCTTGTGTAGTGACCATGTCACTTACCACTACACCAGACGGCCGTTAAATAATACCTAGATACTACAACTAGCATACATGCGTTTAGATGGATTGATTTATTTAGATGCTATTCCTTCTTCGCGGTAGAATAGGTTGTATTGGGTATATGCGTGTGCTTGATGGTGATTATGAATTCGACCTAAGGCCAATAAAATTAACACACATGGATGTTTTTAGAAAATTTAACCTGTCATTTTTTTCATCAAACTCATTTTGTCATTTTGATCTTAGAATTGGCGATGTTCATGACCGTTAGGACTATTAAGGGCCTGACGCACCATAAGTTGGTTTCCGTTCGTTGCTTACATAATAAAATTGACGCTTTCTTCAATTTACCATTGCTTTCGAGTCCATAGTCTTTTTTTTACTTTTAAGTAATTCGTGACTAATAATAATTAATGAAAACATTGTTATCTTTTGTTTGTACATTTGCACAGTATTAAACAATACCTATCATAAAAGTTAAGTATATTGTTATTACGTCTGATAAGAAATACTTATTCGCGGTCACGACAATCGTAAATCTTAGGAAACATTGGAATATGAAATAAACACGATTTTATTTACATGATAATGTAAATTATAGATTAATTTAACGTCCGGTTTCGCTTGCATTAATGTAGAGAGAAAATTAAATTCAACAAAAATATTATTATTTTCTGGATGAAGGGTACTACTCTGTGCTATTTGCTGTACCACAATGTGCATAAATGTATTCATTTCATGACGAGAGCTTCAATTATTAAGATGTAAATTCGTAATATGTAAATAGAAACACTTTCGCATTATAATAGTAAGTATAAAACTCAAAAGGAAAAAATAAAACACCTGTCATTTGAACCCGTGAAAACCAAATAAAATTACTAAATATTTATTGATCCTCCCGATCCATTAACGGTGCTTTTAGGTGCCACAAGCACCGATCACCGTCCTCGTCGAACCCGTCGCTTGCGACGAAGGTCTCGACGAGCGAATTAACTCACAGACACCGCCCACTGAGTTTCTCGCCGGATATTCTCAGTGGGTTGCGTTTCCGATCCGGTGGTAGATTCTGCGAAGCACTGCTCTTACTAGAGCCAGTGTTAGCATCACTCTGGTTTGAGCTCCGTGAGCTCACCTACACGTTAGGGTGAAGCTGAAATAGCCTATCAGCATAGGTAGGGAAAATAAAGACTAAATATTGTATATCTTTTTTTTTATTGCCCTTGTAGGCAGACGAGCATACGGCCCACCTGATGGTGAGTGGTTACCGTCGCCTATGGACTTCAGCAATACCGGGGGCAGAGCCTAGCCGCCGCCTACCAAACTACTTAATGATCTAACTTAATGATTACACACCTCCGTTTGCTTCAAGTCTGTCGATGATGATCTTAGCTCGTGCTATATTCTCCGGAGTCGCTTTCGATGCCGGCTTTAGCGTCGGCTTCACATCGTGACGATCGTAGTACGAATACTTTCGTTTCGGTGGTTCCTTATCGGCATCTGCTATGTCAGTCACCTGGACGATGGAACCAACATGACAATTGCATCATGTAATTCATTTTTCGGAGACAAAAACGAAACCATAGTACATATTGTACAGTTCCTTTTAAACATTGTTTTTTTTAATATAGCCTTGGCTGCATAGTTTAAAAAGTTTTTTTTTTTGCGTAAACTACAATCGGGATGTTTACTTTCTATACTTTTTTGTACAGATCAAGGAATCAAAAGAGCAGTTCAAATTATAAAACAGGAGGAAAATCATATACATATCTGTATAGACATCAATAAGTTATTTGATTGAGGTTAATAACGTCATTTTACAATCAACTATGAAGGTATTGATTAAACAGATAAAAAACATACATTCCGCCTTTAGAATCTCCTTAAAGTAAGATAAATAAATCTAGTCGCTTTGAATATGAAATACAAGAAACATTTCTACCGTGAAACAAATAAATATAAGTTGTCTTATACAACGAAAGCTCACCAAAACATCAGAATCGAAGGATAGAATGCTGAAGTAATCTCCGGGGTTTAGTTCGCTTAGGATTGTCTGCATCGCCTGTTTTAACTGTTCAATCTTCCGTCCGTACATAGATCCTGACGTGTCCAAGACGAAAACGACATATTTACGAAGCGGTGCCAGGTCCGCCGGTGCGAAGAAATGGACGAAGTAACCACCATTTACCTTAACATATTTTGCATTATAACAAAATGTTATCGTATACTACTGATTATGTGTATGAAACTTTAATAAAAGTGTGTTAATTTGAATTTGAACAATTTCAGATATTTGCAAAGATTAAAGAAGAAATGTGTACCTAATGCAAAATAACATATTTTTTTCTAGTTTCTACCTACTTAAAGCAAAAGCTGTAGGGACTAATTTTAATGAAAGCTATTTATGATTAAACGCATTGCTTAGTTTTATTAATTGTAGATTGGCAAATAAGAATTACCATCTCACGCAAACGAGACGCCATATCGTCGAGTTGCGAAAATCAGTCCGCCTTTCGAGTTTCAAAACTAATTTATAAGGTTTACAATTAATATTAGCAAATATTATACTAGACAGAAAGTGTAACGTAATCGGAAGCTGAAAAAGGAACAACTTACACATAGCATTTAATGGAAGTCCAATGGATGACAAAACACATTGTACCTGTTCTAGTAAAACTGGAAAGGCCTCCGAGCGACCAGTAATTTCTCATACATAAAAAAAGGTCAATGTAAAGAGAACACTTACAAGAACTTCGCCGTCTTTTGGTCGTTCAACATCGTACTGAACCACGAATTGTCCAAGAACACCCTCAACATTACCCCGAAGGGAGTCTTTGGATTTTTCCTAAAATAAAAACGTTTTTGTGAAGCTTAATAATACAGTTTTTTTTTATTGCTTAGATGGTTGGACGAGCACACAGCCCACCTGGTGTTAAGTGGTTACTGGAGCCCATAGACATCTACAATGTAAATGCGCCACCCACCTTTTTCTAAGGTCTCAGTATAGTTACAACGGCTACCCCACCCTTCACCCCGAAACGCATTACTGCTTCACGGCAGAAATAGGCGGGGTGGTGGTACTTACCCGTGCGGACTCACAAGAGGTCCTACCACCAGTAAAGTAAGTTACACAGTTAAGTAAGAATCAATAAAAATAATACTTGAAGGCATTACACAGACGGTATTTAATTAATGTAACTGAAACTCACTGCATAGACTGACATCAATCTTTTTTGCTCATCTAAATCGGGCTTAAACAAAATTACAGCTCCATTATCGCACCGCGTAATTTCTGCATTAGAAATTTCTAAAACAAAAAAAACTTTTGAGCTAAAATAGAATTGGAAACTTGGTGTTGTTATCCATGGCTTCTACCGCGTGGTCTAGGAAGAGTGTCATTGTAGTTTTCGGTGAAAAAGAGATTTTTTCGAATGTAGCCAATATTACCTAGGTCACTAAAACTGTTTAAAACAAAAACATGTCAACTCGTTGCTTGGTTTTGACGTGAAAGAAGGACAAAAAAATAAACACACTTTCACATTTATAATACATAGCGGCCCGCTCCGGCTTCGCTCGGGTCAAAAGCTTCAACGATATTTCACGTTTTTTTGCGGCAGAACTATAATAGTTAGACATATGCTGTTGCGACATTTTTTGTAAATAATAATATGTTCTACAAAGTCGCAGTACATTATTTTATTCTATCATCAATAGTTTTCGCAAGGCGCGTGATGTAAAGAATATTTTAGGTTTTTTTTACACCTTGGAGTACATTATTTGAGTTTTAGTAAGGATCCCTAATTTTTTTCAAAATAGATTATAGCCTATGTCACTCGGGAATAGTGTAGCTTCCAAACAGTGAAAGTATTTTTCAAATTAGTTCAGTAGTTTCGGAGCCTATTCAATACAAACAAACAAACAAATCTTTCCTTTTTATAATAGTAGTATAGATATCAGTATGGATTCTCTTGTAAGAATCCTTGTGGGCGATTTAGGTTTGTGATAAATTTATTCAATCCTATAATAGCTACCGTTACATATATACTACTTGTAAACATTAATTAAGTCAACCGTTGCACACCGATAAAGTATCTGTATAGTCCAGATAGGGTTTACCAAAACAACCTTTTTGCTCTTTAATGTATCCCCTGAAATGATAATGAACCTAACATTCTTTTCTGACAAACTTTTCTAATTTTCAACGGATTTTAATTATAAGTTTATTCAGAGAATGCATATTATGTAAAGAACGAACAGATTTATTATTTTTTAATTTTTCATTGGCAGTCAGATGTGCAGCAATAGCAATATATTAATGGTCAGCAATATATTGCGTATTATTCCTACAGCCTATTTATTACTGCTACTTACATCCAAATTACAATTTAGACATTAGCTCATAACCGGTTACACTTGTTTACACTTTTACACTATATTTGTTTAAAACGGAATCAATTATATTTTTATTTAATAAAAGTAATGAAATGTTTTAAACCTATATAAAATGCAAAACAATAATTTAGCCTTACAATAATTCTCTTTAATATTTCGAAGTCTAGATAATTATGTAAGGTTGGTCAAAAGTCAGAACGATGTTAGTATTTATATCTGTATTACGGTGGCATTATCTCAATACATGTTCATTTTATTGTTCGTAACAACAATATTATACCTACAGAGTAATCTTTAAAAAATATATTTTTATATTTATAAATGTATGTGCCATGACAACACTCATACTCGTATAGATCTTCCTTAAACGTATAAAAACCTAATTAAACTTTTTGCTACGTTCGAACCTTTGTGACGTTTTTATCCAGTGGCCATTTTAATTTTTGAAAAATGATCATACTTTTCCGCGTGTGTGTGCGTGTGCGTGCGTGCGTGCGTGCGTGTGTGTGCGTGTGTGTGTGTGTGTGTGCGTGTGTGTGCGTGTGCGTGCGTGTGTGTTTGTGTGTGTGTGTTATTCTTGCTTTTAAGTCATTCACATTTAAACTTAACATAGTCACATTAAGAAAATTTTACACAAATGTAATCAGCAAACCTGGAAATTTTGTGTTTTTATATTATTCTTTTTTATTTATTGCATATATGGATTAACGAGCTCACAGCCCTTCTGGTGTTTAGTGGTTACCGAAGCCCATAAACATCTATAACTTAAATGCCGCCATACAACGTGAGATATGAGTTCTACGGTTTCAGTATAGTTACAACGGCTGCCCCACCCTTCAAACCGAAACGCATTATTGCTTCACTGCAGAAATAGGCAAGGCGGTGGTACCTACTCGTTCGGACTCACAAGAGGTCCTACCACAGTAATTAAGCATATTATAATTTTGCGGGTTTGATTTTACATTACTATTATACACGATGTTCCTTCACCGTGGAAGTCAATCGTGAACATTTGTTAAGTACGTATTTCATTAGAAAAATTGGCAGGCGGGTCCTGCGGGATTCGAACACCGTTACACCGCTCGATACGAATTCAATATTTGATACACAAAACCACACATTGCGAAAGTTTTTTTTACATATTTTTATTGCTGTCAGACGAACACACGGCCCACTTGATGGTAAGTGGTTACCGTGGCTCATGGACGTCAGTAATGCCAGGTGCAGAGCCAAGCCGCTGCCTACCGCAAAAAAAAACCGTATAGTAAGTCCTGGCGAGATGTTGAAAAACCTTAAATACACTGTTAAACTGAATATGCTTACGTTCGTCATCTTTTGTAGCGTCGATTTCATTTCCGGTTCTGATCTCCGGCACCCTCAGTTCGGTGATTTTGTTCGACTCCCGAATGTCAATGGTGACAGTGAAATCGGAAACCAGTTGCCCTGGTTGCAGATTGACTGCATGATTGTAAACACCGTTCCGATACTCCAACAACTCTTCGTATGTCAAATTGAATGTGGCTTTGGTGAAAGCCTCCACGTTCACGGATACAGTGAAATGGTTCGAGTCACGTGCTCTGAAATTTTTTTTATTAATCACTAGCTGACCCGGCAGACTTCGTAGTGCCTCAATCGATAAATAAAAGTCCTAAGCTTTTGTATAAAACAAACAAAAGGAATCCGTCCGACGGTGGACATATCAAAGGAAAAACAAAATTGTTATTTTTATTTAATTCCGAGCATTTTCATATTTATCTAAATTTTAAACCTTCTCTGGACTTCCAGAAGTAATTCAAGACCAAAATTAGCCAAATCGGTCCAGCCTTTCTCGAGTTTTAGCGAGACTAACGAACAGCAATTCATTTTTATATATATATAGATATAAGAAGACCATTAAAACATTGTACTATTGAAAGGAGTGCTAGGGAGTCCGCATTAATTAGTTATGTCGTCCAATTCATTTTCTCTTTACTTTTGAATACAAGTGGAGACTTCGCCGAAATGTGTCAGGAGATTTTCTCAGGCGGGCTAGCGAAACCAGTGGTTATTGATGATCGATGTTTGAAAGATAAAAAAAAAAAAACCTCTCTGACTAAAATCGTTATTGCTTCACTAACTGCGATTGAGGTTTACAAGTTTCAATTTAAAACTATTAACTACCTACATCTAATTGTTGTATCATAACTATAATAATAAACTAAACGATCTTCGATTGTTCGCCGACTGGTTTTTAATTGACTCGGAAAAGCCAACCACAAAAAGGAGCGTCAAAGAAATATTAATCAAAAACTGTTCAGTAATAGGACGTTACAAGCATTTGAAATTTACGATAAAATGCGAGTGAACCATAAAAAAACAGTGACACGTGCGTCATTTTAAATTATACTGACACTGCTTCTAGATTTACTAAAAAAGAACTTTAGGGGACATTTCGTCAAAACCTTATAAATCGATTAAAAAGTTATTTGATAAATGTATCTTTTATAACTAATTATATATTACACAGACTGGGTTTTTTTAACGGCACCATTCAATAGAAATTAAATTTTAATTATTAATATAATTCTAATGACTATAGCTAAATAAGTAGGTACGGGAGATGAGTAACATTTATTGAATGAATGACTTTTAAACACACCGAATTGAGATCCTAAAATTACAATTAACGAGCACTATTCACATTTTTTGTTTTAAATATGTTACAAAAAAATAGTCTTCTTTAATCACGAATGTGTACGTAACTTCGAAAATTAGTAGTGAATAAAATACGTAACCATGAATTTGAAAATTGTTTGCGACTCTTGAAAACCTGTGCAAACATTCAAAAGGTACCTATATACATATAATAAGCATACCTGGCAGCGATGTGTGCGGCACCAATTCCTTGTGATACCGCTGTCTGGTATATTTGAGCAGCCTCTTTCTTTTCTTTGACGTACGCTTTGTAAGATTTTCCATCCAGAGTCCTGGAGAGCCATTCGGTTCATTAGGAACTTGACATTGGAGAAAAACGGCTATACTTTCAAATTCTAAGAAACTTATCAATGTGAGCTATGATGAGATATGTATCTGGCATCGTTTATGTCCATGTTTATCGGTAACTACCATTTGATATCGTTCTCTTTTTAAAGTAATTTAAAAAATACATAATTCGTGAACAACGACATCTGTGTGCTTAGTGTGAGTTTTTTAACGTTCTCGACAGCGTAAAAGTTAGCCCAATTTTGTATGCATTTGAAACAGCACCCCTAGCGGCATACGTAGGCCAACGATCCCACTCCATACAAATATGAGCTAACTTTTACGCTATCGAGAACGTTAAAAAGCTCGCACTAAGCACACTGAAGCGACCAGCAGCCGCGCTCAACATTCCTCCGTGGCCGTTAACCAAACTTGAGAAATATAGATCAGTAAATTCTAATCAAGAATTACGCCATGATATTTAGATTTCATATTAACGGTATAAAAATTTCATACATAACAAATCCGCTGATGAAAGCTGTGTCGGGGAGTAACACCCTAAAGTTGGCTTCTTGAGATTTGTTTGCAGCATTTCGCACATGCGCTACAATAGCCGTGTGAGCGTATCGCATAGATATCACGGACTTCACATCCATCTTCGTCAGTTTTATTGGTTGAACAGGTCCCTCCGTTACTGTATCTACATCTAGCGTTGCTTCAGTTTCCGCCTGAGTCGATCGTAAAGAGACAACGTTATTTCCTACTACCGCATAAAACAATGAGTGTTTTGACATTATGGTCTTTAAAGGCTGTTTCTCTAAAATCGTTTCCATAACATTGAATTTCTAAGTAAACATGCAATGTACCAAGTAGTTGTAGGACCGATGACAACATGAAGAAGATCTGGATACGATAACATAATTAAAATATTCATTACTATCTTTGTTAGATGAATAGTTATCGAAAAAAACAATAAAATTTAATACTTTAATAACAGTTAAGCAATATAAATAATTTATGATAACCATATTATAAACATCTACGGTTCAATACTTTTTCGAGGTCAACAAAGTAAAGCTCATGATTGAATCGTATCTATTATTAAATTATTACATTATCTGGGACTCTTGAAAAACTACGGATTTATCCAACAATATGATGACAAACGTCTGGTCTTTTTTATACAAAGTAATTCGTGATCGGCCATCATACATGCGTCACGACTTAAATTTGTTTATATTCATGTCGGGCTGTAAGTCCTCCAATTTAGGTATGTATTAAAACATAACGTTGCACTCACATCATCCGATCTGGACACCACCATGGTCTCTGGGGTCGTAATTGTGGCAGCATGTACCACAGACAGGAGACCAATGCTCCCGAATAAAATTAAGAGCTGCCGCTTTAGCGACATTGTTACCTAAAAATAACATTGTAAATATTTATTTGTTTTGTAAGTGTTATTAACAAATCAAAAACATGAAATAATAGAAAGCTAAACGCCCATTATTCAAATTGCATAAGATTCGCAAGTTTGCTATGGTTGTAAATTTAATATTATAAACATGTACGAACGAAGCGAATATGTACTATAAAATTAGAAACAGCAACGTTGAATTTTTTTCAACATTGACCCGTTATTTTAAGAAAACGAAATACCATTATCATCAACTAGGTGTGGTTTGCTATATACACCGCTTAATTAATATAAAACTTATGAACACGAGTGGTTTATTTCTGGAAAGTATTTTTTTTTTAAGCTATAATTTAAAAAATTTATCTATGGCAAAATTTTGTCAACTTGACTACGTTTCATTCATTTAGACATGAAATTTCAAACACTGTCTTCAGTGCACCACTACGGATAGAAATTCTTCCTTCTCAGTCCAAATAGGGGTTCCAATAGGTGGCATTTAGGTCCACTAGCTTAGTCTGCCAGTCGGGTTACTGTGTACCGTTATATAAGTTTAGATTTTATGCCTGTAAAATTTTAAATACCTACCGTAGCTATATCATAGGAACCCACTTCGTTTAAGTTCTTAGAGAATAGAACCTGTTTTTTACGTAAACCTTGGATCATTAAATGTAAAAATCTATTATAAAATTATTCAATCAATCAATCCTGACGTAAGCAGTGTTCCTAATTGCATCCTCAGATGGAACGTATTTCATTTACTTAAAGATTTAATCACAAAACAGCGAACATTATGATCAATTAATGCAGGTTAATAGATCAATGCTTGATTAAACGATATCAAACAGTTACCAATTCAGTGGGTAACAAGTTATGAATAAAAGTGCACATTAAAGCCATGTATAAAAGGCCCGAAACAATACAAGGTTCAACCGGAATGCTGGAGTACTCACTGTTTTGCTTATTTTCAATGGAACGATTTATTCAATTCGTTTTCAAGCTCTGGCACGTTCCGTTACCAATAATAAATGATGCGAATTAACGAGTCAACAGCCGTCAGCGAGCGCTCAGCACGTCGCCTAATGTGAAACTCGTTCGAATGCCGGCAAATGACCGCTTATATTACGTTCGTATCAGCTTCGGCGTCTATACACAAACATGTTGAGTTGACCTTCGGGGTTACGGACTTCCCGAAGACGAGTCTCGTTTTGTCTAAGGGAATATTTTTGTTTTCCTGAGAATTCGAATCGGATAAACACGATATTACTGTTAATTGTTTTCGTGTTGTTGTAGCTTATATAAGGGTTTCACGGTTATTCTATTCGTTATTGTTACACTGTTTAAATTTTAAAATAGGGATGGCATTAACTAACAGAGGGAAAAAAACGAGCATATTGAATTCATATAATTTTGATTAAACTGTTTTAGTTGTTAAAAAACTCGTTTGACTTGTATTAGTTTGGTTTTGAATTAACTTCTGAACATAATTTGTTTAAAATATTTCTATGTAACTTATGACGATTAGCTCAACCGGTTGTTCAGATTATATACTTAAAGTTAAATAAAACACAATTTAGCTAATTGCTTACATCTGGGAACTAAACCTATAACATTGATGTTATCTGGACAGTTTACGAGATAGTCTGAGATTCTTTGAACGACTGGGAAAACCCTTTCATTATTTTCCCTATTTAATCACTTTGTAACCTCGGAGGGATATTCCAGCTACGCACGGCTTGGTATGTGAGCTCATGGGGCTCAATCTGGCAGAGCTAGTTAAGACTAGCCCTAGCAAGAGCAGTTCTTCGCTGAATCTACCACCGGATCGAAATTGCAACCCACCGAGAAGATCCGCTTAGAAACTCAGGGGACTGTGAAGGAAAACTTTACCACAATTAGCATACTATAGCACTGCTGTCAATCAATCAAGTAATGTTAGTAGGTATTTCAAAATCAAGCGAAATTTCCATGGAACCCAATTCACACCGGCTTCCCTATGGCACAGCCAATGTAGTATGTAGACTGATGCTAATTATTACAATCACAATACTGCGAACTCGTTATAAACAATTCGGCTCACCGTTCGATGTCCCTAAATGGCAGTATTTATACGCCAGTAAGAAACCGGAGCTTGGCGAATTCTACTGATGACAGATATAAAAAAAGGAATCTCAAAACGATTGATCGATTTACATTTTTTTCCTTTTCATTTACATTTTTATACTTGTATCTAAAGGTGGTTAACATATAAGTTATGGTTGTCGTTATCAAACCTAAATGTTTTCCGTTTTCACCCATAAAGTTGCCATTTAGTATATTATGTTACAGAATTTAGTTTTTTTTTTTAATATTCTTTATTTCTATCAATCAAAAGATACATCTATGGTATCGATGCGTCTCTACCAGCTCAGTGGTTATTTTTCAATGTCCTTCTTGAAGATATCAGGTGTATGGGAACCAACAAACACCGCAAGGGCCTTTTGTACGATCTCTCGCGTACTCAATTTTTTCCTGGCCAGAGAACTTCTAGAAAAAGTAGAAGTATGTCACGCAAGATATGGTAAGTACGGTGGATGACGCAACTCTAGTAGAAGCCTCCTCTTGTGCCATATGTCGTATAATGCCGTATGATGTCAAGCGACGTCGTATAGAGGGTGTTACAAAACTACCCGTAAAGCTGCAAGGAGGTTAAATGGGGCCTTATAACGAGTCCATTCACAATATTTAAAAACGGTAGTAACGCTGTATAACATACCCCAAAAAAATAATAAAAAATTTATTATTTTCACTTATGTGCAAACCCTATTTCAGTAAAATTAATGAGTAAATTACGCAGAATGTACTTACATATCTACTCGAAACAGTTGTAGAATATCGATTATAAGATTTGAAATTGAAAAATATTTTTGTTTTCAACTTGACATTTTTTGAAGCTTTTTACTTCATAGAGTACTTGAGTATATTGACATCCTTGTATTGAGGTATCAAGCATTTATGAATGAAAAATACGTACGTAAGCTTTTCGAAATTTCGCCATTCTCCATCATTGTCCATCCGGTTCCTCACAGTACACATCCACCATCTGTGATGAATTATAACGGTCCTAGACTTTTAGGGATCAGTTTTGGAGCATCACCTATGTGTTGAATTAGGGTCTAACCAACATACTCCAGCGCGCCGGTACCAGGACGGCGGCGGCTGCGGTCAACCGCAGCAAGAGCAACCGGGTCAGCGGTGTATCGCGTTCCGACCCGGCAGGCTGGTTCTGATCGAGCGTTGTATCCCGGAACACCAGCGGCATCGTCCGGGCGGCATGACGGGCCGATGTACCGCAGAGACCGGCGTCGTTGATCGTCGATGATTGTCTCGACGACACATCGGTCGAGCGCCCTCGGGGTGGCGCCGCACGTCTGGTTGTGGTGACCGCGGGAACCCCCATACTCTGCCCGGGTTCTGACCCCGGGTGGAGATTGGACGTCGGGTGATCGAGTGCAAGGGGAGTCGTTTGGTGGGTAGGGTCCTAAAACATCCTTCTTTCCGCGTTCTACTCCCAACATTTGCAGACCGTAAGTCCCACATACCCCTCGTGCCTCCTAGGCGTAGACACCTCACATGAGATTTAGCGCCTGCCCGAAAATGCCACTGGTGTTCTGAGATACCCCGCTGAGCCAGAACCAGCCTGCCGGGTCGGAACGCGATACACCGCCGACCGGGTTGCTCTTCCACAGTCTGTTCGGCGACGACAGCGAGGACGACAATTCGAACCGCTTCGCAGGCCGCAGCCGCCGACGCGTTGTCCCATCCATACTTTAACGCGTTGACGGCGTTGTTGCTAACTAAGCGGTAGATTGAGTGATTTAGGCTTCCACTATTGCCTTTCATTCGCCGTTGTTGAGTTTAGTTTTCGGATGATCATGGGGTTCATATCTTGGATCATAATTTCCATGTCGGAAGTGTTCCAATCAAGTAATGAGTCGTGCGTTCGTGTGTAGTTTCCACTCCGTAAGTACATGTCATTAATGTTTTGAGCCGTTAGTGCGGCATCGCTACCGCAACGAGACTCTTATTCCATAATTAGGTACTCGTATTTTATTATGTCCGTAATCATAAAAAAGATACAAATGTAGTGAAAACAAAACAATAATCAAAAGATAAATGACTGAAACTGAAAACAGAATTCTATACTTTTTTAATAAAATTCAAATGTAAGTCTTGTATTTAGAAATTTATTTGCAGCCAAACATAAATTACGTTTCATATGGCCCAGTACCGTAAAACAGCAACTTCATAACTAAAGACATATTTATTGCCTTCAGTGTTATCGGATTACAACCGCTCGACATTTTTTATAATGTCTAAGAGTAATAAAGGTGTTCTCGTCATATACGATGTTTCGCAGGGGTCAGTCCTTACTCCTCTGCTGCGGTACATCTGTTATGACTGAGTGCTGACGAACGTTATTTATTACGCGAATAACTACGAGGAAATAGTTTCCGTGAGTATGCCTGTCTTTCCACTTCTGAAACGGCACTCGTGAGATGGATGATGGCATTTACAATGTGATGTTAACTCTGGTAAAATCTTAACGCCAGTTGAGTTCCAAGCCAGTCCAGCCATGTATGCAATAAAAAAAGATCTAGAATCGGTTCATAATATTGAATTAATATATTTTTAATGTATTAGTTGAATCGAAGAAAACCTCCTACTGCCTAATGATCTGCGTCCGAATTTCCAAAAAAAAGAGAACTCAAAGGAGGCAGATGGAGGCCAAAAAGATGTGTTTAATGTAGAGCGCATCTCTCCCAGTCAGCCTACTCCTACAGAAACCAGAGCGAGGTATCTAAGATTCTGAAATCATGGTAAGTCTTGGAAAACGGTTATTCATCACGCGTTCGCTCTTTCGCAAAACGCGTTTAAGGCAACTTACAAGTCGTCTCATTGAGTTGCCCTTCCCGATTCTCAAACTGGCCTACAGCTTAAATGAGGCCCAGGATACGGGCGAAATTCCTATCTCGGCTCGACGGAGACGGGTAGACGCGGAGAGAGGAGAGCACTCACTTTCACGCTCTGCAAGATGATACACTCGCAGAAGGTTGAGGTGACCAATCTCTGCCGTGCATTAGAGACAAGCTCAGTAGCGACGGTACTCATTTGTGCAAGGACGGGGTACCGTCGTATGACATGTGACAGCGATCTTGCTTTAACTTTATAATATTCAGCCGCTTTTGCGTAGATTTCCCACAACAAAATTTTGAAATTCCGGTCCAGATTAAGTCGAAAAAACATTTATTTAACTAATTAATTATTTAAACAAATACCTACATATATTTACACATTTAATTAAATAATTCATATTTAATAGGTATATTAACTTTGGCTTGCTATTTTAGCATGTTTTTCTTTAACAAACTAAATCACCTTCCAATTTAACTGGAAAAAGTACATATCAAGAATGGATGAAAAAAACATTTTTTTTATTAGTTTCGCCCAATATTATTATCAGATCACCAGATTAAAGAAAATATTAATTGTATTTCAATTTAATGTTTTAGTAATTTTTTTCTGTTTTCGAACTAAATTTTCTTATGTCTATAACTAATCACAATTCGATTTCAAATCTTCGAGGAAATCAAATCCAGTTAGCCTACTAATTGCCCTGAATAGGGCTGCCCAGAATAACGTTTACTGGTCAATTAAGACGAACTGATTTACTTTGACTGATTTATTTTAACTGATGAACACTTTTCAAGGAAAAATCGAAAGTTTTTATGCGTTTTTTTTAAACTGAACGTTATTTATTTATTTTTTGCTTAGATGGGTGGACGATCTCACAGCCCACCTGGTGTTATGTGGTTACTGGAGCCCATGGACATCTACAACGTAAATGCGCCACCCACCTCGAGATCTAAGTTCTAAGATAGAAAAGTATAGTTACAACGACTGCCCCACCCTTCCAACCGAAACGCATTACTGCTTTACGGCAGAAATAGGCAGGGCGGTGGTACCTACCCGCGCGGACTCACAAGAGGTCCTACCACTAGTACAAGTACCAGTACAGTTCTCTTATTAATACTCCTTAGCATCGGACCAGTTCTACCTATTTTAGAAAAGAGCAATCGTTTAGTTTCTTGTTGATCCTTTGCAGTGGTCAAATCGCATTCACAATCTGAGGTAAAGTTATGACGATTTGAAATTTTTGTAAAAAGTCAACTTGAAAGTATGTATTTTCACAAAGTATACTGCCAGATTGCACCATTGGACATAAGATACATGCACTAGACATTAACGGCAACATAGTTCTTATTGTTGATGTTCTCTCGATCACTAAGTAAGTACCTACATAATTATTGGAAGATGTTTTATTAAATGAGGACACGTGATCTTTTTCCGACTACCACTACTTCCCTATCACTTGACCGTTACAATAATCTTCCCTATCACCTTACCCATTTTCTCTACCTAATTTATAGACTGGTGGTATGCTTGTTTGGAGTCTGCACTGATGAATAACATTATCTTGCTTCCAAAATTGGTATTAATCTATTATTGATATTCATGCCTGTGTAAAAGTATGAACACCGAAAAAAATTAATAATGAATATTTACCTATTACAAAAATATACTTACTTAATATATATTTTTTTTTATTGTAGGCAGACGAGCATACGGCCCACCTGATGGTGAGTGGTTACCGTTGCCCATGGACTTCAGCAATGCCAGGGGCAGAGCCAAGCCGCTGCCTATAAGCCCACTATAATATAGTGGACTCATTTGGTTAAAAGTATCTGTTTAGGAAGTCGCCTAATAATAATACTGTCTGCGAACCATAATAAGCTTGATCATGAGTTCTTAATCTCAATTTTTACAGTACATCAGCTACCGCAACCTTCAAACTGAAACACATTACTGCTTCACTGCAGAAATAGGTAAGGTGGTGGTAACCATCCATATAGGCTCACCAGACGCCCTACCACCAGAAAAAAGGAGCAGGAAGAGGAGCAACTTATTGGAGGAGTATTAGTTTTCACTTACAAAAAATACCTGAATTTTTGATAAAAAAATTGAATGCCCTCTATCTTACATTTCAACGAACTATTTATAGGTTTTCATTGAAAATTAATGAAATTTAATTTTCATTATTTTCTAACAAAATAAATACTCCGTTCAACATACATCCTTTTTTTTATTAATAAACATTTTTATATTAAATTTCATCATAAGGCATATATCCTTTACAACTAAGGGTTTTACAGAAACATTGTTTTCTATCTATTAATTCTGAGTACTTAGTATTGCTGTTTAAACTATAATTATAAGTTATTTCGGATCCAGATTTTATATCCTCACAAGCAAATATTGCAAGCTTGGGTATTGGCATGTCATATCTTACGGGTAAAATTTGAGAGTTTGGTTCACAGCTGTGATTAATATAGCGGCCTATGTTACCAAATTTACTTGGATCATAAAAAGTTTCTATAACCTCGGTACCACAATGTTCAATTAAACGAAATATGTAATTCATCTCCTTGTTTGTTTTATTATGGTGGTATCTTTTAAAAGCCTGGTCTTTAGTAAGCAATTCTCCAATATATTCACAAATAAATGATCCATTACGAACAAAAACATTAGTAAATAAACCAAACCCTTTTTGTACAATATCACATTTTTTTATCATTAGTCCTTTTAGTGGCCCCAACTGTACAAGTCTATTTCCACATTGATAAGAACAAGTGCACTGCTTATTGCACTCTAAGATAAGGTTTTGTTTTTCTTTACTATCTATCTTCAGTTTCGGCAGTTCACCGTGTTCAACAACGTAATTGTTCCCGCCAGACCTTTTCAAGCATTCACATTTAGGATACGAACAAACATTTTCACATCTGCAATAACTTTCGAGCTGAGAGTTATAATTATTTAATAGGAATTTAAATTCCAGGCTGTTGTCGTCAGGTCCTGGTATATTCTCTTCTATGTAAAATATATTATTGTTAAAATGTACATAATCATCGTTCATATTTTAGGACTTTGTGCAATTTAAATAATTTAACATAAATAATTTAATTTATTTAATTTAACCTAGGTTTTTTTTAAGAGATTTAAGACCCGGTAACTAAGATCTTTAAGTCATGTTTTATTTTAATTTATATTCTTATTTTTATGAAAAATGATAATATGGAGTGAAATGAAATGAAGATGATTAGTTTGAGACATTAATCAACTGGGATGAAATGAAATGGAATGAAATGAGATGTTAAGGGATGAAAATATAATCTCAGTAAACTGGTGGTCATTTATTAAGATTTTTTCATTAGACTTTTTGGAGGATCCCAAGAAGTTACGTCCAGAGGCTTTGTTTCTTTTTCCCACGTTTGTGCACTTTCACAGATATTAAAAAGTTAATAAACACAATTGTTACACATTTAAACCTGAAGAAACACTAAATAGACAAAATAAACCAAATCACACAGCTTCACTTCTCGCGTTCCCGCCAAAATGTCCTATTAAGTGTATTATCTATGATAACCATAGATGATCCTGTCGAAAACACAGTATAAAATATTAAACTTACCATCATCAAACATTCATACCTATTTAATACACTTAATATTTAAAACATCGAACGAGATACTAGGTAATATGTGCTCTCTAGTACAAACCATAGATTGAACTAACAGTAGAAAGGGTGTTCAACACTTGATCTAGGCTCTGTAAATTTGGCCCCCTTTTTTTTAATTTCGGATTTATTTAAATTTTATTATTTGTTCGTCGTTTGTTCGTTAATGTTCGAATGTAAAAATTGTTTGTTCGTCTTTTATTTATTTATAATTATTAATTAAACAAATGACCGGACGTCGGGTGTAAGAGTGCAGGGAAGTCGTTTAGTGGGTGAGCCCTAAAATCCTTGGGCCCGCGGTCTGCTCACAACACTATTCAGATCGCTGAGTCTCACATACCCCGCGACCCTTTTATGCACGGGGACCTCGTAGGAGGTTCGGTCACCGACCCGAAGAAAAAAAATTATGGTTTGCTTATTAGATATAAAATAATTAATAATTGTGAATTTCATTGTTTTTATGATCGAACAATCACCAATAGTCGTCGAACAAACGATAATTGATCAAAATAAATTAATCTGAGCGATAAAAATAAAGATGTCTAGTAAGGGGGGCCCACTTAACGGTGATCATTTGTTTAATTAATTATAAATAAATAGAAGACGAACAAACAATTTTTACATTCGAACATTAGCGAACAAACGACGAACAAATAATTAAAAATAATAATAAATAAATAATAAATATTTACTAACAACCACGCCACGTTAACTGGTCCCGTGGTAAGCTCGTACAGAACTTGTGTTACAGGTACCAGATAACGGAAATAAATGTAATATTTTTATTATACACATACACATATTTAATATACATCCATAACCCTGGAAAGGACATTTTATATTTATCATACAAATATCTTCCCTTGGCGGGATTCGAACCCGCAACCCCCTTATGTAGTGACCATGTCACTTACCACTACACCAGACGGCCGTTTAAAAATAAAACAAATTCGAAAATCAAAAAAGGGGGGCCAAATTTACAGAGCCCTTGATCTAGTACATCACAGAAAGAGATATCACAGACTCATCACCACTATTACGTGAAAATAAAACAACAACATGTTGGTAGATATGGTTAAGCTTTAATTTTGTTTGCTCCTTGAGAATCGATTTCATCTAAAAATGTCAATTTGACGGGTATTTTCAAATAAGCGTTATTTTTATCCATTAAGGATAGTAATGGACTTTATCACTTAAATGCACTTCAACATTTTTTTGTTTTCATTTGTCTCACCCCATCTGGTGCCTATGAAGCGGCTTGGCTCTACCCCTGGCATTGCTGACCTCCATGAGCGACAGTAACTCACCAATAAGTGGGCCGTATGCTCGTCTGCCTACAACCATAACAATAAAAAATACTCTGGCTGTGAGTGGTATAATAAAAAACAAAATGATGGAGTCATCTCAACTTAGAAGTAGGTATATTACAACAGTGTGTGAGATATTTTCTTTCAAAATATAGAAAAAAATACAATATTTCGCAAATTACTATATACGAAGTACAGCCATTAATGTAATATTGGTTTAATTCAATCAGTTTTTTTAAGGGATTTTATGACCTCGTAACTAAGACCTTTAAGTCATGTCTTATTTTAATTTATATTCTTATTTTTATGAAAAATGATAATATATGAAGTGAAATTAAATGAAATGAGATGATATGCTATGAAATATAATCTTAGTAAAATAGTGGTCATTTGCTGAGATTTTTTCAGTGGACTTTTTGGGAGGATCCCGAGAAGTTACGTCCAAGGCTTTTGTTTCATTTTCCCACGTTTATGCACTTTTAGAGATATTAAACAGTTAATAAATCACCGTTATTACACATTTAATCTTCAAGAAACACTAAATAGACAAAATAAAAGAAATCACACAACTTCACTCCTCACGTTCCCGCCAAAAAGTCTCATTCAATCAGTTGAAGTTTTTAGAAATTACCAATTTAAAAAAGTTGAAACGTATACTAGGTACTTAGCTAGTAGAAATTCCAACACGCTTATACTCGAACTAGTTTCATAGAGGTCAGTGTGTTGAATCTATCTTCAGCCCAGTGACAAAGAGTAAGGTGTAGGTGTGGTATTTCACTGTAATCTATGGTCATAGACAAAACACGACAATTACGAAGTCTGTGGTCGCGCAAGCGCAAGTTCTCATTTCTCAACGTGACGTAATTGTCCATTCATACTTTTTATTCATTCAGTTTTTAGTTTTCAAAACACAAATATTCACGTGCGATAATGTTGTGCGGTTACTGTACATAACGATAATAAAAAGTGCTTCATATTATGTTTGTTAGTTGTACATTAAATTTGCAGAATTTCGTTTTAAAACCAATCTAAATGCATTAATTCAAAGATACTAAAGTATTGGCACGGAGCACATGCGCCATGCATGTTTGAATTTGTTTGAAATTGTTGATATCCCTGAAATTCTTTAAATTAACGCAAGGAGAAACTTTCAAGAAAAATCTTGAGTAAAAATCCAAGGCGAAAGCAGACAAGTACAAGTTGGACATTACGACACTCCGGAAGTGGCGGGACAAGCCGGCAGAACGGGCTCGTTCCGAGAGAGATAACAGCGGATGAAAGAGATAAACAGTTATGGATTTAACATGGCGGACGATACGCGTAAAGTGCGAATCGAGGAAAGATTGAAAATAAAGATTGGTAAGTAATATTTAAAATTATCTGAAGTTCGGTGCACCTCCTTCGTTAAACATCAGGGAACAGAAGTGTTCTTGCTCACAATTTATTGAATGATCAATACCATAAGTCTTGTCACAATGATGAACAGGTGGTAGACTAACGCAAACTCGTATGTTTCTCATCGAATTGTGAATGAATATAAAATTTATTAACAACTATACCTAGAGTAACGACTGTTTATATCAAGACGAGTTGTGTTGTCAAATATATGTAGCCTTGAAGACAGCAGTTCTTTGTTTTCGTGTATTGGTGTTTTGACAGCTCTAAAAGTTATGAATGAAACTGAAACCGCGAACACAATGAATTCCGTGCCCAGTCAGATTAGATATATCTAGATTAATGACTCTCTTTGCGTAATTTCTTTATCTGAAAATAATATTCTTTTTAAATCACAAACAGATATGACGCATTAAATTAAGATTTTCTAGTAGAAAAATATTTACTAAGAAGTTAAAAACATCTGCATGTTTTTAATTTTACTTCACACCTACAATTATGGTAACAATATAAACATATAAATAAATAATGTGAAAAATCTTATAATGCATATTACGTGCCAAACATATTAGAAAAAATGTGCTTAGCCTATTAGGTTATCATATTCTATTAAGTCCCCTGTTTATTGCACTGCTTATGTTTAAATCAGTTCTGTAATGCCATTACAAATTAAAAACAGTGTATTGTACATTCATAAAAATTATGCTACCGATAGAGCCCTTAAAAAAGGCCAAAAAATTACTAAGCTTTTGAAACGCTAACTTTGGCTGGACAATTATAATTAGTGGGCATTGTTAGAAATCTCATATAACTTAATTATGTATATTTTACTTTGGCATCTTGGGTATTTTTCATCATATTTTAATCCCATAAAAATACTATATCCTCTTTGGATAAGGAGATTTTCATGTATTTACATTTGTTTCAAAATATAACTGCAATTTATAAAACCCCTGCTTAGGGAGTAGAGATTGTTCCCCAATTTGAAATGGGCATAAACTACCCCAGTAAAGTAAATGGACATGGAAAACATTACTAAAGTAAACATAATTTTTTTTAATTTTTAAGAAGCTTCTCTTAAGCGAACCTAGTAATATTAAATGTAAAGGCACTTGTAGCCTGTCCCCTCATTTCATCGAAACCATAATCGCCTCGTATCACTATTCTTAAAATGGTAAGATTACAAAATGAACAAGTTAAATACAAAAAATTTATGCAGTTCTTAATGTGAATATATCATAATTACTAACACTAAAATTGATATTAGCCCTAAGCTATAGGCAGCAAAGATGCTCCCAGAATTACTAAAGCTTTCGTTAATTTCATTCTCAAATGACAAATTACTAAGTATCTACTGTTTGCCTATATTTAATGGATAATCCTAACATGATTAAACATGATTGAATGATAACATGATTAAATGTCTTAAAGGCTTATGAAAAGTTGGCAGGCAGCGGCTTGGCTCTGCCCCTGGCATTGCTGAAGTCCATGGGCGAAGGTAACCACTCACCACCAGGTGGGCCGTATGCTCGTCTGCCTAAAAGGGCAATAAAAAAAAAAAAATAAAAAAAGTCTCAATCGTGACTCAGATGAAAAGTTGTCTATGTCACTCGTTTTTCTCAGCAAAGTCAAATCCATTCTTAAGTTGTAGAAGGCCAAACCATGTATATTTATTGTATATGTATCTCAGTAATGTGATAATTCATAAAATATTGACACTCCAAATAAGAATATAAGCACATTTTAGCATTAAAATAATTTCTTTGTAAAATGTAAGGTGTTGTATATTGCATATAAAATATATGATAATGTGATGTATGTGTCACTTGATAAGACAATTCTGTTGAATGCCTTCCAAAGCATGACCCGTGACCTGTGCAAGCAGTTCCTTACTATCTTGCATTCAATGAACTGTGCACTTTATCAGTGAATCTTTATTTATTTGTCACATGTGCATATCTATTTGCTTATGTCTTATTAAAGGAAAACATAAATTTTAATAGATGGGCCATAAACTTGCGAAAGCTTTTTCTACTACACCTCAATCCAATATAAATAAATAACCTTCAGAAGTAATGCTATCCACACTGTCTGAGTAGTTGTAAAAATGATGAGAACTCAGTACAATGCTGTTGACCTTCCAATAACATAATATGTCATCGCATATGGAGACTTCCGCCAGCAGCGCCTTATCCTCGCATGCGACGCGTCTTTGTCGACACAGTCATCTCGCCCAATAGGGCGTACTATAATTAAATTCGGTTGCACGTCCTCTGCATTCAATAACCTGAACTCTAAAATACTGATATTTTGTTTGGATTATTTACTTAGTGTATAAAGTCTAACAGCCTAATAAAACCTCACGATCGGTTTCTAGAAAAGATAATATTATTAATTTGACACAGAACTGTAGTGTGGAAGAAGTATTCGCTCTGAAAGGAAAGATGAGTAATTAACTGCAACAGGATATATTTGATATGAACTGTTAGCCTATATCTTTAATTTTAACTTGAGGTTTTCAGGTATAAGATTGTTTGACATTACGTGCGTAATTGATCGCTAATAAAGTATGAGACAATTGATGATTGAATGAGAAACAACATGCAACATTGAAATACAAAATAAATAATTGGAAATTTCCTCTTTCCTCTTGTAATATAGTTACAAAATTGTATTCTCTGAAACAATCAGTATGATTTTAGTAACATGTTATTTCAACAAGCTTTCATATTTCAATATTATCATTCCATAGAGTTAGTAGAGAATTCGTATGCTTTCAAGCATAAAAAGAAATAAACGCATAGGACGCTCGTGCATGCTGTTTCAGCATAGATGCTCTATGGTGTTCCTACAAATTCTAAATATTAATTCGCTAATAACTACGTAACAATTATGTTTTTAATTAAAAAGTTTTTTGTATTCATTTCATTTTTTTCTATGTTTTTCTAAATAAATATAATATAATTTTGACATTCCTATGACGAATTCATTTCCCGGGGGAAATATGAAACCCGCCCCAAATCCGATAGTGGCGGTAAGCGCTTATTATCCGACGGGCCGCGGAATATGTGCTTTTAACAGCAATAAAATGTGGCAAAACAGAAACGTGGTTCGAGTAAAAATGAGGCCTTCAGCGCAAAAGTGGCCTAAGCTTACCATAGTTAGTATGGAGGCAATTAGGTTTGAATTATCATGAATTTGAATTTGAGTAAGCAAAAAAACAATACGCGCAAAAATAATGTTTACAAAGCGAACTGTTTCTATGGATGAAACTATTGATAGGCCGGTTTTGCATCAAAATTTATTATATTTTAAATACATTCGAATATACGTCATAATATAAGCTTGAATATAAAACAATTGTAGGTTTGGCCACTTTTGCGCTGATGGCCTCAAATAGTAGCAATGTTTTTAGGTAGTAGGAGCACACTCTTATTATCAAAGAAGAGATACGATGTCCAGCTCCGCCTCTGATTATTTAATTCGTTTTATCATTGGATTTTATCCATTTAGAATACAAATTAAAGCATTAACATTCGCAACTCAGAATCAAAACGTTAACTTTTAATCCTAAATTCTATGTGATTGAAAACGCCTCTAGTATCTAGGTGATAATAATTATTTCACACAAAAAATGTGAACGTATGATTTTGCTGTTTCGATGCGGGCGCGTGTTGTCGTGTGCCGTTTTTATCAACAAGAACAACGCCGCGCGGCGGCCTCGAGCGTTTGTGCTCAGTGAATGGGGCAGACAGCATTTTCCATTGAGCACGCCCATTCATGGAAACTCGACGTTCCGTTAATGAAAAACTCGCTTGTTTATCTTCAATCGTCACCGTTATCGGTCGCCTCCCTATTGTTCGACACGTGTGCACTGACGTAAAGCACCGACACTAATGATCCTATTTATTAAATCGTATTCGTTATTCAAAAATTCATTGATAAGATAAAGCTGTCGAAACGAACATTGATGTATGCGATTGCATCACTTTCCTAAGTAGTTTTGGCTACTCTAAAACTCTAGTAGTAGGAATAGCAAGCTACACTGACTAATTTGATAATCGCACCTAAACAAATGTTTATTCCTCCATTTTTACGTTACTGCTTCTAAACAATAAATTTAAGACGAAATAAGAGCGGTAGATGTAGAATATGTAAATTCTGACTTAGCTAATATTTGCTGACAAAATTACTTATCTGGACGTGGGTTCAAAAATGATGCGATACTTTTTGAACCCACACGAGCAGCCCGTACAGCAACAGTTACGCCATTACTGCTCAAAAGAGTATTGCGATATCTTACAGAAGCAACGAATTATTTTGCAAGTCATAATATCAAATAGTGTAATTAAACATTTAAGTGAATGGGTTAATTAATGTTGCAACGTTTTCGCGTAGTACATAGTAGGAAACGTTTGTTTGCTTTTCGTTCGTGTGTCGAAATTCGAGACCAAGAAATTGATGCGATCGTCCATTCTTTGCAGTCGTTAATATTCACTTGGTATTGTGGTGATTTCATATTTTTCTTTTTAATAACATTACGACAAGAATACTTATAATCTGAGAGAATAAAATAGACTGTAATTTGAACAGACAAATGATTGTTCGCGTTTATTTATTTTCTTGCATCGAGAGGAACATAATATATGTTAAAGACAAGTCTGTTGTCTGCCAAGTTCCGTTTTTAATCATACATACACATTGTTTCACTGCCCTCCATATATCAATTTAAATATTTATGTACTAAACAATGATGCTGAATAAAACTGTTGCCCGATTTTAATGTGACAGTTTGCATATCGAAATCCCCAAGCAAGCCGGGCTATTGAAGTCGCTCCATGTGGGTGAACACCTACACCGGTGTTTCCAGCTTAACGTAATATCCGTAGGCGCCATTCCGGCATTCCATTAATACATTGGAGGCAAAGGGTCGGATATCCGCGGTCAACTTTAATAATGTAATTTGCTCTAAAATTGCTTTTTATATTTGTGCCACTTTTTACCTTATTGCGTACACGGGTGAATGTTTAACTAAAATATTTTGACTTTTACTATGTAATTTTAAAATTAGTTTATTTATGATTAAAGCGTTGCGTTTCTTCAGTCCAATGTGTGAATCCAGTCAATTTCAAAGTAAGCTCAATAGTAAAGTAAATAAAAAAGACCATTAAAACAGTTCTCATATTAGGTAATCTAATGCAAAACGAAATGTTACTCTCGATTTCAAAACAATCGCATTACGCACAACGCATGCATGTACTTCGTGACGTGTGGAAAGATAGTTAATTATCGTCTATTGTGACTGAATACAACACGACGACTATACGAGCCTTTACTTAGTGGATGGCGGTCTCATACAGAAAATCCCGTTTCATTCCCACGATCCACTTGTACTAATGTATTACTGTCGTCTTTATGACGACGAACATTTTTGCATTAACCATTATGTACAGTTTGTTGCGAGTTTCTCTTGGTCCAATTATCTTCGGCGAAGCTATGAGAAGTACGGAGACAGGAAGGTCTCTCCTTTGTTTGGGGCCCTAACTATCGCAACTTCAATCTTACCTCAGCTTATGTGCATGATAATTATACACGCAATCATTTTGTTTTTTTTTTTCTTGTTGAGAGATCTGTGAAAGTTTTGTACGAATGTAGTGGATGAAGTCTCGTGAGATCTTTTCGTTTTTTCTTCGGTCTCTATCGCATTCATTCATACGTCTCTGTCTAGATAGACATTGAAAGAAAATAACATAATATTATATATTCTAATTGAGAGGAATAAAAGGAAATATTCCACAGTTATAAAACAAACATAACAAGTTAATCATGACATTTCTACTGTGGTGTATGAAATATATATTTCAACAATATTTTAATGCAATTTTATAATAAATGGAATGAAATAATATATGTTTTATTCAGAATATAGAATACCCGATATAGAACTGATCAAAACAAATCAAATTTACATAAATTTCTAAATATTCGTATTCGGTATGCTTGCTTTAAAAAGCAAAAACTCAAATTTTTTTGGCTGAGACGTGTTTGCTTTTATACACTTCAATTTTCTACAAATTATCGTAAAACCTTCAAAACACAACAGTAGCGAAATACGACAGTGTCTGTATGTTATTTATCAAACAGACTAGATATACCCAAAAATTTGGTTATGAATTACTATAGTCGACAATCCGTAATGAAAAACAAAACCGTATTTTTTTTTTATTGCTTAGATGGATGGACGAGCTCACAGCCCACCTGGTGTCAAGTGGTTGCTGGAGCCCATAGACATCTACAACGTAAACGCCACCCAGCTAGAATACACACAATACAATTCGTCTTCTCGAATTAAAACTATAATCTCAAAACTTACTAATTTTACAGCAGTGTTTTAAAGGTTGAATATGTAATATTTTTAATATTAATCTTAATTGCAACATTTATTTTTTATTTTTTACCAGTTGCATTATCTGTCTTTTAAAGTAAGATAAAAATATATATTAATTTTGTTAATAGTAGTCAAAAGAAAGTTAAACCTAAAAAAAAACTGAAACTAAATTACGCTCTTTTGACAGTATTGATGAGAAAAATACTGGTGATACCAAATGTTACACATATTAACTCAATTTCGAACATTTTTGGAAATTACACTTTTAATGCGAAAAGGCGAATTATACAAAATACAATACAATAGTGGTAATGTACTATTAAAAAAGAAGATGTATTTTATATAATTTATTGTTAAAGAGATTATCTACCATAGACACTATAAAGTTAATGCAGTAAACTAGCATAGTGGCTTATGTTCCATGGCCGCCTCACCTTGCCTCCCCGTATATGGAGATAACGACGAGGCCATACATACGTAAAACGTTGCACAACCACCGCCAATACCGCTTCCTTTAAAGTACACTTTTATCTGTGTCGTTAAGTGGAATGAATAGCTATCACGTCGATCGAATCACAAGTAAATTAGTTCGCCAACATCGCCCTACACGGAGATGATTGTTAAAATGTATGGTAAATGGATCGATCGAAATCGCAACGCAATCCCGATTGCGGAACTTAGAAAGTTGCATCAGTGTTCAAAGTTTGAATTATTCAAGGTCAAACATATAATAATATACGAGCCGTGCTATTGTAGTAATAAACGCTGAGAAAATTACGCTACGTCAAATGCAAATAGTAAAACTTACGAAATTGTGCGTTGATTTCGCAAAAAGCTCATAATGAATAAGATAATAAAGTACAAAGTTGTGTGTAACATGAACAAGCAGTTAATAAAAAATATAAAGTAAGCTTTGAAAATTTTGGTCAACATTGTACATAAATCAATGTTTGTTCGTGTTACAGAATAATTATGAATGCGTTTCGTTGTTAATAAATCTACTGGTTTTTCTTTCTATGGATCATGAAATAACTGGCGTCCTAGAATAATGAATACCTAAGAAATAGTAGTGAAAACAAAAGAACACCTCGTTCAACATTCATTCTTTTTTTTTTATTGCTTAGGTGGGTGGACGATCTCACAGCCCACCTGGTGTTAAGTGGTTACTGGAGCCCATAGACATCTACGACGTAAATGCGCCACCCACCTTGAGATATAAGTTCTAAGATCTCAAGTATAGTTACAACGACTGCCCCACCCTTCAAACCGAAACGCATAACTGCTTCACAGCAGAAATAGGTGGGGAGGGGGTACCTACCCGCGCGGACTCTCAACATGTCCTGCCACCAGTAAACTAGTCTCAATAGAAGCAACATACATAATATAATATTAGAATCGATCAATTATTACGCATTCTATATTTATTCTTTGTTAATATTTTAAATCATGAAATAATAGGCAATATACTACCTACTTATATGAAATTGTTTCAGTTGATCTTTTATATCAACGATAATTTAACAGTAACTGAATTTGATGAATACATATAATCAAGAAAACACTGCATAGGCTTACACTAAACTCACTCATTTCGCTTCATTACTTCATTCATGACGTCATCTGAGACAAAAAAAAATGACCGATTAAATATGTCTATACTAATATTATAAAGAGGAAAGATTTGTTTGTTTGTCTGTATTGAATAGGCTCCAAAACTACTGAACCGATTTGAAAAATTCTTTTACTGCTTGGAAGCTACACTATTCCCGAGTGACATTGGCTATAACGCTATAATCTTTTTTGAAAAAAATTAGGGATCCTTATTAAAACTCCAATAAAGTAACCCAAGGTGTAAAAAAAATACCTAAAATATGATTTACGTCGCGTGTCCTGTGAAAACTATTGATGATAAAATAAAATAATGTATTACGACTTTGTAGAAACTTACACTCTCACACAACTCTAACTATTATAGTTATGCCGCAATAAGTGTTCTTTTATTTAAAAAAAAAACCTTCAATTTTTTGTTAAAGACTCGAGCGAAGCCGGAGCGGGCCGCTTGTATAGTATAAACCGATGTTTACAATAAAACAGGGATTATCTACTTTGTGATATTAGGTTTTGATTGGTCATAAATCATTAAATTTATTTTTATTTAGCGAGTTAAAGCGTTAAAATTTTGCAATGAACGTCATTATATTATGATATCAGTTATTTCAAAAAATCTAGTTATAAGACAGTAAGTATAATACGATTTATATTATTGTGTTATTGGTATCCGATCCATTCGAATAACGAACATCTTCATAACTAATTACTTATTACTTAAATTTTAAAAAAATGTTCATAGTTGGCTCCGAATTGTACATTATAACCGTATTCAATGAATATTCCTAATACCATGATGATACCTTGCGTAGTTACTAATAATATAAAAATACTAATGAGAAACATCTTATTGTCCCTTACCGAACAATATTGGACAAGTCAAATATCCTTTTTTGAACAACAAAGACAAAATAGTGCTGCCAAAAATAGGTTAATGATACGCAATACTAGCTATTTATGAACGCACCAGATATATACTATGTAACAAAATCCTTGGAAAATATTAAGTTATTTTTTCTCTACTAACAAGTAAGAAAATTCGATTTATGCAATATTTATATCTAAGCTATGTAGTGCTTTTATATATAAAAAAAGCATTTACCGTAAAAAAGAAGATCTTGGACTTTTTCCACGGAATACACCGTGCCCTTCAACTTCTAACTCATCTGTTATCCTATTAACACGTACTTAAGACGAAGAATAAATTGCGCGCTGACGCTTTATAGACCTGAAACATTCTGTTTCAGGATTTTCATAGAAATGAAAAATTTTACGATCCTCCAATAATTTAATCAAGAAATGTTCAATTGAATTATGGATAAATGAATATAAAATTGTTCTAGGTGAAGCAAAGAACTTGCCAGGTCGCAATCATGGTGCGGCGTGTCATCGAGACATATACTGCGTGCTGTCGCTCGATCAGGAGGAAATATTTCGTACGTCCACCATGGAGAGAACACTTAAGTAAGTTTCATTTTCGATTCGCTAGTAGAAGAAGCAGTATGAATATAAGTCCATCGCGCTACCTCCTCCTCCTTGCGTCGATAATCCTCAGTGCTGAAGGTCGTGGCCTCCTCTAATCACTTTCTCCTGCATCATCTTGCACCATTCCCGCCTGTCCTCGGCTGTGTGGATAGCAACGTGGACTGAGGTATTGAGAGTGGAGCGTATTTGGTCCGACCAGCGCATTGGATTTCTGCCTCTGTGCCTTCTCCCGCATACCTTGCCTGTCACCATTAGCTAATAAAAGAGGGTATACATTACGCACCATTTTTTTTTTCGTGTCAAAGCAGGATGCCTACGGAATGTCGTATATAAATAAATACATATATAGGGTACGTCGGGGTAAGATGTAATATTAAAGAGCAAAATAAAAAATATGGTTAAAAAAATGACTTACACCACCAACTTGCCCATAAAATAATATTTATAAATAATTCCGCAACAAAAAACCACTTTTCTACAGCAAAATTAGATTTACTTTAGTATGTATTTTGTAATACAATAAAGATTTGGGATAACTATTATAAGTATTCAATAAGTTTCTAATAAACACACGCACAACAGAAAGCGGGACATTTTTGCTCTCGTTCGGGACAACGGGACAATCTCGCCGCTTTAGCGGGACGTATGGTCACGTTAGGTATACAGGAATGTTTTATGATTTCAAAAGGATTTCCTAGTTTTTGTTCGGTCGAGTGTTGAAAAGGATAATTTGCATGCAAAACGTGCTGCCTGATATGTATTAAAAACGAAGTTGAAAAATAGTCTTCAAAAAATCGTTCACATGACGCTCTAATGGAATCTTTGTTCAGTGTCCCGCCTCATTTCCGCTGTTATCGGACGGGAACCGTTTGCCAACGTATTTAGGAAGAGCGAACCAATTCATCAGGTCAAGGTTTGCCTAGATTCTGAATCAAACCCGTTCAATGAATCATTAAAGTTCATAGCAATATGTATAATAGGTATGTACATTGGAAATATGAAATCGTAAAAGTTTTTAATAACAATATTCTATTCACGATTTTTGAAGCTGTTCCATTTTTTATTCTACAGAACATACAACTAGTTGTTAAAAAAATATGGAATACTTAAATTTTTCGCGCTAAAATCCAATTACTTAATAATAATAAGAGTAAAGTATATGTACAGTCACCGCAAACAAAAAATTACAAAGATTACAATTCAGATTTACTTTCTGTTTATTAAATTATAAACATAGTATGTACTACTCGTAAATACGTGCGGCTATCATTCACGCTCGTACGACTTCCGGTGTTTCACCGATACTCGTCGTGCCAATTTGAATAAGCCATTCGTCTGTCAATAGCTGTTCAACTCATTTATGCTGTGACACTATTGATCGAGGTATTCATTTGATTCGCAGAGACGAGAAACAATGGCCTTTGAAAATGAAATGACTCCGTGGAGTTATTCATTCTCACAGTTTTAAAACAATTCATTATTGTTTTGAACGTAGCATATGTATGTACTGTCTTAAGTATGTGAAAGCAGTTTATTCTATAGTTATTTTATCTGAACTAGCTATGTTTGTACTGGTGGTAGGACCTCTTGTGAGTCCGCACGGGTAGGTACTACCGCCCTGCCTATTTCTGTCGTGAAGCAGTAAGTAATGCGTTTCGGTTTGAAGGGTGGGGAAACCGTTTTAACTATACTGAGACCTTAGAACTCATATCTCTAGGTGGGTGGCAGCATTTACGTTGTAGATGTCTATGGGCTCCGGTAACCACTTAAAACCAGGTGGGCTGTGAGCTCGTCCACTAATCTAGGCAATAAAAAATAAAATTAAATAAAACATGATAATCTATATATATAAGACTTCATCAATGCTAAGGTGAACCTCTCCCTAATTTTGGAACTATAAGTTAATATATAAAAATTAATTGCTGTTCGTTAGTCTCGCTAAAACTCGAGAACGGCTGAACCGATTTGGCTAATTTTGGTCTTGAATTAATTGTGGAAGTCCAGAGAAGGGTTAAAAGGTTGATAAATATGAAAATGCTCGGAATTAAATAAAAATAACAATTTTGTTTTTCCTTTGATGTGTCCCCGTCGGACGGATTCCTTTTGTTTGTTTTAAGTTTATTTTATACAAAAGTTTAGGTATTTTCTTTATCGGTTGAGGCACTACGAAGTCTGCCGGGTCAGCTAGTAAAACATAAATATGGTTAATGCACTTGAAATATACAGCGTGCTTAGTGCGAGTTTTTTAACGTTCTCGATAACGTAAAAGTTAGCGCTCATATTTGTATGGAATTGGATCGTTTGCCTACGTTTGCCGCTAGGGGCGCTGTTCCAACTGCATACAAAATTGGGCTAACTTTTACGCTATCGGGAACGTTAAAAAGCTCGCACTAAGCACACTGAAATGAATTTCGGTATTAACATCAAACTGTTAAAAAATAAAGTTCGTAATCATGTAGCGGTTTAGGGGAGGCGTTGTTATAAGGGCGGCACTGCGGCGGCGCGCCACGTCCCGGATGTGCTTCCGGTACGTGCGACCGCGTGGAACGTCCCTTCCGTTCCACCCCTCGCCATTCAGCTCCCGCCATCAATGGAACACGCTCCAAGAGAACCAATGAATGGCCCTAGGGTTTTGTTTGACCGTATTCAGCTTAAAAATTCAATTCTCGAATGCAGGATACGATGTTGAATAATTTTTAATACATCAAAATGTGTATCCAGTTTACTTAAATACATACTTATTATTTACGTATATAAAATATCGATTCGATTATATAAGACTTATGAATTCGTTCATCACTAGACATCATAATTAACACTAAAGTTTATTGAATTTTCATTTATATATATAATAATAATTTTTAAACTATGTACGTGTATAATTTTATCAACGTATACTTTCTTAATCGATTTTTAGTGAAGTTAAAATTAACGCATAACAACTTCAGATAGTTGATGTGTTCGCTTGTTTGTTAATGAACGGAAGCGATAATAATTTAGTGACCCAAGAGGTGAGGGCGGCCACTTGTGGATATCGAAGGAAATGTCACGTCACTCGTCATTTTAATGGGTTCTTTGTCTCGCGATACCTTATCAATGCGCTTACTATGTACATACGTCTGTGTAGTTTTGACAGATGCGTCATAAAGGCGCCACCGATAAACAACTTATATAATAATGTATTTAAAACTTATATTGAAACGGGAAAGGAAACTAGAACATATTTATGCATACGGTACGGTATCTACATATTAATACGTGAAGCAAAAACTTTGTACCCCTTTTTACGAAAATTGCGCGGACGGAGGAGTATGAAATTTCCCACACTTATAGAGAACATAGAGAAGAAGTGCAAAATGCTAATATTTTTTTAATATTATGGATTAAAAATACATTAAATCAATAAAGAAAAGATTACACACACTATCATGTATTTGACACACATATACTCTTTGGTTGTCAAACTTTTGTTATTGCTTAAAGTCTAAAGGTAATATTACGAGTATTTGTCTATAGTGTAGTCTTGACGAAATCTGTAACAATAGAACCATAATAATGTTGAAACTTATAATTTCAATTAATTATAGTCGAATTTCGACTACTGCGGGACCACTAGTAAATAAATAAATAAATAAATACAAATGCACGTTGTAATCACTCTTATTCATGAAGCCATAAGGCGGCGATGTTGTTCATTAAACAAATATGCGATGAGTACAGTCGTAAACCGTATACTTATTTAGCCCTGAGGCCGTTCCACAAACGGAAGCTTTCAAGTGATAAATTAGTACCGGAACTTGGTGGTACGTAAAACGATATTCGCGTCCGAGTGGTCCACGAAACGGACGCGGCAATCTTAAGTGCATTGCTCTGGATTCCTGGCCCCCGTGCTATTTTGCGTTTGTACGTCGCGTTCATAGCGGCAACGCGTGTAGTGATGTAGGTGTGCCGTTGTGTCCTATTTAAAAAGCGCGTCAAGTGCGGGTCGTGCTGTGTACAACTTCCGTTCCACACAAGCGTATCCAGCTAATCAGATTAAACGCGTGTTCTCTAGTAGTAATGCCACGCCTGTCTCATAATAAAATATGAAACACTGAACGTTTACTCGGTTCTGAGATATTGAGAAGCCCTTAAATGGGTAGTCGAAAAACAACGTATTTTTATATCTATATATTAATACGTGAAGCAAAAACTTTGTATCCCTTTTTACGAAAATTGCGCGGACGGAGGAGTATGAAATTTTCCACACTTATAGAGAATACAGAGAAGAAGTGCACAATGCTAATTTTTTTTTTAAATAATGTATAAAAGATACATTAAATCAATAAAGAAAACATTACACACACTACATACCATGTATTTGCCGCACACACGCATGCATACTATTTATTCTCAAACTTTTGTTCTTGACGTCTGTTGTCAAATTGAGAATAGATTAAATATATTGTTTGTCTTTGTTAATATTTTTTATAGTGTAGCCTTGGCAAAATTAGTGATTACAGAAGTATAAAATACAATCATAATAGTGTACAAACTTACAATTCCAATTAATTATAGTCGAATTTCGACTACTACGGGACCTCTAGTATATTATATTTAAATTACATCTCACACTCGACAATTTAACATAAAGTTTCTATTTTATTTGTCATGTTTTCAAATTGAAATGTTTACGTACAAGCAAATAAGGATATGATAACGCACCGACAACGCATAGCATTGTTGACAGTAGGTATAAATCGAATGTATACATATATACGAAAAATACGAAACCCCGTGTCCATTCATACAAAGCAACGGTTTGAAGTTTAGGAGATTCGTCTTTTGGATTTTAAATTAATAAGGTGATGCTTCGCTATTCAGAATGGGCGTCGTTACGTTATGCTATAGTTTTTTTCATACCTAACTGATGTTGTTGAAAGACCATATCAGCATCACCAGACGAGTAGGTGAGCTCACAGGGCTCAAACCTAACGTTCCTAACACGAACCCTAGCAAGAGCCGTGCTTCGCAGAATCTACCACCGGATCGGAAACGCGACCCACTGAGAAGATCCGGCGAGAAACTCAGTGGGCTGACGCTTTAATAGTACAGGATGTACGTATACAGAGTATATAGACAACTGAGCTAGTTCCACGTTACATAATGATCGATGAAGAATCTCTTACTATAAATAAAATAGCCAGCGATATGGTTGTACCTATGAAGTTGTCGATAATCGGAAGACTTCCTTGCCATTGATGCCAATAAAAATAAACGTATACGTGTAATAAATAACATGTCATTCTGTAATCCAAATAACATAAAACAAGGAATGTGGATACCTTAATTGAGCAACATTTAAAATTAATTAAACACCATTAAACGGTAATTGACAATGTAAGCAATTATGTAATAATGGTTTTTTTTAAATTTTTTTAAACCACATACTTGTTTAGTTTTAAAAATAATTTGGACACGCCCCGAACAGTGGCCAGTAGATGTAAAAGCATAAAGGGCGTCACACACGGCGAAGATACTATAATATTTTATCTTAACATACAATATCGCTCGCTACACATTTTGTATGGAGTATCAAATATATATTATCTTAACCATGTGTAAAGCTGCTTTCACTGTGACTATAGTGCCATATAGTATAGCAGCGTATACTTAGCCAATAATATGTAGTACAGTACAGTGTGAATGTGTCCATAACAATGTGTGATGAGCGATATGGTTGTGCTATGAGCTATATGCTATTATATCATAGCGTAGTCTGAAAGCAGCTTGATAGTTCATACAAAATGTATAGCGTGCGATATTGTATGTTAGTTTAACTGGTGGTGAGACCTCTTGTGAGTGCGCGCGGGTAGGTACCACCACTCTGCCTATTTCTGCCGTGAAGTAGTAATGCGTTTCGGTTTGAAGGGTGGGGCAGCCTAACTATACTTGAGACCTTAGAACTTATATCTCAAGGTGGGTGACGCATTCATGTTGTACATGTCTATGGGCTCTAGTAACAAATTAACACCAGGTGGGCTGTGAGCTCGTCCAGCCATGTAAGCAATAAAAAAAATTTTATTTTTATTTTCGCCGTGTTTGACGCCCTTTATTGAAACACGAACGCGGTGCGTTATAACAAGTGCATTAATAAAGCGTGCTCTCCGCGCATTCAGCCGGCGCTGGTTCCGGCTCCGGCTTATAAATACCGGTACCGGATGCGCCTGTAACTGAACCACTGCTCCCACTTTCTTAAAGCTATGCACTCATAAGTCAATAAACCCCTTTATACGGTTATTATAATGTTTTACAAATAGCTCATACGTTTGCTGCCAACCGTATTGCCTCGCCAACATTATTAAACATCAAGGACTCATTTAAAACGATTATCGATTATAATTGTAATGCATCGAATTCGAATTAAAAATATAAATTAAATTAAGAATGAAATGCCTAAGATACTATATAAGAACTATCGTTATCTCTATTTAAGACAGACAAGAGTCGTATCTAAAAACAGATTTCACATGAATATTACATGTAGGTATTGTTTACATCCTAAATCGAAAACAACATATCTATGCGATATGTTTATACTCAATATCGGTCTATCTCTAAGTCCTCGCGTGTTGGTTGATATCATGATAGTAATATAAACGTTATCAAATGTAAATAAAACAGCAAGGTTACCGGAAGTCTTGTTACCATTCGATGTTGGATCGATGTTGACGAATTATATTAGACTACATAACAACATTTTTGATAATCGGTTTGGATTTTAAATTGTTATTCCAGTATTTGTTGGTCGGAAACTATGTAGTATGCTAGCTATAAAAATACACCGCGTTTAGGTAGGTAAGTTTTATATTCACACAAACGGGAATTTACTATTACCAGTTTATTTTTTGTGTAAAAAAAACTAATTACAATATCATAAATGTGCTCTGTTTTTAATTATATGCTTGTAGCAAAAAGTTTCATGAAATGCGGTCTTATCGTTTTTTGTTTTAACTTCGAACCAATAATTAAACGAACAAAAGCACATACATCCAGTCAAAAATGTATCTGAAATGGATGTTTTATTTACATACGGTTTCAAATTTTTTTTTTTTTTATTGATAGATTGGCACGAGTGTTTTCCATTTAAGCGCGGAGTTTGAATTGCATCTATTATTTAGATTAATTCAGTGCTGTTTTTTGTTATATCAAAATTAGTGCGTATAGCAATTTCGTAACGGACAATAACAGATATATGGCTCCAGCCGTCTTCATTCTTTTTCCTAAATTAATTCACTAAGTATAGGAAATAAAGGAGAATTCACGACGGGAACTGAACTCAATTCCGGAAAAAGCGCTTAAAATATTTTTTGATACTTTGATTATATATTAATATGGTTAGTGTTCTGAAGGAACATACTTTGAAAATGATAAAGCAAAGGACAATGCCCATTTTCTATGGGCGTTTGGGCCCCTAAAAAAAGTTGTCCTGTCATGATGGTTTTAACTTAATTTGATAGACAAAGAAATATCGTTTCATATTCAGAAAACGATTTTTATATTCTCACCCAGGTTTAAGAGAAATCTGTTTTTTTTCTGCAGCTAAAATTAAGTTGTTAATTGTTTTCTTCGAAATCAATAATCGCTCTCATAATTATTTACAGTATTAAATAAGTTAATTGTGGTTAATGTTGCTAGAAATAAACCCTTACGTACATTTTATTATTATTATATCCTCATAATAATAAAATGAAATGAAAATCCGGAAGCCGGCAACGATATTGTTGTTGTTGTTTTTAAATTAGCCNCTCACCCAGGTTTATGAGAAATCTGTTTTTTTCTGCAGCTAAAATTAAGTTGTTAATTGTTTTCTTCGAAATCAATAATCGCTCTCATAATTATTTACAGTATTAAATAAGTTTATTGTGGTTAATGTTGCTAGAAATAAGCCCTTACGTACATTTTATTATTATTATATCCTCATAATAATAATAAAATGAAATGAAAATCCGGAAGCCGGCAACGATATTGTTGTTGTTGTTTTTAAATTCACCAATAAGCAGGCAAAGAGCGTAGCCTATACAGCCTAGTCTGTCGAAGTTATATATTTTTTATGTCAATAAAAAGCCGGTGTATCTCTTTTTATTGCTTTTTGGGAGTTTTGACATCAACTCGACGAATACCACATTGACTGAGCATTAGTTTACGCAGACCTTTTATACACAATATTACAAATACAAATAATACAAATTACACAATAAACTATTAAAGAAACATTAAAATAAAACTCGGGTTGCTGCCAAAACTCTCTGATCATATATAATAAGAATAGAGTAATGGTAGGCCATTGATATTTTTACTAATGGAATCATTAATATCTAAAAATATTAAATAATTCATGGTTTTAAGTAATAATTATTATTACAATATATAAATATTGAATTGAACAAAAATAAACTAAGAAGGCTGTGAATTATAAGCATTAGCTATTTTTTTTTTATTTGTTGTTCAAGTCACAAACAACTCTTTCGTTTGACAGCATATAGGTTTGCTATAAGGCTGTATGGGCTGTATGGCCCTTTGCCTATTGGCGAATTTAAAACTATGGCATGGATAGTTTTGGGATGTTATCAAATAAGTAATTTATTTTTTTGGAAAACAATGCCAGGTTGAAAGAAATGTTGATACATAAACTAAACAACGTGAAAAAATAAGGCATAGTTTTTCAAGTACAAATAGTTTTGACATAAAGTTGGCCCACTTTTGGGCATTGTCCTTTGGATGAATAACTAACATTTTTTGCTAACATAACATATTTTTTAGACAGCGGCTTGGCTCTGCCCCTGGCATTACTGAAGTCTATGGGCGACGGTAACCACTCACCATCAGGTGGGCCGTATACTCGTCTGCCTACAAAAAAAGTTGATTGATCTTTTACCAGGACCTTTGACAGAGTAGTACACAAAAAGGTGGAACTTATGCTTGTACATCATATTTTCATATACTTTTTGGCGAATACGTATCATAAATAACTGATACACTTCTATAGTAATTTTACTGTTACTGTTTAAATTACTTTAATAACACAAAAAATATGTTTATAAAATGCCTAACGGTCAACTTTAGCTAAACTACATAATATTTTAAAATATAGATATCTTAAAAAAATTTAAAGTGAAACAATCGGTCTGTTCATAATACGTTATATTCTGGCGAAATTTAAATAAGTTTAATACATTAATGTGGTGACAACGGACGTAGGTTTCGTGAGTAGTAATGGCATGCAGATTCTAGTCATTACTTGCAAGAAGTTAACAACGTCCGAATATCGTTTAATCGTCTCAATGTATTGCTAACGAAAATACCATAACAGAAATAAATATAACCATATCCGGTAATCTAGGAGGTAATAATTGCGAAAATATTGTATTGGACATATTATATTGAGTCATGTGCTGTTGTTATGCCTCTATGTGTCGCAACCACCTAACATTATTATATCCTGATTTGAGTTTGGCTGGTCTCTGACATAGGATTCTCAAATCATGTTCGTTGGATTGCACAGATTTGACTACCTAAAATGTTGTTTGGTGAATATTTTAATGAAGGAACGAAGATAATTCTTGTTATGTATTAAGGTAATAATTCAGTAAAATAACTAGGCCAAATTGATCATTAGTTTTTTCGGTTTATTTTTGTACCTATCTGCTTATGATTATTTATAGTATTCTATGAGCACACATGGAATGGTATAGGAGTTGTATTTCTGCGGGGAAGTAATAATGGTTTCCATTTTTAAGGAAATTTTAATATCCGTTATTATAAAACCAATTGAGTCTTTGAAACCACGTTCGGTCCTCAAATTATTGCAGCGTAATTAACGTTGTGTGGGTTAAGTGCACCCATAGGCCTTGGCTAGAAGTTTTAGAAGGCCTTATCAATACTAACCTGTATTTTGTCATTTCGTTTCAGCCCATTTTTCGGAGAAGAGTTCCAGTTTGAAGTTCCCAGACGATTTCGGTACTTATCAATATACGTGTTCGATCGTGACAAACATCTCAAACAGGACAAAGTGCTCGGAAAAGTTGCAATCAAACGAGAAGACCTGCACCGGTACAACAACACAGACCACTGGTTCGCGCTGCGACCGGTCGACGCAGACTCAGAGGTGCAGGGGAAAGCTTACATCGAACTCACCCTCGAGGATTCGAGAAAGCGGTTACGGATGGAGCCGAAGCCCCCCGACCCGGACCCGGCCGCCGACAACTGCTCGGCGAAGAGCAAACAGAACAATCTCGTGAGATTATCGGAGTATTGTAAGGAGAGCATGAGATTAGGATCTTGCTCGAGCTCGACGAGCAAGAAGCTGCTGAGCGTGGCGACAGAGCCCGCCATGTCTCTGTCGCGGTCGGAGAGCCTGAAAGATCGAGCCCAGCTGACGTCACGCTCGAAGCCGCCCCTGCACGCCATGCCCGAGACCGACACCTCGCCCACTCCCACCGCCGCCGACTACTGGTCCGACCCGGAGCGGCACTGCGCGGCCAGGGTCGGCTACGACACCATACGCCTGCGGGTGCTCGAATGCTCCGAGCTCACCACCAAGAATGGACAGTGCGACCCCTTCGCTCTCGTCACGTTACTCTACTCGAACGGACGGAGAGTCGAGAAACGCACCAAACCCAAAAAGAAGACTGTCAACCCCCAATTTGATGAAATATTTTGTTTTGATCTCGTAATGGAAGCGGACCCAAAAGACAAAGACGGCTCCCAAACGGTAATTATACAAAAAAAAAATAACATTCATTTTCAATAAAGTATTCTGTCCTTTCTATTCTATTAACCACACATGCGAATGTTATTATTTCCATACAACAAAGTTAACGCTCATCATTCGCGCAGGCCGGCTTAGCGTGCGAAGCTAGAGTGTCGGTGTGGCACGATGCGACCACGCCCATATTTCTTGGCGAAGTGCGACTTCAGCTGCGGCAACCGACGCCCTCGCCCTTGCGAGCTTGGTGAGTTCTGCTGTCCATTACGATGTTCAATCAATCCTGAAACCCCATTTTAGTCGATTGTATGTCGATCGATCTAGTGGCTATCCTATTACCTATTAGAAATTCTAAAAACAGTTTTTTTTATTGCTTAGATGGGTGTACGATCTCACAGCCCACATGGTGTTAAGTGGTTACTGGAACTCATAGACATCTACAACGTAAATGCGTCACCCACCTCGAGACATAAGTTCTAAGGTCTCAGTATAGTTATTAACGGCTACCCCGCCTTTCAAACCGAAACGCATTACTGCTTCACGGCAGAAATAGGCAGGGCGGTGGTACCTACCCGTGCGTGGACTCAAGAGGTCCTACCACCAGTAATTACGCAAATTATAATTTTGCGAGTTTGATTTTTATTACACGGTATTATTCCTTCACCGTGGAAGTCAATCGTGAACATTTGTTGAGTACGTATTTCATTAGAAAAATTGATACCTACCTGCGGGATTCGAACACCGGTGCATCGCTCAACACGAATGCACCGGACGTCTTATCCGTTAGGCCACGGCGACTTCGATTCACCTACCCGTGTGGACTGAAGAGGTCCTACCACCAGTTTCGAAATCAATATTCAAATTACGCTGTCGGTGCAGGTTCTTCCTGACGTCGCGCGCGGGCGGCGCCCTGTCCCGCGGCGCCACCCCGCCCGGCACGCGGCTGTCGGCGGCGGGCAGCGCCACGCTGGGCTCGCTGAGGCTGCTGCTGCAGTACACCGTCGACCACGTCTTCCCCAAGAACCACTACCGCAGCCTCGAGGAACTCTTCCTCCGAAGTGTGCATCAGAAGGTATGTTTTGATAATCGATCCCATCTCCCAGAACGATTCCGGCCAGAGACCTGAGATGTGAAATCCGGTGGCCAATTTTGCACACTAGAGCGACACGTTAGTAAATCTGTTGTCAGACTTCGATGTGTCCTGTACACAGAGGGTCTAGTATTTGGTGCAAATAAATGATTAGCTCATGCCCAGTGTTCACACTTACTACTATTCTCAATTGTTGTCTACTGAAATACAATATAAAAATTTTTAATTTGCTAGTTTTCGGTGATAAATATTTATATATGCTACCGTTATACATATAATGTATAATATTGATGTATATATACATGGAAAAAAATAATAATGTGCAAGTCAACAAAAATAGCATACTAACGGAAACATTAATGTAACATTCATTACTACAAGGATGTTTCCTGTTTGATTATGTACATCGTTCTAAATGTGACTTTATAAATTACTAATTATTTTCGTTTTATTTATTATTTATTGCCTGCCTATGGATAGTCGTCCATGATGAAAGTAATTTACAGAATAAAATGATGCTACGGTGGTCTGAGAGAAACAGCTCTGATGACGAACATTTGAGTTTTAATTAGCTAAAAATAATTGTCCCACTGGAATAGGCAGGATAGTGGACTTAACCGTGAGGATTGACAATGTAAATGGTCTTGAGATTAATCTCCAACGTAATTTTGCTCATTGCGTGTTGCAGCCCACGACAGCGTCGGCAGTGTACATCCTGGGCGAGATTGTTGCGAGCAAGACGGACGCAGCCCAACCCCTAGTAAGACTGTTTATGCATCACGATCTCATCGTTCCCATCGTCAAAGAACTCGCCGATTCCGAAATATCGGCCCTTACGTAAGTCTCGGTCGAATCCGTTCTAAAGTTAGCATTTCATCTTCCGAGTGCAATAATCTTGGATGATTAATTTCAGTGATGCGACCACAATATTCCGAGGCAACACACTGGTGTCTAAAATGATGGACGAGGCGATGCGGCTCAGCGGCGCGTCTTACTTACGTGCCGTGCTGCGGCCCACTCTCGCCGCTGTGCTCGCAGAGAAGCGACCCTGCGAGATAGACCCGGCCAGGGTCAAACCCTCCGCCGCTATTACCGCTAATTTGACCAACTTGAAAGACTACGTTGAACGGGTAATTGAGTTTCACATGATATTATCGAGGGCGGAAAGGATGTTTGGTTTAAGCGACATTTTTACAACTCTACAGGAGAAACATAATTTGTAAAAAATGTCATAACAAAAAACTTCTCCAATTATTTGAAATGAGTAAACTTAATTGAAGTTCAATTAAAATAATCGAGCTGTTGATACTAATAACAAAAACGCACCTTTAATAACAACGATAAATGTCGCGTATTAAGCGAAATGTCACATACACCAAATAGCCTTAGAATTATCTCTATGTCTCTTAGAATTAATACATTTCTAATCTTAATTATAATAATATAACGTACGGGTTCATCTCGAGCGCTAAAGTTGTTGTTAGGCGACAAAATAGACAGCGGATAAAGCGTCGACAAGAAAGGCGCCTCTGAAATAAAAGTACATAATTGTAAAGGTGAACGTTTTCATGACAGGTGTTCGGTGCGATAACGTCGTCGTACGCGATGTGTCCGGCCACAATGTGCAGACTGTTCGACGCGCTGCGGCAATGTGCGGCGCGACACTTCCCCAGGAACGCAGAAGTGCGGTATTCTGTCGTCTCGGGATTCATTTTCTTGAGATTCTTTGCGCCCGCCATACTCGGACCCAGGCTGTTTGACCTCACAACAGAACAAATTGTAAGTAGAATCAAATAAAGCAATTGTAAGAGTACAAAGCTTGCAGTAACACCACTCCACACTGAAATTTCTCATACAAATGATTGGCAGAGACAGAACACTACACTACAGAACAGAGGCCACCGTATATCTCTTTTGAGACATCGATTTGCATAACTTATACTGTAAAGTTTCATTCCGATGCAAAAATTGAAAGCTAGTGGTAATAAAAATCTAAATATTTGACAGGATCCGCAAACCAACAGAACCTTAACATTGATCTCTAAGACGATCCAGTCGCTGGGGAACTTGGTGAGCAGTAGGTCGGCGCAGCAGGTCTGTAAGGAGGAATACATGGCTGAACTGTACAGAAGCTTCTGCACGCCAAGACATGTAAGCATTTATTTACTTTGAAGTTTGATTCGTCAAATCCTTTGTTTGACTATAGAAATTAAGGCTTACGCTTACGCTCTTACGGATCCCAAATGTTGAGATGTCGGGTGGTTGTTCTCCTCCCCGAATTTAAAATAAAAAACCTAAGGGAAATGTGCTCCCCTGAATTTAAAATAAAAAACCTAAGGGACCGATATGACCGATATTTCGTAGTATCCTTCATAATATTATCCCACAACTAATCTGCCTGTTTCTGCAGCGATTGCAAGTGTTCCGGACGTGATATTATGTAATTGCTGTCACCGTCTCAATGTGGTAACTCCTAGCGCTTTCCCATTTCGGTAACCGCTTAACCGTGACCTCACCCATCTCAAGTTGTCTAATTTATAGTATAACTCTGTATATAACAATATATCGCCAATCAACAATAAAATATAAGACACGACAGAAATAATTTAAATTTCGGTTTACAGGTGCAAGCAATAAAGCAGTTTTTAGAAATAATATCAACGAGCACAGACACACAGAACAACAACGTACAAGAGACGCCTGTGTTACTTAAAGAAGGGTAAGATATTTTTATAATCATGTATTTAAATAATGTATGAACATACGATATTTGTTATTGAAACTTTTAAATCATTTAATTAATTCATGCTGCCTACCTACCCGGATCAGATATGGGTATGTATGTTTTAAATGTGTATAATGATTTCACTAGTCTTACATACTCACATACTTTTGAGATTACTGTAGCCTATAGATGTCATTATCAGGAATATGAAGTCGAAGCATTATTATTATAACCACAATTTCCCCAGTTATCCTACGGAATGGATCCGTCCATATTGAAATTCATATGAAAATTTCAATATTTTTAAAACGTTATAAAAATATGACTGGCTGTTCGGAAATACAATATTGGAAATCTTTAGAGGAGGTCTCTGTCGAGAGACAAGCAATTACGAAAATCAAAACACCGAACGCCGAACGCAATACTTGATTATAAGTTAGATTTAAATTTAAGTTATTATTATCTAGAACGTATTGTTAAGTGAAACAGCAATAGTAACGACTTATTTATTTTATTTATAAAAAGGATGTATATGTAACCAGGACGATGATCAAACGTTCTGAAGGAGTGCGGGGCGGCGGATCGCCCCGACGACGCTGGACTCGCGCTCCGCACGCGCACGCCAAGCGGAGGCACTTCCGACTCACGAGGTACCTACTCTCTACACAACAGAATCTTACTGTATATCTACATATTATTACGTGAAGAAAAAACTTTGTACCCCTTTTTTACGAAAATGGCGCGGACGGAGGAGTATGAAAATTTCTACACTTATAGAGAATATAGAGAAGGAACGCAGAAGAAATGCTAATATTTTTTAGTTATTATGCATTAATAATACATTAAATCAATAAAAAAAACATTCACACACACTACTATGTATTTGACACATACATATTATAACTCTTTGTTTATTGTCAAACTTTTCTTGTTGCTTAAAGTTTGCAAATTGAGAATAAGTTAATATTATTTGTCTAAAGTGTAGTCTTGGCGAAATCTATGATTACAGTAGTATATTAGTCTTTGATAATAAAACTGTAATAATGTTCAAACGGTGCTTCCTTAGCACCATGACATGTCCTTCTTCAAACGAGGCTTGTGGAGAGTATTAAGCGGTAGGCAGCGGCTTGGTTCTGCGCCTGGCACTGCTGAAGTCCATGGGCGACGGTAACCACTCACCATCAGGTGGGCCGTATGCTCGTCTGCCTACAAGGGCAATAAAAATAAAATAAAAATTAATTTCAATAAATTATAGTCGAATTTCGACTACTGCGGGTCCACTAGTACTGAATTAAAATTACATACATTCTGTGGTACAAACCATTGCTGCCAACTGACGGTTCTATTAACGAGTAAGCAGTAATCACAATATCACTATTTTGGAAAGTCTCAAAGGCGGGTTTGCGTGTTACAGCGGCGAGCTGGTGTGGTCCCGGTGCGGGGCGCGCGGCGGCGCCCAGCGACTGTCGCTGTCGGGCGTGCTCGCCGTGGCGCCCGTGGACTGTCCGCCGGCCGGCGCGCCGCTCGGGACCAACAACATATTTCAGATAGGTAAAGTAGCTCTAGTCTTCAGTATTACTTAACACGTTGACTGCCGTGTAGGTCACCGGTGCCCTACGCGGCGCACTGAAGTAACTATGTCGATTTCTCTCTTTGTTCTTCTTAAGGCGCCGGAATATCTAGTAGAGTCTGGGAAAGACGAATCCGAAGGAATTGACAAGGAATCTATTTCTAACAGACCTAAAATACTAAAACATACATTATCAAACAGAAGAAGGCGAAGTTAGGCAATCCAGGTGCTTAGTAACAGAAATCGACATAATTGCTTCAGTGCGCCGCGTAGGGCACCGGTGACCTGCATGGCAGTTAATGTGTTAAAGAGTTGTATAATCCACACAACGCCCTCTCTAGGTTGGTGTCATCGGTTTATTGCTTCCTGCTTGTTATTTGAATTTACTTGTCACCCTTACCACCCTATATCTAGGGGGCGAGGGGCTACATTTAAAAAAGCGTGTTATTCCATATTTTATTTGCCAACCAAATATGACCCTAATGTAATTTATTTTTTTACTGCTTAGATGGGTGGACGAGCTCACAGCCCATCTGGTGTTAAGTGGTTACTGGAGCCCATAGACATCTACGAGGTAAAGGCGCCAACCACCTTGAGATATAAGTTCTAAGGTCTCAATATAGTTACAACGGCTGCCCCACTCTTCAAACCGAAACGCATTACTGCTTCACGGCAGAAATAGGCAGGGTGGTGGTGCCTACCCGCGCGAACTCACAAGAGGTCCTACCACCAGTAATTACGCAAATTAAAATTTGCGGGTTTAATTTTTAATACACGATGTTATTCCTTCACCGTGGAAGTCAATCGAGAACATTTGTTGAGTACGTATTTCATTAGAATAATTGGTACCCGCCTGAGATTCAAACACCGGTGCATCGCTCAACACGAATGCACCGGACGTCTTATCCTTTAGGCTACGACGACTTCAATTTCTAGTTGAAATAATTAATGATCATAATAAAGTTCCATTATTGAGTAACATTGTCTGTTCCCACAGTGCACCACGAGCGCGTGATGTTTGTCCAAGCGAGTAACTGCGTGGAGCGAGCCGAGTGGGTGCGCATGTTGCTGGCGCTGTGCCGCCGCTCGCCCGCCGCTCCCCTGCACACCGGCTACTACGCAGACACGCACTGGACCTGGTACTTGAACTGTGTACTTGAGAACTACCCTGCTGGACGTCACTGTATTCTGATGCGGACTGTTGTTATTACATAAGCGTTTATAGTACATTGTGCACCAAGGGAGAAAAGTTGGACATTGTAAAAAACGTAGCACCCGTGGAGTACCGAATAACCCCCAGTTGAATAACCGGCATAAAAAAAAAACAATTTAACTGTTTTAATTTTTTAAATAAACCTACTACTAATTGAATAAGAACTGTCTGATGAACTCATCTTTGTTTAATACTTACTTCACTATTAAATTTTATTGCCTTTTGTTTATTTCACTTTTACACTAAACACAATATTACAAATTATCCGAGCACAACAATGGCGGAGAATTTTAGGTGCGTGAGAGCAGACGTAGACACTAACGCGCATGCGCATGCGCAGTTGTCAGTACCCAGGGAGAAAAAGTTAGACTTTCTTCCCTGTACAGCGGGACGAAAACCGAACTTTCGGCCTAGGTAGGAGAAAAATAACCTTCCGCAATATGTGGGCCGCGGCATTCAGTTAGCGCTGTCTCCGGTACATGGGCTCTAGTGACTACCAGTTGAGATTAGGCAGCATCTTATCTGTGTGTCATGTGTTAATACGAGTGTTTCCAGAACTTAATAATTTCGAAGTACATTATTCTTTTTAACGGTCTCAAGAAAGGTTACTTTGTACACCCTGTAAAATAATTTACGCAATTGTAGTATTCCTCTGGGCCTTATTTCACTCCATACCTACATGACGCTGGCTGGCTGTGCGGTGTCGTCCTAGAATAGTACCACCCCATCTCCTCTCTTGGATGTCGTAGCGTCCTCTGAGTATTATACTGTACTGCAGCGATCGCCAGGCGGTTTTTTTTCATTCCATTGGATGGCAGGCTGTATGGTGAGGTTGCACGAACGATCACCATCATCCTGCCTATTTTTGCCGGGAGCCCTCATGCGTTATGTTTAGAAGGGCGGGACAACCCCTATACAATTCAGTTGAAATTTTAGGTAGATATTACAAGATGAATGCCGCTATAACGAATGTCTATGAGTTTGGGTGATCATTTTACACCAGGTGTGCCATGAGCCCGTTAACCAATATAAACAACTAAGAACCTACTTATATGGACACGGTTCATTGATCGCTTCAACAATAATTGAAGCATGTTACGATTTTATTAGTGATTTATGTATGATGAATTTGTTTTGTTCAGTTGCGGTCGCACGGAAGCAGTAGCGGAAGGTTGCGGTGGGACAGAGAACGGCATGGAGGCGGGGGACGGCACCGCGGCCGGCGTCGCTCTGGCGCTGCGGCTCGACCCGGCGCGGGACCTGCAGCGGCTGCACGCGCTGCTCGTCTCGCACGCCGCCGCACTCGACGACAGGCTACACCGACCTCAACGTGAGTACCACGTTCAGTATGCTTAGTGCGAGTTTCTTAACGTTCTCGATAGCGTAAAAGTTAAGCCAGTTTTGTATGCAGTTGGAACAGCGCCCCTAGCGGCAAACGTACGCAAGCGACCACACTCCATACAAATATGAGCTAACTTTTACGCTATCGAGAACGTTAAAAAACTCGCACTAAGCACACTATAATCAAAATCTTATCGTTATTTACTTGTGTTTGTTTTATTTAATTATTGTTTCGTTTCCAGTAACTACGAGTATAGAAGAACGCGAGGCAGAAGCGGCTACCCTACGAGAGTTGCAAGAGGCTATGTTTAACCTAGAGCACCAGCATCGAATATACCGACGGTCGCTAGCTCGAGAAACTAAATACGGAAGCAAGTAAGGAATTTTTCTATACGTTAATATTAATTAAACTCAAAGGATTTCTTAAAAAAGTATTTCAAATAATTGTTTCAGACAAGCGCCAATAGGCGACGACAACTATTTACACTTAGCCGGAGCAGGAGGGGTGGACTGCTGCGGGTTGCCGTGGCGAAATTGGCGCAGCGACGCTGCGGTCGATCTCGACGGTAAGCCGCTGCGGCGCAACGACATGACCTCGAGCACAGAGTCGCTGCGCCGGCACGCCGACGAGCGCTCGTCCGGCAAGTCGACACGCTCCGCCGGCAGCGGGTACCTCGCCATGTCCTGCTTGCGGCACGAGCCGGCCGACGACAGCGACGCGTCGGAGCGACCCGCTCGGCCGCCCAAACCAGCGCGACTGTCGCCTCCCCGCGCCTTCATCGACCCTCCTGCCGACTATGTGCCTGTTGAACCTCCGCCGCGATGTCGAGAGTACGAGCTGATGTCAGACTTCGTGAGTCGGGCCCGCGCTCTTGATGACGAGCCTCCTCCCGCGGTGCCGCCCCGCACCCGTCCCCGCCCCGTCGAGCCGCCGCGTCCCTCTAGCGCGGCCGACGCCGTCTCCACAGATGACAGTTTGATTGATGAACTACAACGCGGATCATACTGTGTGCTCAGAGTGTGCGAAGACGAATCCCCAGTACCGGAGAACTTTGGGGAGGAGGCTGTGGAGGCCGTCGACCAATCTAATGAACCGTTCCAACGTTCGAGCGTACAGCGGAAATCAAACCCTACCCGATCTCGGATCAGTCCGACTCGACCCCTCAAAACATCCAGTTCGACTTCTAACGTGCCGGAAGCAGCTCGCACCGCTTCCTCATCGCGGCTTTTCGCTGAACGTCTAACTCCCTTTTTTTTTAAACGGAAACCAAAACCTCTTGAAGAGGCGACAAGCAACTCCCGACGTGAAGAAAAAGACAACATGTTCGGGCGCTTGACTCCGCGTTTCGGTCAGGCAAGGCTGACGGGGCGCGGACGGTCGCTGGAGCTGACTGCGGAGGAGGCTCGTCCGCGGCGCATCGAGCGCTCCGCCACCACAGTCAACATCCCCCCGCGCCCCATGAACTCATCGATCGTCGCCAACTTGAAGTTCCTGAGTCTGCACAGGTACGGGCCGCAGGAGGCGAACCGAAAGTCCCCAGGCGAGGCGGAAGGTGCGTCGTGGCGGCCGCAGCATTCCGCCTCGCTGTTGGCCACTGCCTCTACCGACATCCGCCTTTAACGTCGCTCGAGAACAAACTCCAAATAATATATTTTTCCATCGAACGAGGATATCAAACTTGCGACCTGTTTTGTTGTACATCTGAGCTACATTTTGCCTTATGAATTTGTCAGTTTCAAATAATACATTGCTTGCACTATATGAATGTACTTAAGTATGCATGTTTTGATATTAGACGTGTCCCTGTCAAGGCGTGTGTCTGTTATGTACATCATTAAGGGCCTTAGTACAAGTGAGGTCTGTCTGCGGCCGCGACCTTCGGGTTCACACAATATTATACTTAATCTGTGATTCACTTTACACACTCGGCTCATATTTTTAAATATTTTAGATCTAGTTTAAATGTATGATGTATGTACATAGTCAATTATAAAAGATTCGAGGAATTCGAATATTAAAATTGCTCTAAAAAATTATTTTTAATTATAAATTTAGTTTTATTGATATTTTGTATTAAAAAGATTTGACTTATTGACTAGTTGTTCTAAGGTATTTTGGCGGCTATTACACTGTCAACGTATTTAAGTATAGTGCCAAGTTGTAAAATAAAACTTTTAATGTAAGGATGCATTTACTCATCAAAATCACTTTGCCTTTGACTGTCTAGTGCCTAAAATTGTTATAAGTTATGAGGAAAATTTGTCTGTTATTATCAGAAAATTGTCATCTATAGTTTTGTTATTAATTTAATAAATAATATTTATTGTACATAAACATTTACATACACTTAGGAATTTATAAGGAAACAATACTTTAGTGTTTCTAAAGTATGTAACTGAAACTGTGTGAATTGTTTTAAAACATTTAAAAGATTTCATGGATTTAGTCTTGTTATGCTCCAAAATATATGTATGTGTTTAAGTTCTAATACATAGAAATAACAATGTCACAGGCACATAATCAGTGTATGTTTCCTTAAAATGGATTTGAATGTTTATGTTGGGAAATGAACCTTACGATTTCGTCCAATATTCTGTTGCTTAACATTGTTCTGTTGCAAAATATGTTAAAAAGAACTGAAACGAAACTTTAAAAAGAGATTATTCCGAAATAAATTACGAATTCACTGCCAGCATTGTTATACCTATGTATAATTTAACAAAAGAAAAAATTTAAAGCAGTATTAATATTAAAGTGATGATTTAACGTCTAACTATCAAGCGAGCCATCGAATTTTGTCAATTTTTTGCACTTTTACACCATGGTCTACGTGACCGTTGCTAGGTTAAACTTTCTTTTTATAAAATTCAAGGAGTATTGTTTTCTTGGTAACGACACGAAAAAACGATAAATATTTATGAATAAGTCTACTCAAATATCTCTACGATGATGGCATTACAATGTTACACAAAATTCCTTGTAACATAAAAATATAATGTTCTAAATCTTAAATATTTTGCATATAAAGATATTATTGTTAATAATTACTCATATTTAGGACGTTCTGAAAATAAAAATTCAAATTTACAATAAATTTACTCAATATTTAATTATAGCATTGTCTAAAAGTCCAACATCAATATGTATAGCATTGTATGTCCTAGCTGCTCTTCTCGTATGTAAAAGAATTTTAATAATGTATAATGTGATGTAAAACGTATCCAAACAACTCGCACACAGTGGCCAGCCTATTTATTACAAAGTAAGCCTAAAAACAATAAAAAAATCGTTTTTCATCAGATTACACACAAGAATGTACAAATGAATAATTATTATAAACATAAAATGTTATTTATTTCATCTTTTTTTTTCATTTTGTTAATAAACTTCACTGAAATTAAAATTTACATCAGTTTTGTTTAATTTAGTGATCAAGATCAAGTGAATCAAGGATTACAATTTCAAATATCAAACGCAATATAGTTTGATGATGTTTGTGGTTTTTTTGTTTTTATATATTCGGCAACAATGGCATATTATAGCAAGAAACGAAGAAAGAAAAGAGACTATAGTAGAATTAATTTGTCCGTGCAGTTTGGGTCATAAAAAATCGGAACGGTGAAGCGAGTATTTCGCTCTCTCTTCCACTGACGAGCCTTATGGACGGGCATAGTGATGCGCATTATTGTTGTCGATAAGCGTTATCGATAGTGTATTTAGTTTTGTCATTTTGTGGGTTAGTGATAAAAATGAAAGAAAAAATCACTAATCGAAAACTTACACCACATATTGCCGCAGCAAGTTAACGGCAACGGCAGAAATTAACACTTTGTAACTTTTCGGGATATATTCTTATTTCAGTAAAAAAAATTAACACATTGTTGATAACAACACGTGCAAATATTATTTTGAATAAATTCTGCCGTTTTGATACAAAACAAAGGAGTAGCCATTGTGCCACTAAAGAAATTCAGAGAACGAATGCATAAAACACATTACTCTTCGACATAATGTACTATAATTTTCAGGTAAGTACAAATGACATAACAATGTCTCACCACCCTTCGTATACCACCCCGCCGCGATGTACCTGCCATCGATGACTCATTTGTTTTTATCAATAATGGCGTTGCGTCCGCGGAACATGCTCACCGCCCTAGCCGGGCTATATTTTATGACCCAAACCCCTGCACGGACAAAATAATTAAACTATAGTACAATAATAATCTACAATATGTACATACCTACATACGCGTATTATCTAATATATTAGCTCTGTGAAAATGCGTGAGTATATACTGGTTATCGTTCTCGTCGCAAGCGACGGGTTCGACGAAAGGCTCTACGAGTAAATTAACCCACAGACACAGCCCACTGAGTTTCTCTCTGGATATTTTCAGTGGGTTGTGTTTCCGATCCGGTGGTAGATTCTGCGAAGCGCGGCTCTTGCTAGGGTTCGTGTTAGCAACGTCGTCAGGTTTGAGCCCCGTGAGCTCACCTACATGTTAGGGCGAAGCTGAAATAGTCTCTCAAGGCTATCAGCATAGGTAGGAAAAAAAAGCAAGCGTCAGCATCTCACAGTAGTCTGCTGTTTTTTTAAGGGATTTTATGACCTGGTAACTAAGATCATGACTAATGCCGGCCACTCAGGCTGAAGGGCCGTCAAACATTCATTCGCAAACTTAGCGGCTGTGCAAATGGGTTCGGTACTCAATTTGCGAACCCGTTTGCGCTTCCTCCTACACTTGTTTACGAATGTCTCACGAATTTCTCCTCTTTTTTAATTCGTCAATAGAACATTGAAGAGAAAAAGAGTTTTGAATTCTTTCCTAGACATCATTAACAGCCATGCTGTTTTTATGGGATTTCTTTTGATGAAGATACGCTACACAGTAGACGTCACGATCTATGAAAATAGCGAAACATCCGTTGCCTTCGCAATACGGGGCGCTAACTGGTCACACGAATGTGTGGGAGAACGCGAAGGATCGCGGTTCGCGCGCTTTGATGTCTGTTAAAAAACCGACACAGCTTAGAAAACCACGAACGCAGCGAAAACTTTGCATAATCATTTGCAAATGTCGTCCTACACTTGTGGGTTTGCGTATTCGTGCGAATGTGAGTGACCGGAGTAAGGTCATGTCTTATTTTAATATATTCATATTTTTATGATAAATGATATGGAGTGAAAAGAAATGAAATGAAATAAAGATGATTAATTTGAGACATTAATGGGATGAAATTAAATGAAATGTGATGAGATGATATAGGATGAAATATAATCTCAGTAAAATGGTGGTACATAATTTACTGAAATTTTCTTAGTTGATTTTTGGAGGATTCCGAGAAGTTACGTCTGGCAACTTTGTTTCATTTTCCCACATTTGCGCACTTTCACAGATATTAAACAGTTAAAAACCACCGTTATTACACATTTACCTGAAGAAACATTAAATAGACAAAATAAAACAAATCACAACTTCATTCTTCGCGTTCCCGCCAAAAAGTCTATGCTGTGATTTTTTTTTTTTTTTTTTATTTATTGAAAGCATTGGCAACACGGCCATCAGCTTAAGCTAATTTTACAAAAAAAATAGAACATGAACTAGAACTTACAATAAAAACACAAATAAAAGAAACAAACCAAACCAAGAAACAATTACAAATGATTGAAAACAACAAATTAATGACAAAATGAATTGCAAGAACTTACTATAAAAAAATACAAGTTTTCTTTCAACAAACAACAAAAAAGAACATGAGTCGTTATAAAAAAATAATTAAACTTGTACATAAGCAGGAGACCTATGATACATTCATGAATTATACATTCATAGTCGTCCTATAGTGTGAAGTACAAAATTATACACTATTGAGAATAGTTGTGGAAGCTTTAAAATACCTTGAATGGAATTAGGAATAGATTTTAAGCCTGTGTCTTTACATAATGCATTAAACAATAATCTCTGTTGATTGAATTCAGGACAAT